TATACAGCTGATCAGTTTCCAATTATTAAAAGCTAGCTGTGATCTTTGCTTTGTGGAGCTTCCTTTTTGCCCAACCTATGTGGTATTCTTTCTTCCTGAAATCGTAAATGCCACTTTGAAATGGTATGAAATAATGTTAGTTTCCTATAAAAGCCCAAGCGTCTAGATGGAGTTTCTGTAGTGATAACATTTTTGCTTGTACAAATACCAGAGGATGGTATAATGCAATCCCTTTGCTGGTATAGTCTGATTAACCAAAATTTGGTCTGTTAAGAATTTTTCCTAACAAGCATCTCTTCTGCAGTAGCTTTATCTAATTTCCCCTTTGTCCAAACAAACAAATGGAGAACGGTTCACCATCGACCTCTGTATTTAACATTATGAACACACTTAAAAAATTGCTATTAAAACATTCTTTGGATGGTTTGATTTATCTTTAAAAATACAGTGACATCACAGAGCTTGTTTTCAGGTCATCTCTTAAATGCCTTAATCAGAAATTTGTGATCATACAGTTTGGCTTCTCTAGCCTCACGATACTTCGCCATTTTGTCACCTAATATGTTAAGGTTTAACTACTATTTACAGCTGGGTTAAACAATGCCTTCACCTGGACCACAGAAAATTTATTACAGTCTCATGAGGCATGTGTTCTGGTCTTTCTCTTAGGTTTCAAATTGGCTTTCAAATCCTCTGCTTTATGTAATGTTATTTCCACTTTGAAAGTAAAATGAAATTTTCAGTTGAGAGAGACTTAAATCAGAGATATGTTCATTTGTGAGGACAAAATAAATAACAATTGGGGCGGCAACAGAGTGACCAGAGATAAACAGTAGGCAAGTTCTGTGGTAAGGCTTTTTTTCTTCTAAACATGGCCTAGATGGAAGTGGGAAGGGGTACAGATGTAGCGACAATGTGACTGTCTATATCCATTAAAAACATCAAGTTGCTTTGATCTTCACTGAAATTAAATCAATTCAATATGGTGATAATGATGACATCATGCTAGTCAGAAGATCTGATTGGCTGTTAGTGACATCACAAGAATTACTGGAATGTACTCCTTTTACATACTCAGTTATATATGCCTTTGATAAATAAAATGTGCAAACATTAACATTATTTAATAATTTAGATTTGGAGATAATCTTGAGCTAGGTGTTTTAAAACATGAGATAAAGATACAGGGAATATCAAAGGGCTTTTCCTTCCTCCTACTCAGAGAAACACGGAATCTACTGCTATTCAACCCACCAATTTATAAGTATACATATAATTTAGTTGTAACAGCAGTCTAAGAAGAAAAATAGTACTTTGAGTTACCAACAGTATAGAAAACACTTCTCTTCAGACAAGTTAGTCCAGTGACTCGTGTTTAAAAGCAGGACAACACGTGGACAACAGAATTTACACACATAGAATTTATACATTATGGCACAGTAGGTTAAGCTGCTGCTTGCAGTGCTGGCATCCCATATCGGAAAGCTGGTTCGAGTTCCAGTTACTCTGCCTCCAATCCAGCTTCCTGTTAATGGGTCTGGGAAGGAAGCAGATGATGGACCAAGTGCTTGGGTCCCCAACATTCATGTGGGAGACCAGGATGGAGTTCTAGGCTACTGGTTTTGGCATGGGCCAGCCCTGGCTGTTGTAATCATTTGGGGAGTGAAACAGCAGATGGAAGAATCAATCTCTCTCTCCCCCCACCTCTCTGTTAGTCTGCCTTTCAAATAAATAACTCTTTTTAAAAAAGAATTTATATAATCAAAACAGTTATGAAATGTCAAGCGAACTAACACAAAGTGTAACATCAATCTAGCTTCAAAATCCCAGGTCATTTTCCACTAAGAGTCAATCAGGATATTGTGTTTGGAATAGTATTTGTTTTTAATCGTTAGGTTGGTATCTTAATCATAAATTTTATCTTTTCAAGGATGCCTAATAAAATATTAACTGCTATTTCTTACGTTAAGTTTTAGGATTGAAAAAAAAAGGATGAAAGTAGGGACGTCTGTTTACCTGCATTGAATAATCTATTATCCTCTCAGTGAATACAAGGCTCCTCCTACTGAGTAACTGGGTAATAGCTATTATTATGCTTCTGCCCGGCTCAGAAGGCAATTTTGTATGAAGAAAAATTGTTATAGGATTTTATCCATGACATTAGGTTAAACTAAAGCTACCAGACAGATTAATGTCAGGCTGGATTATACTTCAACGTCTATAACAAAAATAGACCAAGTCCTTGGGAATGTCTCCGTTTCATTGCTAGAAATTACAACTAGCTTTTCACACAATACAAATCATTCTACTTGAAAAAAAAACTTTCTAAAAAACTGTATGAAAACAATTTTTAACAAAAATCTAAGGCCCAACAGAAACCAAGCTAAATGAACTGTGAACAAGTTAATTTACCACTTTAAGAAACAAAGAATCCCTAAGACGATGACATGTTCGGTTTCAGTAGTAGCAGTAGTGATAACTATTGGGATCAGCAGCAGCAGCAGCAGCACCAGCACCGCTACCATCACCACAACCACATGACATCAGTTTCTAAGACAGCTTTGCCCATGTGCATCATGCTTCTCCCAAGAGCCAGTTTTATGAACACTTTCCTCAAGTCAGTGCTTCTGATAATTCTGGATTAAAATGAGCAATGGCGGATCATTCAGGCCACTCAAAATAGGCTACAACTCAAAGGATCTGCAAATCCTCCAGAGGAAATATCAGATGTGAAACAGGATGAATAAAGTTAACACAAAGCCCTGCATTATTCGCATCCAGGCTCTGACACTTAAAACCTGTGTGATCTGGGGCAAGCCACTCTTGCTCCCTAGGATATAGAAGAAGAATAGCATCTACTTTTCACCACTGCTGATAGGCTTGAAGACAGAGAGTGCAGAACAGCACTTCACCCATCTGTAAGCCCACAATAAATGCCGCTTGTTTTCATTACTATTTTTTTAGAATAGATGCACAAACACAAAGAAATGGAATTAGCAGCTGAGTACACTGCCGTGTTTATTTGCCATTATCATATTCTTGTTATTTTTTTTTTTTTGCTTTTTACTTGTGGTGCTGCAATATATTAAATGCAAATAATCTGTTGACTTCAGAACTTTTATCTTCTAGACATGGGATTTTAAGACACTGAAAGTATATCATATTATTACTGAACTTCAAAAAAGTCAATCAACTCCTTCCACAATAATCAGAAAATAAACACAGCATGATAAATGTCTTACTCTAGGAGAATTGACCATTCTGATTTTCTTCACAATCAAACAAGACAATCTCTGCAGCTATTAACGGTAACAACACTTACTTGATGCTTTTCAGTTTGCAAAACATTCTCAATGCCAATAGGAAGAAAACTCCTATCTATTATTTTTTCTTATTTTTAATTTTCCACATGGAGAGCCACATTTTTCACTGTTGCAAAAGCTTGGAATCACAAAGGGTGAGATCTACAAGCAGCAGCACCACTATTATTATTTTTGCTCATTTCCTTACAAGTATTGAAACAGGGAAGAGAAATGAAAGCTTATTCTTTTCTCTACACAAATGCACAGAAAATCTAGACCCATGTTTCACAAAGACATCAAACATGGATACATTTCATTAGTAAAAGAGAATGCTTGATTACTGTCATCTAATATTCAAATTTTTTCAGAGTTCTACAGAAAATTCCCAAGTTTTCTGTCTGGGGAAGAATCACTCCCAAACTCTGTCTTAGAAACAGCAATTGCCACAGGACTGCATTTTTCTAACACAGAATTTGCTCATATCAAATCTTTATTCTCCATATCAGAAAAATGAAAATTTGATACAGTAAGAAGGGAGAAATGTCTACAGTAAGGTGGTTTTCCTTCATCTTGAAAAACCAAAATCTAAATATAGAATTACAGATTTTTAAACCTCAAATGAACTGGTCCTCAAAGGCACTTAATAAACAGCAAATAAGCATAACAAAAATAGGAAAAGTGAAGTTCTATGCAACAAATTTTTTCAAAATCTAATCACTTAAGTCATGTTACTGAAGACAAGGAAAAGAAATCACAAATAAAACAACATGGAATTTGGAGGTTCATTTCACTTATGTTCATTTCCCATGAGACAGAACTTGTACTTTTGCAAATTTAATTTCAAGTGACTGTCTTCTATGTGCCAACGTTGCAACATACCTGTGGTACTCTGTATCAGACAGCAAAACCCACCTCATACTAGAACAAGACTCGTGACATTTTAAAGGCTTATACTAGACCCGTGCATCAGAAGCTTGATACTTGGATCTCTATGTTCAGATTATATATTTTACTCCTTATTGAGATGCAACTTCTGCTCTTACTATCATAAATGAGGCCAAATCCAATGTTACTGAAGCTGGCCCTTCATTTTTATCTAAGGTCCCATCCATTAAGTATCCTTGAGAATTATCAAATTGGCAGACATTTCTTGGTACCAAAGAACTTAGAGTCCAATAAAAATGATTTACTCCTAGGGCTCTGGAGTACCAGGATTACAACATGGAACTCTACTCTGTTTTAAAACATGAACTTTTAGAAGAAAAAAGTCTACAGAAGAAATTAAGATGAGAAGACTATTAAAAGAGAAAGAGCAGGAAATGATTATAATTCACTATCAAGGAAAATGCTAAGAGACAAACAACAACATCAGAGTTCAAAAGCCAGTTCTGGTCAGTACAGACCAGAATCATGAATGACATTACAACAAGCCTCACTATATCAGTTTCAGGCCTGCCTGGAACGTTCCCAAGCTCCCTTTTCATCTCTCAATTTTGTCTCGGGCATTAATTCCATGAAAAACAAATCCTAAGTAAACCTGGAACTGGCCCACCTGCCTGGGTATCACCCCCTAACATGCCCATTCAACACTGTGTGACAGTCTATGAGGGTTCCACAAAATAAGCCATCTCTTTCCTATGCCAATAAGACACTTCGTTTAATAATAAACACGCTCAGTGAGAAGGAAGAATTCCCTACCTTGAAAACATTTAGCTGCTGATTAATTGTCTCTGTTTCCATACCCACAGGACCCTGGGACTCTTCATGTTCTTCAGCCTTCTGGAGTAGAGTAGAAAATTCTTTCAATTTATTGTAGAATTCTTCAAGTCGCTCAATTGTCCCTTCCACCTGCTCTTCTCTGGCTTGTGCTCGGTCTAGCAGCTTGTTGCACTGTTTGCTTAATGCCTCCAAGTCCCTTTTGATTCCCACGAGGTCAGGAGAGGTTTCTTCTGTGGCCAACATCATCTTGCAGGTTTTGTTGGCATTGTCGATGCTTGCTATGAGGGCTTCTAATTTCTTCAGGAAGGCTTTTATAGCTTCCTTTTGCTTTTGCAATGTTTCTGCATCTCTCCCCACTGCAGCCATGCTATCCAGTTCATCATCAAACTCTGCAAACTGAGAAAACATTTCTCGGATGGTATTCTGGAAATGCCCAATACCCTGAAGCTTGGTTTCCAAGAAAGAACACTTGTCATCAACCTGCTGACTCAGCGTACCATGATCTTGAACTAAGGTTTCTGCTTGTAATAAAACATCAGCAGTTCCCTTTGAGTCTGAGGCTTCTACCACAAGGTCCTGTGCAAGTCTTCTGGCTAAATCTACTTGATGCTTCAAAGTCTGAAGTGATTTCTGCTGGGACTGCAACATGGTCAGGTATTTGTTACTGTAAGCCTGGGACCCCAGGGAGTCATGGACATCCAGCTGTTCCTTTGTACACTGAAGCTGCCTTTCAGCTTCTTTGGAAACTTCTTGAAATTCCTTAAACTTCTGGGCCATGTTCTCCAGAGAGAATTTCTTGCTGTGAAGTTGTTCAGTGACCATGTCTACCTTCTGCATCAGTGATTTATTCTCATCTGTGACAACCTCTTTATCGACCTCACAGGCACTGAGAAAGCTGTTGGTTGCGTTGTTTAGTAATTCTACCATTCCAAAGTGTTGATCCATTTCCTTCTGCAGAGACTTTAGCTTGGCAATAGAATTCTCTGTTTCAGCAGGATCCAAGGAAAATTTTATTTCTTCCAGGTTGTTTTGACATTTGTCTATCCAAGGCCGGAGAGTCTCCACGTGCTCTTTATACTTGAGGGCTTTTTCCAATGAATTTTTTAATTTATCTTCTCTTTCTTTCACCTGCTTATTAAATCCATCCCAGTTGGTTTTAATCGTGTTAAGCTGGGACTGCAAGGCTGCCTTCTCAGACCCCTGTGTTTTTAGTAGCAGATTTTCACCTTCTGCGATGGTTTTTTCATAAATATTAGACTGGGCTGTCAAGGTTTTACTAAAGTCTTTCTGTTCTTTAATTAATGACTCTAAGACATCAAGTTTAGCTGATATTGGAAGAGACTTGTTTTGCTCTTCTTTCTTTGCATCCAGCCAAGCCTGAAAATCTCTAGACATTTGCTGAAATTGATGAGAGCTTGCACAGGCCGACTGAAGGTGCTGGACATGATTCTCTAAAAATGAAATTATAGACATTTTTATTCTTAATTTAATCTATGAAAGGCAAGAGAAAGTGCCCAAAGGTACAGAATTGTCTAAAAGCAAGGGCTCTTAACACTAGAACTACACTTAAACTTATATTATATTTAAAGAGGAAAAAGAAGCAAGAGGAAGGCATAACAACAAGAGAAGAGAAAATCAAGCTAAGAAGCAGAAGGCAGAAGAGAGGGGGGAAAGTTTGTGGGAATAGATAAAATGCACAATTGTGCAGGATGCAGTCACAGTACCCAAGGCTGACTATGGTAGTGTCTTGCTCATTCTAGTATGGGGAATGGACAACTGCAAATTTCTAGGTTAAGTTGACAAATGGCCCATCCCATAAAACATGGCAACATAATGTAGCACACAGGACCTGAATGAGATTGCAACCTGGCTTAATCTCTTCAGCGCTGCAAGATTCTCAGCCTATGATTATGCCGCTAAAGCTACATACCCCAGCTGCAAATTGGTGACACTAAGAGCAGCGTTGGTGAAAATTATACGTGTTAAAATTCTGAGTTTAATCCCTATCACACAAAGGTGTTTTTAATGTGAAGAATGATAACAATAATAGCAAATATCAGCATTGTGTCAAATAAAGGAATATGCCTATAATGGACACTGTGATCAACAAGTCCAATCATGTAAAAAATACAAATTGAGTATTGCTATGTGGAAAATATAGAAACTGGTATGGCTTTTTAAACAGAACAAATGCAGCAGCAAAATGTACCCTTTTTTGATTAGCACTTTTGAATTCTAATAAGTAATTATTGCTGTCTCTGACAGCTATCAGCACATGTGGCACAGAATTCTGGCTGCCAGAGGTAAGAGAGGAAAACTGTGCCAAATGCAACTCTTTCCACACATCTCTCTAGAAAGAGTTTTCTATAGCAGCATCAAACAAAGTAAGAGCAGATGAGTGATTGACAGTCTCTCTTTCTGGAGAAGTAAGACTATGTAACACAGCAAAAGCAACTACGTCGTTAAAAAGCTCATTCGGGTTACCCAAAATTTTTATTCATTATGTGGATTTTGCCAGCAGACCATCATCTCTCTCTCTTGTCTGTGTCAAATCAATTAGGGTGTCAAATCTGTAGGGTCCTGGGTTAGTGCCAATGGCTCATAAATGGGCAATTTTTGATGTCTATTCTGACCAGGAAATATGTGCATTAAAAGAAGATAGACACACCTGCTTTTTGTTCGATATCCTTAAATGCCTTTAAGATGCCTTCCAGTTGCCTACTAAGTTCTGCTTTCAAGTACTCTTCTTTGACCAGCGCTGACAAGTCCTCACAGAGGGCCTGGGCCACTTTTATCTGCTTCATTTCCTGCTCTATTTCCTGCTTCGTATTTTGGGCTGTTTCCAATTGCTGGTTCATAGCATCAGGGTGTGTGCTCACGGCCAGACTGCTGCTGAGTTTATTATCCAAGTCACTCAGTTTATCAGAAAGACTTCTCAGCAGGCTCTGATACTGTGTGCTCTTAACAATAGCTTGGTCAATCCAGTCACATCTGTCACTCAATTGTCCTGTTAGGCTCTCCCATTTTTGGGTCACAGCTGCTAGTTGCTCTTTCACAATCCCATGTAAAGAAGGGTCTTCTCCAGGTCTGCTCAGAATTCCCTCACCAGCTGCTGTTAGTTGTTCATACTGAGGTTTCCGAGTATCGAATTCTTGTAGTAGAATCTAAGATGATAAGGGGTAGCACACAAACTACTGTCAGTTCATTACAGACAACATAGCTCTAAATGTCCATAAAGACAGACATGGTACTTATTTATCTGGTTTTTTTAGTTACCTTTTTCTTTATTTCAATGGCAGGATATTTGTCTCAACAAATTTAAAGAGCAGTGAATCTTCACAGAAATAACATCTTCTCTAAATTAATCACAGCCCCCCATAGGAAACAAGAGTAGAATAAACATTTTTGGTAGTCTGGGCAAAATGATCAAAAGTTCATGTACAAATTTCCAAATGCAAAGGAAAACTGTGACTGGACAGGTTCACATCTCACTAACTACAAATTTGTTTTTTCCTACCTACATTTTTCTCCTTGTAGGAATTTTTAAATACTCTGCATTATCTTACATGAAACGAAATGCCCAGTGGTAACAGTATTAAATATATTAATTCATGTTGCATTGATTTGCAAATGTATTTGTAACCTAAGATTTACTGATATTTACAGTTTTTGTTATAAAGATTTTAGCCAAAAAGTCACATTGCTCAAATTGCACAGGCCCAATCGCCTCTCATTACAAAATGAATGACCACAAAATTTCTTTCTTCATGTACTGCATTTTATCTACCTATCATTCATTTTTTACTTTTATTATCTTATATTTATCTACTCATCTCTGGAAGGTCATTAAGAATAGAGGCAATTATTTCTCCCCTGATATTTATTTTTATCTGTTGTTTTCATTCTCCTCAGATTATCAACAGATAAGAATGACAACATGCGACCCTCAAGTACCAAGATCTATTTGTATTTTTTGGCTACACAATCAGCTCCTTTGCTCTACAACCACTCCTCATAAACCACGATGGAGCTTCTGCTTTTACATATAACTTAAACTTTATGAATTTTTCTCCTTGTGGGTTTATCTGCTGTGTTAATTCCACTAGTCTAATGCCCTGAGTTTCAAAGCTCCTTCCCTGCTTCCCTCATGGGTAGTCCTCTCCATAGTCTTTCTCACCCCCCTCAGGACTGTACCACACAAGTTTTATAAGTTTCATTATCTATTGCCACAATCAAAATAATAAAACCTCAAAGGAGCAATTTCTAAACAATAAAAATTATATGCTAACTTCTCATAAAAATATTCCTTAAACAATCACATTCATACTTCAAACAACACCATTTTTAATGGGGCCTGCCCCAACTTTAGTATTACTGAAATAATCAGGGGACCTGGCCCACTCAAGGCTACACTGGGATGCCTCACAGCCTTAGTGTCTTAGGGCATCTGAATTATTACAGACATACTTCCAAAGCAGTTTAAGCACATGCTGTCCAAAGCTTTATAATGAAACCATCTGTCTTGTTAAGTTGCTGCAAATGAGGTAGGTCATTGTTTAATACTCACCTGTACCTGCTGCTTCTGTGTGTTTAGCATATTTGGGTCGATTGACAAGGGCCCAAGAACACTGACCATTAGTTCTTTTTCCATTAGCCACTGCTTTAACTGGGCTTCTATGGTCTGGAATTGAGTTAGATTATTGGAGGATTCTTCTAGTTTTTGTTGTCTATCAACTGTTAATTTGTTAAGTTCTTGCCACTTAGAATCTAAAAGAGAAAGGATGAAGATGGTGATTGGTTTTTACATATTTAACTATATCCATGAAGACTATATGGTATGATTGAAAATAATGTATAAGGTTATCGTTCTATTTTTATTATTTATTGATTTAAGAGGCAGAGCAACATGAAGAGAGAGAGAGACAGAGACAGCTCTTCCATCTACTGGTTTACTCCACCAAATGCCTGCAACATCCAGGGCTGGGCCAAGCCAAATACAGGAGCTAGGATTTTCATCCAGGTCTCCAACATGGGCAGCAGGAATCCAAGTACATGTGCCATTATCTACTGCCTCCCAAGGTGCATCAGCAGGAAGCTGGATTGGAAGCAGAGGTGGGACTCACTCCTAAGCACTCCAACAGGGGATGTGGGTGTCCCCTGTGGCTTAACCCATTTTGTCACAATGCCTGCCCCTCATTCCACTTGTATAACACTTTTTGTACAATTAATTAAAAATCTAACCAAGGAGAATGAATTGCTTCATTAATACAGGTTTCAGGGATATAGTGATTGTATGTCAATTGAATATAAGAAAACAATACTAAAGTTTAATCCAATTTTAGATGATACTGTCGAGTATAGAATATTCCTAATCCTGAGGGCCCTGTTACATCTAGACATTGGATCCAACAGATGTCTAGATGTTCATTCAATTATAACTAAGCTATTGCAAAAATGAACACCGACCTTTTCTTTAATATCAAATCTTCCGTGATCAGTTTTAGACAAATGTCTCCCAAATGTGTATACCTATCCCTAATCCTTTTCTCCTATTAAAGTCACACATTAACAACCAGCTGCTGGAAAGCTACAGGAAAAAAATCCCACCAGCATGTTAAACTCAACATTAAAAGATAAGACTCACTATATCCCTGTCAAAACTGATGGATTGCCGACGCCGCGGCTAAATGTGCTAATCCTCCGCCTTGTGGCGCCGGCACACCGGGTTCTGGTCCCGGTCGGGGCGCCAGATTCTATCCTGGTTAACCCTCTTCCAGGCCAGCTCTCTGCTATGGCCTGGGAGTGCAGTGGAGGATGGCCCAAGTGCTTGGGCCCTGCACCCGATGGGAGACCAGGAGAACCTCCTGGCTCCTGGCTTCGGATCGGCGCGGTACGCTGGCCGCGGCGCACCGGCCGTGACTGCCGTTGGAGGGTGAACCAACGGCAAAGGAGGAGTTCTCTCTCTCTCTCTCTCACTGTCCACTCTGCCTGTTAAAAAAAGGAAGAAAAAAAAACCTGATTATCTTAAAAAAAGGACCCGAATCTTTTTTTTTTTTTTTTTGACAGGCAGAGTTAGACAGTGAGAAAGAGAGAGACAGAGAGAAAGGTCTTCCTTTTTATGTTGATTCACCCCCTGAATGGCCACTACGGCCGGCGCGCTGCGCTGATCTGAAGTCAGGAGCCAGGTGCTTCCTCCTGGTCTCCCATGCGGGTGCAGGGTCCAAGCACTTGGGCCATCCTCCACTGCCCTCCCGGGCCACAGCAGAGAGCTGGACTGGAAGAGGAGCAACCAGGACTAGTACCTGGCGCCCCAACCAGGACTAGAACCTGGGGTGCCGGCACCGCAGGCGGAAGATTAGCCAAGTGAGCTTCGGCGCCGGCTGGATTATTATCTTAATTTTGGATCTCTTTTAGAGGTTGTCATCTGTGCCATGTCACTGAGATGCAGTAATTCACTATTCTCTTTTACAACTCTCCTATCTCTCTTACATCTTTGGACATAACTCCTTTCGACCCTTGTGATGTTTTGCCTACACCAGTGGTACTCAAACAGGAGCTGCGTTAGAGTTGCCTGTAGGGATCACTGACACAGACTGCTAGGGGCCAGCTCCAGCATCACTGGTTTGGTAGCTGTGGATGGGGTCTGAAATTCTGCATTTCTACCAGGTTCTCCTGTGACTCTGATGCCACTGGTCCTATTTGAATACTTGAGACAGACAGACCTACAAAACTAGTTTTCTAACAGGTGTTCCCTCTATTAGTGTTCTCAGCTATAATCTATCCAGTTCTAAAATAAAAGCCCTAAAAGAGAAATCACTCTTATGCACTTCACTTCCCTGCTCCAATCCTTCAACAACTAATTCCTTGCCACTGTGATGCTAAAGTCTGAAGACTGACTCCGTGCCATGCAGGACCTCCCAACCTGGTCCTGGTGCATGAACCTGAGGATGCATCTTCTAATCCAGCCCCGGTAATCTTGCCATTCTGAAGGGAACAAGCAGTTGCTCCAAGAGGCACCATGTGCCAGGCTCAGCATCTGCTCCCTGTCTCCCAACACTATCCTTTCTTCACAACCCTAACCTCTGCTATGAATCTTTTTCTGCTCTTCCCACCCCCAAGACAGCAGGCTCCCTGTAGTCAAGGATTACTGATCAGAACACTCAGTCCAAAAGCTGAGCACATCAGTCACTTAATAAACATTCACTGATGGAAGAGATTAGTTGATTTGAGAGATTTCTTTTTTTTTGCTTTGTATAATTTACTAAAGGGCTGATTTTAGTAGAACACAATCTCTAAAATGTCTAATGACATAATCTAATGACGTAAGTCTATATGATATGTTCTAGACAAACACAATCTGACAACAAAATAATGCAATTAAAACAGTCAGGAGGGAGAAATATCAAATCATCAGGAAACTTTCTTGAGATACACATTCCTCATTCCCAGTCCAATTTTAAAATGTCTGGGTAGTACTTCCCCAAGTAGTTCTGATATCCCAAGAACAGGCACTGAATCAGGAACAATTACAACGCAGCGGGAGTCTCTACAGCTGGATCAAATACACCTTTGAACATTCTGGTACCTTAGGGCAACTGTATCAAACTAAAACACACTTACAGATTTCTGAATGTATTACAGTGCACCTGACTCTAAAGGAAGGCTCGTATTTAGATAAACAGAATGGAACAGTTGAAGGTAAAATAATCATTACAATCATAGTATCCACTTTCATAGCACTTCCTGTGTGCCAGGTCCCCTTCCTCTAAGCTGTACACACATGAACGAATTGAAGTCTCCCAGCAAGATTATTAAGTACGGAAGGTTACTGTCCTTGTATTATACTGATTTTCCATTATAATGATGAAAATTGCCGAGATAATAGGGCTTGAAAAGCAGTCCGTACAGGGGTAGGATGGGGTGGGAGGATAATTCTGGGTAGAGAACCAAAACCATCAGTTAGTGCAGAGAGCTACTTTTGAAGTCAGGCCAGGGGACAGAAGGCTGCATAACTTAAGGAGCTGAAGTGAGCCCCAGAAGTAACCCTGTGAAGGGGATGTACCTTTTCCAAACAAATGAACAAAATATTTAAACTAAAATATAGTAAAGCATAAAAGAGAAAAAAGCATATAGATAGTAAAAAGTAAATAAGCATTACAGAAATCTACAGGATTCCACACACGGCATGTTATTAATTAGTATCTATCCTCTTCAGAAAAATAAAGTGAGGTGCCGTGATCACTAAGATATGCCAACTCTCAGTACAATATAATTTTAAATGACACTTAAGTAAAAAAATTAATTCTGGGGGCCGGCGTGGTTGCGTAGTGAGTTAAGCTGCTGCCTGCAGCAATGGCATCCCATGTCCTAGTTGCTCCGCTTCTGATCCAGCTCCCTGATAATGTGCCTGAAAAAGCAGCGAGAGATGGTCCAAGTGCCTGGGCCCCTCTATCCTTATGGAAGACCCAGAAGAAGCTCCTGGCTCCAGGCTTTGGCCTGGCTCGGCACTGGCAGCTGGGCCATCTGAGAAGCGAACCAACGGATGAAGACTCTCTCTTTCACTCTCTCTCTCTCTCCCCTTCCCTCTCCATTTCTCTGTAGCTCTTTCAAATAATAAATAAATCTGTAACATTAAAGTAAATTTGAAAATAGGGGAAGCTGTTAGATGTTTTATGATAAAGCTTTGTTAAAAAATAAAAAATGGCCAAGCTTCTGTTCATGGACTTTGGCGTAAGGTATACAACTTACCTATCTCAGTCAACACCTGCTTCCATCTGGGCGCCTCAGGAGTATCTGGGTTTTCCTCCAACAGCTCTGTCAATTTGTCTTTCAACTCCTGCACTTTGTTTACATTTTGCTTCAGTTCTGCCTCAAATGACTAACAAGGGGGTAAAAAGAAAGTAACTACATTAAAGTAGGCCAACATCAAAGGACAGAAACACAATTATGATGGAGCACTATTTTGTCCTTCTCTCTGGCATGACCAAAAGAGGAAAAAAAATCTACCGCTGAATGCTACAGTGTGTAAGAACCTGGATTCAGCAGTTAATTATTTTCCTTGACTGCAGGATAAAAGAATCCCACAGAGGACACCATAGCGATGGAGCTAATGACTCTCCATTATATCCATTATCCCTATTCCTGAGGAAGAATTTCATATTCTTAAACAAATCCTGTGGGGAAAAAGATGACATCAGCAAGATTATAATTAACATCAGCCTTGATAGAGGCTGCTGGAACTTGAGAATCTACTAGTGAATAGGCACTTTTTTGGCAATACATCAGAGTTCAAATAGAGTTTAGTAACTGATAGAAATTTTTGCCACCATTGCTACTACACAAAACCATTTTCCCACCCTTGACAGATATAGAAAGAAATACGTTTTTAAAAAAGAGAGGCCATTAGCTACCCTATTTTATATTAGAACAGATCTCTAATACACTTAGCCCTGAAATAAATCTTTCCCAATAGCTGACTGGTTAATATCTCAGACTTGAACTGACTTTTTAAAGGTGGCAAGCTTATTATACCCAACAGTTCACTCAACTTGAGAAGGTTGGTGTGCAAAAAAATAGTGATTGTTATCATCAATCTCTGCAGGAAGTCACATTAAACAAAACTGTCAAATTATTCATTGAATGTTGTAGAACCATAAACCAGAACAGAGCTCCCTAGTCATCAGGGCTCAGTTCTGAATGCTAAGCCACTCTCTTTCACCCATAGGCTGTACCTTATTCTGTTCAACTTGGGTTTTCACAGCTTCGGTATCTGTAGGTGTAGGTGTCTGATGCCATTTTGTCGCAGTCTTGTTCATTTTCTGTAACCACTTCATCATTGCACTTGATTCTTCCTGAGCCTTTTGCAATTTGGAGAGCTTAGTATTCAGTTCTCCTATTTTATCTTTGAGTAAGAGGCCAAGATCTTCATAACCATGACTTACGTCAGTCATGTCCTTTTTAATGGATGTTAAACCTGAGGTGAAGAAAAAAATTTTACTGACACATTTCCAAGGTGTTTGGAGTGGATGTCTAGAAATATGCTTTATGTGACATTCCTTTCTGTTTTGTCACTATTAGGTCTATTATGATAAAGTCAGACTTTTAAAAATGAAGATGGAAGATCATTTTATGATGCTATTTAATGTCAAAAAATTTAAGAACATTGCATGATACAAGTGAAATGCAAAAGGTGTTTAAAATGAAATAAAAAAGTCCACATAACAAATGTTAATTAGTGATTCCTCAGGCAACAAATTCAAACAAATTCACTCAATAATGTTATACCAAGTGACAGAGTACCTCAACCACAAAGAAGGAAACACAACCAAGTGTCACACCCAATGACACGATTTCATTAGTTTCAGATGAACAAAACTTCATGGAATGCTATGTAAATATGATACTTAAAGAGACTGTCACCATTAGATTAGATGTCATTTTACTTTAAGTTTGAAATTTCAATTACCTACTGTTCTCTTCCAAAATGATTTACAAGTTCAATTAATCAAAATCATTTAAAATTACTACTTACCTTTATTTGCCAAAAAATCCTGCGTACTTGTGTCTGTTCCTTCACCATTTAATATTACTCCACCTACAAAAATATAAAAACCGAATTACAGATATCTGGTATATTTCTACACATTAAGAGTAGATGGTATTGAATCTAATCCCATAAACAGTTTCTACTGTTTAAATATGTTGCTACTATTTGTGACTACTATTTGGAAATGTAAAATACTGATTTACTTTCAAATCCAAATAAAGAACCAAAACTAAAAATAAAACTACCTCTCCTAATATATATATATATATATAAAATATTTATTCTTAAATCACTAATATGATTGCCTCAAGCACTGGAGTTTAGATGTTTGTATTAAATAAATCATTAAATATTAATTCAGAAAAAATGTGAAGAAGGTGCTCAGTACATACGTGTTGGACAAAGCGTAAACGACTGACGAACAACAGTGTGTACCTTACTAAAAGACGGAAAATTGTCTGGTATAGCTACACAGTGTTACTTGGCATTTAAGGGAAGCAGAATGATGTAAAAAGACATGGAAAACAAGTTGAAAGTAACAAACAAAAAGAAATGAAAAATCTATCATTAAATCCACATTATGTCAACAGAGAGACTGCAAGCAGGCACAGTGGCTAGGAATGTCTGAGCCTTGGTGTATGACCCACCTAAATTTAAATCCCAGCCCTACTAAACACTGGCTCTGAAACGGGACACACTAATCAGCCAAATTCACAAGCCCAACTTGGTCTAACTTGTAAGATCAGTGTGAGAGCTAGAGACAGATAACCACTGCTTAACAAATAGGAACTACCTGCTTAAAGTAACTATAATTTCTTGTTTTGTTTTTATAAAACCATCTGTTATCGGTACGTTTTTCAACATCCAACATCAGAATACGAAAAAATCAATTATCCATTGGCCATTATCCAAAACACGAAGATACTTCCCAAACCAATCATAAGAAAACAAGTAGAAATATTTTTTTAAAGATTTATTTATCTGAAGGGCAGAATCATGGAGACAGAAAGAGATCTCCCATCCACTGGTCCAGTCCCCAAATGGCCACAAAGCATAGGGCTGGGCCAGGCCAAAGCCAGGAGCCTGGCACTCCATCCAGGTCTTCCACTGCTGCCCACCCAGGCGTATTAGCAGGGAGCTCGACAGGAACAGGAGCAGCCAGGACTCCAGCGTGTATACAAGATGCGGACATCACAGGCAGTTTAACCTGCTGTGTCACATCGCTGGCCCCAGAAATATTTAAATCTTAAGTTTAAAAAGAAAATCACACATAGGCTGGGTTCAAGTCTTGCTCGAGTCCCAGTTCCAGCTTCTCACTAATGTGTACCCTGGGAGGCAACAGGTAGTAGTTCAAGTAATTGGGTCCCTGCCACCCAGTGGGAGATCCAGATTGAGTTTTCAACTCTGGGCTTTGGCCTGGTTCAGCCCCAGCTTTTGCCCGCATTGAGGAGTGAACCAACAGATGACAGTATTCTCTCCCCCATCCCGCCTTCCAAACAAATAAAATAAATACATACAACATATATTTTAATCACACACGAGAGCACTTCAGATGGAGATAAATATATCCTATAGATGCTCAAGACTAATTCCTACCATGCTTGGTAGTTACCAAGAGTTAAAAAAACAAAGTAATAATAATAATAATAAACCATTTTGTACCTACTGTAAATAAAAAGGGGTCATAAATTACTAAAACAAAAAAAATATAGTAAAATTACTTTTATGAAAAAAATACAATCTGACATTTCAGGAAACCTGATTAGGAGAGAAAGGAGAGATCACCACTCTATATATAATATGGGTATTCCCTCAAATGGGATTAATAGAGTGGAATAAATGTTTGGTTGAGAAAGGCCCAGCTGGAACCTAAGTATCACAATAGGGACAGCTGGGGGCCTGGTTGGACTAGATAAACCACAGGGGATGCTCAGAGTCTCAGGATGCAGACATGGGAGTGCCTTCTGTCTATTCTTGGATTTAAAAAACAAAAACAAAACTTTATATGGTATGATTTTTCAACTAAAGCTGTACCTCTGACTTAATTTTATAATCAATATTTATACATGACTCTCACCTTTTGTTGTTAGGAGTAACTCAACTATGACTTAGATTGTGATTTAGATATGCTGGCTAACATATGGTATGATTGTTTTCTTTGGCAATAGGGTACACAATAAAGTGGATGGGAATAAAATGAGAGAGGTCCAAACTACAACAAATAGTTTGTTTCCTCCTCTCATTTCCTCCCCTAAGAGACCAGCTCATTTCTTCAAAAATATTAGAAAGAGATAAAAATATTTCAAGTAGAATTTCAGTATTTCATTTAATTAAAATAAAAAGCACACAAATTGGAATCCTTATACTTACACATTAATTTGGCTACATTTTAATTATAGTCTTTAATAAAATGAAACTTAAGAAGGACCTGAAATTTGATTAGTACAGACATTTTTCCATGGCAGGTTTCAGTAGGTTTAAAATACCATCAATTTTGTCACTTTCAATTTGTATTTTTATTTTGTACTTGCTATGCACTGGTTTAAAAATAACATACACAAATAACACCAACATGGATGGACCTGATTCTTACAGTCTTGTCATGGAAATACAGCACATACCTGATTTAACTGCTGCAATTGCCTTAGCAGGAGTAGTCACTGCACTTATTAGGTTACATAATGAGATCCCACTGTTGTTCACTTTCTGGATCTCCGGTGTTTTTAAAGTCCACTCTTCTTGTAATTTCTTGAGATATAAAAACACATTATTTTTTAGTCTTCTTAATATTGTCAAAGTTGCACATTATAGTTCAATTTCTTTAACATATCTCAGAGTAAGAATGACTGTGTGGGGGTAATGGATAGAAGAAAAAAAGCACCATCCTACTTGTTCCCCCAGCCCAGGTGACTGTTAGCACTGTTAGCACTGAGAAGTAGGGTAAGGGCCTTCTGCATTCTGTCCCCAGCCATAGTGGAAGTCAGGCTATTCCTGGCTGCCATGAGTTCCAAACTGTCAACTGTAAGTGTAAAACTGTAATAGGTAGGAGCCAAATTATAAGGTGACATGTGCCAGGAACAATCAAAATAAATAAATGAGAATTCAGAATTCCATTTAACAGTGAATTTTAATTATCAAAATGTCAATGACTTAAAAAAAAAAAACACTGCTCCACAAATTTGGACTGGAAAAATTGCCATAACTGATCCTATGACCATTAACTGATTTTATGATTTGATTCAGTTAAGCAAAGACTTGTGAATTGTTTGTGCAGGAAATTCAAATAACCTCTCTCCTCAAGCACTAGGTAAAAATGCTGAATGAAAGAGAAGGATATTTTACTATTGAGAAATGGTAGTAATAACTGAAACTAAGTAGAGGTTTGAGGGAAAAGAAACTTGGATACCAGAACAGTTTGCAACCTGCTAGCTCACTAATGTATCTTTTAAAAAATGAATTAACTGAAAGATTATGTCCTTACATCATGATTTACAGGGTACCAAAATATACAGCACATATATGAGAATGATCTTACATTAGATCATAAGAAACTACCATTAGTCTTTTAACTATTGATGACTGACACAGGCAAACGAAAAATTCACTGTAGACACAATGAGTCACCTTAGTTTCCTCCAAAGATTTTCCTAAACGCTCCGCACCAAAGGAAGGCTGCACAACGGGAACTCTTTCTGTTGTTTCTTTTATCCAGGACTTCAACGAGTTAACAAGGACTTGGAAAGCATCCAGCTGCTCTTGACAAGAAGTTACAGCTTCTTTTCTGGATAAGAAAAATCATAACAAGAACTGAAGCCACAAAAATGTGCTCCAAAGGACTAGTTATTAAGAAGAATTCTATTGCTCTTATATTGGGCTTAATATGAAACAAACAGCTTCCACACACACTCTGACCCTTTGATACAGGAGGAGAGGTTCCTGGGTGGCAAGTGCAATCAGCTAAATAACTATTTTCCTACTGCACAGGCAAGGTTCAGAGCAGCAGTCAGGAAACCTGTAACCCATACGTAATAACACTCTACAACGCTACACAAACTCGAAGACTACATAAACAGTTTTTAACATTATTTAGATTCAATAAGCTTTGATCTGTCCACTTTATGTGATGCTCACTGCCAGCAGGCACAGAACCAGAGAGGAAATGTTTACAAGACACATGCGGAAAACAGTGCCACCTAGTGGTTACCACGCTATACTACATACATGTTAATGGAAAAAAACTGACTAATTCAGGGGGAGAACAGGTTGAAGCCTCCCAAAACGAGATGAAAGCTGACTGCAGGGTTTTAATGGGCGCCTCTCCCACAGATCCAGGAAGTTCCACAGTGCACTATCTACATTCAGCACCAAGGAGGGTGCGCGTGTGGCCAGCCCATGACTAACTGGGAGGATCGTCACATTCGACATGTGGGTGACATGTGTACATATGTGAGCGTGTGGGATACTGGCAGATATGAATGCACTCACTGCAGCTGGATTAATTACTGATGACTACCTCGTTTTAAAGTTGGACCCATCTGAAAGGAAAAATAACCTACAGATTACTTAAGAAAGCCAAGAACATTTCTTCTGTGCAATGTGCATTAAATACAGTGACTTGATGAAAAACATAGCCCTGTGAGTAGCACAGGCAGCACTCAAAAGTTTTATGTAAGGATTATGAGGAAATAATGAAAAGTAGTTGAGAGACAAATGACTATTTTCTAATTTGGGAGGGTCCTTATATGAAACTTCAGTGAAATCAGATGGATATTCTAAATTTACACGAGATCAGAAACACCAAAATTAAGTCAAAAGAATTTTTTCTGCACAGCTTCATCTTAGACTCATGCTCGTTTCTCATCTTGTTTTTTCATGGACTCACGTCTATTCCACCACTCTTTAAAAGATGAACTATTTTACATAAAAGAAGGCCAATGAAACACAACTGAGTGGCCAGTGTTGTGGCACAGTGGGTTAAGTCACTGCCTGGGCCGCCAGCATTGCATATGAGCACTGGTTCAAGTCCCAGCTGTTCCACTACCCATCCAGCTCCCTGCTAATGTGCCTGGGAAAGCAGCCTAAGATGTTGCAAGTACTTGGGTCCCTGCCATCCATGTAAGAGATCTGGATACTGGTTTCAGCCTGGTCCAGCCCCAGCCATTGAAGCCATTTGGAGAGTGAATCAGTGGACAGAAGAGCTCTGTCTTTCCCTCTCTCTGTAAAGTTGTCTTTCAAATAAATAAATAATCTTTATTAAAGAAGTATACTGAAATTGCACATAGATTCTGAATTGAACCCAGAAAGTAAAGAATCACAAGCTGGCTCTCCAGGTTATTTCAACCTTTGCAAATACAAATGTGTTATTTGCAAAGGCTTCAGAGACTACAGTGAGTTTAGATCACTTTTCTTATGCAGTGTTTTCTACTTTTATATAAGAAATACTCAATGTTCATCCTATCTTAACAGATAATACACTTAACAGCAAAAAAAAATCAAAATATAAAAAAGAAACATAAAATATAAAAAAATAGCCCCGGGGTCATTCTTGAATTTCCAAAATTGTTTTAGTTACCTATATAAGTAAATAAAGGTAACTGATTCTAGTTAGTATCCAGAAGAAAAAATTTTGAAGTAATGCTTACTTTTCTTTGATGGTGTCTTCCATTTCCTTAAATTTCTTTGACAAATTATTTGTCTTTTCAAAAACCAAAGCCTTATCACCAGGTAAGCCATGACTGGATATCTCCTTCAGGACACTATGCAAAACTTCAAGATCTTTCTTGTGCTCTAAGAATTCAGAAGTTGATTCCTACAGAGGATTTAGACATTTAGTCATTATAGATACTGATAGATCTTCAAATGACATTCCATCCAGAGATAGGTATGGGACCAGAATCATAAGGAAGAATGATTCAGTCCTCTAAATATAATAAACATGCAGATAAGCTATTTAAAAGAGAGCACAGAAAACTTAATTTAATCTAAAAATCATAATCTATATTTTGTCTCTGTGGGTTCTGGCACATAGATGCTACTTATAAAACTCTGATACATGTGATAAAAGGAATTTATTTCTAATAAAGGAGCCAAAGTTTAAAGGAGAAGATGGGGTTTTATCTACTTATAGGAGGAAAACAAATAGTTACTGCTCCATAAGCAACTAAAATGATTGCTAATCCCAATTCTGCTAGTGGATGTATGAGCCCATCTTAACTCTGAATCCACTTGACAACTCTTGGGGAGTATCAGACGTACCTGCATATACTGAGACAATTCAGTGACATCTTTCCCTGGCACTTCCACTTCAGTAAGAGCCTGAGTTTTTGTTTCTAAAAATGTCTGCAGCTTTTCTGAGAGGTTCTCAAACAGCTCTACTTTGGTTTTCAGCTCCTCCATTTTGGCAAGTTTCTCTTTGTGTTTATGACTTGCTTCCGAAAACCGCACACACAAGTCCTTCATTTTCGCTTGCAATGAGGATGCGGTGGATGGGTCTGTTGTTGCTATAAACTTCTTCACTTTTTCATTCATGGCATTGATGCTGCTCTGACGACCTGCAATATCTTGTTCCAGCATCTGAAACAGACCACGTATTGCCTGTGTCTCACAACAACGATTACAAATAATGCCACAGGGTTTTAAAAAGTTACTATTCATAACAACATGAGCTTGAACAACCTGTGACTAAGGAGGTTAACGGATGGAACTGAATGACAGTCTGAGCTGTCCCTGGAGGAATCCCATCCCAGATCTCTGCAAGGGGGAGCTGGGAACAGCTGGTTAGTTGCTTGAGAGAGGCAGGGGACTGCTGCTACTTAGCCATCTCTGGGCTCTATTGGAGCCTGGGGATTAGCCATGGTCCTAATTTTTGAAAGGCTGGACAACAACAAGCCTGATCTGATTAACCTCATGTGCAGCTGGCTGAAGCAACAGTAAACTAGATAAGAGTCAATGTATGCATACGCTCTCTATGATTAATAAACATTCATGAAAAAGTATACCAAGCCTTTTGTATATTCCTTTGCAGAGAAGTCGTTTTGCACATTTTGTTCAAGAGCTGCTTTCCACACTGTTACAGCCAGGAAATATCTCTTTTTCTGTGCCTAAAACTATCTTAAACTCACATGTTCTTGGAGCTTATAAAACTGTTTCTTGCTTTTTAACTGTAACTGGGATTACTTTTTTTTTTTTTTTTACCTTTTTCACATGTTACTTACAATGTTTTTACTGATGATGTCCTGAAGAGCAGCAGAGTTTAAGGGCACTTGACCTTGTTCTTTGAGAGAACTTTCCACACTGGCCATCCAGTCCAGCATTTCATCCAAGCCATCCTGCACGCTCAGCGAGCGGGTCAGGGTTATCTGGAGCTTTTCATTTCGTTCGTTAACGGACTTGGACAGATCATCGTACCTCCCCACAATGTCATCTAGTCCAAACACATTAGGAAATGTTAGCCACAAAGCTCTCTTTGCCGCATTCCTCTTCAGAAATACACCAAGGTGAATCATAAAGTTGCCATACAAAAGTTAGAATATAAAAAGAAAGTTTAAAGGCTAAATTCATAATGCAAAATTAGAACAGTATCTAATAACCTTAACAGAAATCCAAGCGGAGAATAAAAAATGAATTCTCTGAAACATTATAACATCTATATTTGAAAAGAGATTTTTGGATGCACAGACATTTCAACTGTCCCAGAGAGATGAAAGAGTGGTTTGAACACTGGTCTGAAGTAAGTACTGGATCTCAAACTGACATTTTGAATCAGCTATACTTACTGATAATCACTCTGGGGGAAAGGTGACAGGCACCCAAACAAATTCATGGAAAAATGGGATTAAAGGTAAGTTTAACTTTGGTGCAAAAAATTTCAAAATCCAAACATAGTATATTTTTTTCAAAATACACATTTTCCATGAACTTTTTGAAGACCTTTTGTAACTATTCTCAGGAGACAAAATATAGTTATAAAATTAACCTTTACATATAAAAATGATCACACTCAGTCTTGCACTCTCCCTCTCCCTCTCCTCCAACCCTCCCTTCCCTTCTCTGTCTTCCTCACACAAATATATATGCTAAGTTTCTGTTATTCCATTTGGCAATGCAAATAAATTAAGAAAACAGACAAAGAAAATCCTCTTAAAGTTGAGATTATACTTCTATAACATGCACAAATGAAACTGATTTAAAAGTTTAACAGGAGGAGCTGGCATTGTGGTTCCATGAGTTAAGCTGTGCCTGCCTGCAAGGCCAGCATTCCACAGGAGTGACAGTTGGAGTCCTGGATTCTCCACTTCAGACCCAGCTCCCTACAAATGCAGCTGGGAAAGCAGCAGTACTTGGGCCCCTGCAACCCACATGGGACACCTGAATTGAGTTCCAAGCTCCTGGCTTCGGTTTGGTACAGCCCCAGCCATTGAGTCTGCGTGGGGAGTGGACCAGCAGATGAAAGATCTGTCTGTCTCTGGTTTTCCCTCTCTCTTTGTAACTCTGTGTTCCAAATAAACATTTTTTTTTCCAAAAGAAAATTTGAATAGCAGACAAGTGGGAAAATAAGCTCAACGGGTTAGCCTATCTTATATGAGACACACTACTTTATTTTTATTTATTTATTTATTTATTACAGGCAGAGTGGACAGTGAGAGAGAGAGAGAGACAGAGAGAAAGGTCTTCCTTTTGCCGTTGGTTCACCCTCCAATGGCCACCGCGGCCGGCGCACCGCGCTGATCCAAAGGCAGGAGCCAGGTGCTTATCTTGGTCTCCCATGGGGTGCAGGGCCCAAGCACTTGGGCCATCCTCCACTGCACTCCCAGGCCACAGCAGAGAGCTGGCATGGAGTGGGGCAACCAGGACAGAATCCGGCGCCCCGACTGGGACTAGAACCTGGTGTGCCGGCGCCGCTAGGCAGAGGATTAGCCTAGTGAGCCGCGGCGCCAGCTCTCTACTTTCAATTCTGAAGATTTATGATGCTAAGCAAATCCTTTCTGTCCTGGTTTTCACTTGAATATAATGCCCTATAATTTTTTTAAAAGATTTATTTATTTACTTGAAAGTTAGAGTTACACAGAGAGAGGAGAGGCAGAGAGAGAGAGAGGTCTTCCATCTGCTGATTCACTCCCCTGTTGGCCACAATGGCCAGAGCTGGGCTGATCTGAAGCCAGGAGCTTTCGCTGGGTCTTCCCAGTCGGGCTCAGGGGTCCAAGGACTTTGGGCCATTCTCCACTGCTTTCCCAGGCCACAGCCGAGAGCTGGATTGGAAGTGGAGCAGCCAGGACTTGAACCGGTACCCATAAGGGATGCCAGCACTGCAGGCAGTGGCCTTTCCTGCAGTGCCACACAGCCAGTCCCAATGCTTTAATTTTAACATCCTATATTCTATATTATAGACCCATGAGGAGTTCAAAGAACAATGGTTTTTAATACTCATCTGTCTCTGCAAAACAGATCTGTTTTTAATTGTGAATTTAATTGATCTCTTATTGTCTAAGAATTTGAAAAGCATTTTAATTATTTCTGGGTACCTTAGTCTGATACATTATGGAATGCTTCAGTAAAAGAAATTATATGGAAAATAATATAACCAAACAATATTTCTGTTTTGATTGTTCAAACACTACACTGTTAAAAAAAAAAACAGCTTGACAAATTTTCACTGAATTGAGAGGTTAAGTTTAGATGATTTAAAGAGACAATTGTGCTCCTATTTCTAAAACACAACAAAACCCATAGGAATGTCAAGTAGGGAAGAAGAAGGCATTCAATCAGCACCAAGATTCTGTAAACAGATTCAAATATGATCCATAATTTAAAAGTCGCAAAAGCAGATGGTCGGAATTACAGCTTGAGATTGGCAGGTGACCTAACAGTAGAGCTAGAAACCTGCCATGGGACTCCAAATCCCATTAAGTTGGCATGTACCAATGCCATCTTACTAGTTAAAGTGATCAGTTTAAGTTAATAATTGATAATAAAGATAGGATTAACTGTCAAAGGGGTCACATAAATAAGACCAGTGTCTGCTAATAATAATTGATAGAATTAAAAAGGAGAGAATGACCCAACATGGGAAGCAGGATATACAGCAGACTCATAGAGTGGAAAATGCCCTAAACAGCACTCTGGCCTCAGAATCAGCCCTTAAGGCATTCAGATCTGGCTAAAAAGCCTATGAGAATTTCTCAGGCATGGAAAGCCAAGACACTTTGGCAAAAAATAACCTAAATGAAAGATCTCTGTGAGTGAGATCCCAGCAGAAAGAATGGGCCATCAAAGAAAGAGGTATCTTTCTCTGAAGGGAGAGAACTTCCACTTTGATTATAGCCTTGCCTAAATAAGGTCAGAGTTTGTGGACTCAGAGGCTTCTATAGCCTTGGCAGCTCTTGCCAAGCGCCTTGGGTGATTACTGACATCATAAATAAGAGTGCCGGGGCTGGCGCTGTGGCACAGTGGGTTAAAGCCCTGGCCTGAAGCGCCAGCATCCCATATGGGCACCGGTTCTAGTCCTGGCTGCTCCTTTTCCGATACTGGTCTCTGCTATGGCCAGGGATAGCAGTAGAGGATGGCCCAAGTCCTTGGGCCCCTGTGCCCACATGAGGGACCCAGGGGAGGCTCCTGGCTCCTGGTTTCGGATCGGTGCAGCTCCAGCCCTTGCGGCCATCTGGGGAGTGAACCAGCAGACGGAAGACCTCTCTGTCTCAACTTCTCACTTCTCTCTGTAACTCTTTCAGATAAATAAAATAAAATCTATAAATAAATAAATAAGAGTGTCAATTGTTAAATCAACAACAGGAGTCACTGTGCACTTAATCCCCATGTAGGCTCTCCGTCCTTAATGAGTTGTACTATGTGAATTAATGGTAAAACTAGTATTCAAACAGTACTTTATACTTTGCGTGTCTGTGTGGGTGCAATCTGTTGAAATCCTTACTTAGTATATACTAAGTTGATTTTCTGTATATAAAGATAATTAAAAATGAATCTTAAGGAAGAATGGGATGGGAGAGGGAGTAGGAGATGGGATGGTTTGCAGGTGGGAGGGTGGTTATGGGGGGAAAAACCAGTACCATCCAAAAGTTGTACTTTCAAAATTTATATTTATTAAAAAAATTTTCTAAATAAAATCTGGTATCATTTCTTTGTGAACAAATCTTCTTATATGTGAAAAATTTAAGTATCTAAGTACATTCTATTTTCTACCATATTTGATTTATCATGTATGTCAAAATATGATTGATCAACATGCCAGCAATAAGTGATTAAAAATGTTATACCCAGAAAAAAAAAAGAGAGATTAGCAGGTGAGCTGCTTCTCAATTGGGCAACTCTGTGCATTAACAGGTGAGTAATTTCTACAATATCTTTAGCCATGGTGAGTGGGCTCCCAAACAAAGTTAGCTATTTTCATATAATTAACACATTGAGTGTTACTGTTGGCTATGGACTGCATGTTTTGAGATGGGGCCTTTGGAAGGTGTGGTGTTCTGATAACATAAAAAACATGTATTTGGTCTTTGACCATGGGCTCCCGGAACTGAGCTCCTAAAACCCTTATAATTTTCTGATCAATGGGGGTACTAGAAGTATCTTCTGCACTGATATTTGATTTTAGACCCAAGTTCCTGATACAGATCTGCTAAGACTTTCATAATCTCTTGAGTGATACAGTGACCAACAAAGCTCCTAATTTCCTTGGAATTTCCTACGTGACAGGAATGTCTTTTCTAATGAAGTGACCCGTGGTGGGCTCCTGGATAGCTTCAGGATAGGGGCTGCTTGCCAGGGGAACAAACCATGTGATTAGAGTTGAAGTTTTCAGTCCCAGCTCCTGACCTTCACGGAAGTGAGAGAGACTGAAGGCTGAGTTGATACCAATGGGCCATGAAATAATCAGTCATGCCTATAAAATGAAGCATCCATATGGAATCAACCCAGATGCCCATCAGCTGATGAATGGATGAAGATATTGTGATGTATATACCCTATGGAATACTACTCAGCCATAAAAAAGAACAAAATCCTGTTATTTGCAACAAATGGAGCAACTGGAAACCATTATACTTAGTGAAATAAGTCAATTCCAAAAAGACAAAGCTCATATTTTCTGATATGTGTAAGTTAACACAAAAATTTAAAGAAAAAGTATAGAAATGAATGAACAACTTGTGGTTTGATTTTTTTTTTTTTTAGCCCTTGTTTATATTCCTGTAGAACTGTGGTCTTGCTACTTTTTATTTGTTGAGTACTATGGTTAGTGATGCATTAAGCCTGTGATTTTAGAATGGATTGAAAGCATGTTTTTGTAAGAATTAAAGAAAGAGAAGGAGGGGCCGGTGCTGCGGCACAGCAGGTTAATGCCCTGTCCTGAAACGCTGACATCCAATATGGGTGCTGGTTCGAGACTAGGCTGCTCCACCTCCAATCAGCTCTCTGCTGTGGCCTGGGAAAGCAGCAGAAGATGCCCAAAGATGAGATGGTTGCGGGTAGGAGGGAGGTTATGTAGGGGGAAAGCTGCTTTTCCAAAATCCAAAAGTTGTACTTTGGAAATTTATATTTATTAAATAAAAGTTGAATAAAAAAAAAAAAGAAGATAGCCTAATTCCTTGGGCCCCTGTACCTGTGTGGGAGACCTGGGGGTAGCTCCTGGCTCCTGGCTTCGGATCAGCATAGCTCCAGCCATTGTGGCCAATTGGGGAGTGACCCATCGGATCAAAGACCTCTCTCTCTCTCTCTCTCTCTCTGTGTAACACTGACTTTCAAATAAATAAATTAATTAAAAAAAAAAGAGAGAAGGAAGGAAGGAGTGGGATTGAGTAAGGGAGAAAGGAGGAAGGGAGGGCAGTATGGTGTCTTTTTGGAACTGTGCCTATGAAAGACATGAAATCTGTTCTCTTTTTATTAGTAAAAAAATTTTAAGAAGGGTTAGGAGCTTTTGGAGAGGCGAACACATGAAATTTCTGGAGGATGGCATGCAGAGAATGGGTATGCACATTCAACACATCTTTTTTCCACGCTTCACCCTAAGCATTTCTTTCATCTGTATCCTTCGTAATTTCAATGTTAAATGTACTCAAGGATTGGGGTCATGGAAACCTCACTATTTAGCCAGTTGCTCAGAAGTACAAGTCACAAGCCAGAACCTGTGACTAGCATCTTAAATGGGGGTTGAGGGAACTGAGCCCTTGAACTCTGGGATCTGATGTTCTCTCTAGGTAGACAGAGTCAGAACTCAACCAAATGACAGCAAATGAGGTGGGCACATCCACTGGAAAGTGCTTGTTGTATAGGCAAACAAAACCTCCCAGATCTGGTGACAGGAGCATTCTACACTGGGTTGAGTGAGGTGTGAGCATGGTCTAAGTGTTTCCTCTCAGAGCACGCAGTAAGGGTGAAGCTCTCATGAATGTGGTTAGAGCAATCCCTAGAAGAGCAATGAGAAAGATGATCTGTCTCTGCCGCTCTCTCCCAGGTAAGGACACAGCAAGAAGGGGGCCATTTATCAATCAGGAAGAGGGCCCTGTCCACACTGGTATCTGGACCCTGAGCTTCTAGCCTCCAGAACTAGGAGAAATTACTGCTTACTGTTTAAGCCACGCAGGGTACACCTTTTTGTTATAGGAGCCTAAACTAAGACACTGTAAGCTCTGTACTTCTTAGCGATCAAATATTCTCATTAGTACCTTTTTTATTTTAGTAACAAAAAAGTATTCTAGAAAAAGTACAAAATGAAATCTGCTACAAGAATGTATGTTTCTTTTCTTTTTGCTGAGGAGTTGGATTTTCAAGAAACTCCTCTATATCTGAAATACAGCTGCAAAATTTCTAAGAAATTGTGCCAGCAAGAATTTTGAAAATATTAATATAACATGAATTTTAAAGAACTCAAAATCAAACTATGTACACTTAACAATGGGGACATGTCAGGGCCGGCACTGTGGCATAGCAGGTAAAGTCTACACCTGCGGTGCTGGCATCCCACATGGGCGCCGGTTCAAGACCCAGCTGCTCCACTTCTGATCCAGCTCTCTTTTGTGGCCTGGGAAAGCAGTGGAAAATGGCCCAAGTCCTTGGGCCCCTGCACCCACATGGGAGACCCGGAAGAAGCTCCTGGCTCCTGGCTTCTGGCTTCCTCAGATCAGCACAGCTCTGGCAGTTGTGGCCAACTGGGGAGAGAACCAGAGGATGGAAGATCTCTCTTTCTCTCTGTGTGTAACTCTGACTTTCAAATAAATAACTAAATCTTTAAAGAAAAAAAAAAAAAGAGGACATGTCAAAATGCCTCTGGCGCCGCAGCTCACTAGGCTAATCCTCCGCCTGCAATGCCGACACCCCGGGTTCTAGTTCCTGTTGGATTGCCGGTTCTGTCCTGGTTGCTCCTCTTCCAGTCCAGCTCTCTGCTGTGGTCCAGGAAGGCAGTGGAGGATGGCCCAAGTGCTTGGGCCCTGCACCTGCATGGGAGACCAGGAAGAAGCACCTGGCTCCTGGCTTCGGATTGGCGCAGCACACTGGCCGTAGTGGCCATTTGGCGGGGGTGAATCAACGGAAAAAGGAAGACCTTTCTCTCTGTCTCTGTCTCTCTCACTAACTCTGCTTGTCAAAAAAAAAAAAAAAAAAAAAAGAAAGAAAAGAAATACAAATAAGTAAGTTTTCTTTTTATCTCCTTCAAAGCATCATGCCTGAGTCTTTACAGCAGTGACCCTCAATGTGGATGTGCAAGGTAACTCACTGGGACAGAGGAACAAAATGTCAGAACTTCCATTCATAATTACATCTTAAACTTAAAAATTCTATATTGTTTTGTGCCTGGAATTATAATACATATAATAATCTAGTAATATGGATGTGTAATTTATAAATATTATAAACATAAAATTACTTATTAATGGGGTTCATGGTCAATAAAGCTTGGATGTGTACCAGAGTGTAAAGGACTTCCCTTCCACAGAGCAGTTATAAAAGAATGAACTTATATTCCTCTCTTTATATAAAATTTCTACTCAGATTTTAATTCATGCTCTATTCTGGGAGAAACATATATTTAGGCATCTGCTATGAAAGTTTTTTTTTATTTCACACATGACTAAACAGAAATATATAATAACTTCAACCCACATGTTAAATATTATGCAAAACAGCAAAGTGAAAACCAAAAAAATGTGTTAAAGACAGTAAACAACATTTAGCTGGTTAATAATCCACTGTGCATTTAGTAAAAACACTGCGGGTAGACACAAAGATAACATGAAAGGTCTTCAGAAAGCTCATGGAAAATGTCTTAGGAAAAGAACTATGCATGGGTTTCAAAATATTGTTTACACCAATATTATCTTTTAATTTTACTTTTCCACACACTTTTTGAAGTTCCACTGTACAATAGCCCTTTCTCTTAAGAAATGTGTTTATCTAATGCAAAGGGCACAGAAGCACTATTATAACTATATACAAATGTCTAGTTTCCCTGAAGAACTGGGGTAACTGGACCCCTGTGAGACTCCCAGCTGCCCACAGAGACGTGAGAACACTGCTTTAAAACACACCTCTTAAGTTCTGGAACTCTTTCTCCCACTGTTGATAAGGATACTCACAGTCTATTTTGGCCCTAAATTGGAAGTCTAGCTCTGCCCTGTCCTATCAACCAAGTAGATTTTACAGTGTCCTATTCTTTGTAGTAGACAATATAAAGTTTTCTCAGTATACATTCTAAATATAAATATGCTCTTTCCAAGCTACATAGCTCCCCACCAAGGTTCTAGTATACCTGCCAAAGAAGGCATACCTTCTCCCAGATTCAACATTACAGGTCAGAGATAAGGATGACAAATAATGCAATACATTCTTGTGAGTGCTTTTTCCATATCTATTAAAAGCCCTTTATTCAGAATTTACCAGTGAGACAGGAAACAAAACAATGAATATCTTACCCAGTGTTTTCTGGATATCATTCTTGGCTGGAAGTAACGATCCCCTGGCATCCAACAGCACTTCAGCCGTTTTCTTCAGTTTTTCTACAGCCACCTGCTGACTTGATATCTGTCCTTGCAGAGCCTGTAGGATTAAAAGCTTTTCAATTATACTGCAGAGGAATAAATAATATGTTTAAAATATGAAAAAAATCATTTACAATAAGATACATTGGACAGAGTAAATTTTCCATCATAAAAATTCTCATCCTTGTAAACTTACCCAGAGTTCTCAGAATAATGCTAGTTACAAAGCAACATTAGCAAAAGAATCAGGCAGTGTAGAGAGCACAAATTCAATCTGGAAATAAACCCTAGAGCACTTGTTCACAATAATTTGCCGGGTTCCTGACTTACCCTCTTACTTTAGCTTCTGCTCCCCCTTAACCCCATTTCTAGATTTTGTGCACTATCCCCCTAACATCAAAACAACAGCAGCAATAGGGACTGATGCTGTGGCACAGCAGATTAAAGCTGCAGCCTGCAGTGCCAGCACCCCAAATGGGCACCAGTTCTAGTGACAGCTGCTCCACTTCCAATCCAGCTCCCTGCTAATGCACCTGGGAAAGCAGTGGAAGATGGCCCAAGTGCTTGGGCCCCTGCACCCATGTGGGAGACCTGGAAGAAGCTCCTGGCTCCTGGCTTCAGCCTGGCCCAGCCCCATCCATTGTAGCCATTTGGGGAGTGAACCAGCAGATGGAAAATCTCTCTTTTTCTCTAACTCTGCCTTTCAAATAAACAAATAAATCTCTTAAAAAACACACACCAATAACAATGATAATAACAACAAAAGCTTCAAACAACAACAAAAGAAAAACTCAACAACAAAAAACACCTTTGGGACTATTTCTGACTGCAAGTAAGGAGACAATCAAAGACTACCATATCATTAGATCCTGAATCAGTATCTACTCCTATTTACTTCAGTTAATTCAATAAAATTACTGAACATCTAACAAATTCAAAAAGGTTTGCTGCATTTTATGAAAATAGAAAAGTAAAGCAGACACAAAGCTTATTCACAAGGATCTTATAGTCGAAGGCAGGAAGTAATAAATCCTGAAGGTAAGAAAAATCACTGGAAGTTGACATGAAGAGAGGGAAATGAGGGCCTCCTCTGTGGTGGTGACACTGAGTCGGGGCCTGAATAAACTGTGGATCTGGACATGTACAAATGGAGAGGGAAAACATTTCCCAGCAGGACAAATACAAGGCACAAAGATGCGGATAGAGAAATCACAGGAGAAGTGGGGAGGCCTGTCCAGTTTGAGAATGTGCATGGGTGGATATATAGAAATAGGGCTGGAAGACCGACAATGTTAGGCTAATGGTTTACATTTTGTCCTGTAGAAATGGGGTGTTACGGGGCTAGCATTGCAGTGTAGCAGATGAGACCACAGCCTGTGAGGCCGGCAACCTCTATGGGTGGTTAGTGTCCTGGCTGCTCCACTTGCCATCCAGCTTTCTGCTCATGGTCCGGGAAAGCAGTGGAAGATGGTCTAAGTACTGCGGCCCCTGAACCCACATGAGAGACCAGGAAGAAGCTCTTGGCTTCTGGCTTCAGCCTGGCCCAGCCCCAGCCACTGCAGACATCTAGGGAGTGAACCAGAGGATGGACAATCTCTCTTTCTCCCTCTCTGTAACTCTGCCTCTCAAATAAATAAATTAATAAATATTTTAAAAATTTAAAAAAAGAATGCATAGCTATTCAAATCATTTGAGTAAAGGGTTGAGTAGGAACATCCTCAGGGCTGAATAATAGGAAGGCTAAATTTGTGACCCTGCAAGGGCAAAATTTAATGGGACAGAAATGAATCAGAGATGCCAGGAGTGAAAATGCAGTGAGGAACACTGAGGGCTGAGGACCAGCGCAGTTTTACTACTCCGTCTGGGCTGAGAAAGTGGAATTAGTTGCAGAGATGGAAAGCATACAAAGGACTTGCTAATGTTACTGAAGCTGCATTGTGCAAGAGAGTAGCCACTAACTTCCTGTGGTTTTTAAATTTATTTTAAATAAATTAGAATCAGATAAAATTACAAATTCAATTCCTCAGCGGACCAAGCCACATTTCCAGCACTTAGTGGCCAGGTATGACTAGTGGCCACCATATTGGCCACAGCAATTACAGAACGTTTCCATCATCACAGGATGTTTTATTAGTACTGCTCAACAGAGTGGGAACAAAGGATGAGATAAGAAGCATCCAGTTCTTGAGCCTAGGTAAGTTACAGAGTTTGTGAACAAAAGTAAGAACAAATTTCAGTGGCAAGTAGCTGCCATTCTCAAATTCACAACTTCAGGGTGCTTCTGGGACCTTCATATGGAGGACACTGAGCACAAACTGGAACTACATAGGCAGAACTGTCAGCTAGGACACCTGATGCAACCGCTGAAGGCCAAAGCACAGCGACACCAGAGAAGGACATGGTAAAGGGTCAGGGAGGGTTCTTGTAGTCAGAGGAATGGGAGAGGAGGCAGAAAATAATGTGATCACAGAGGTGGAAATGAGCCCCAAATAATTCTGTCCTTATTGTTTGGGTATGGTTCAAGTGCGACCTCCACAAGTTCATGTTAAGAGGGGGAGTGGGAGCCAGCATCGTGCCATAGTGGGCTAAGCCTCTACCCACATCCCACATGGGCGCCGTTTCCTGTCCCGGCTGCACCTCTTCTGATCCAGCTCTCTGCTATAGCCTGGAGAATCAGCAGAAGATGGCCAAAGTGCTTGGACCCCTGCACCCACATGAGAGACCCAGAAAAATCTCCTGGCTTTGGATTACCCCAGCTCTGGCCATTGCAGTCATTTAGGGAGTGCACCAGCAGATGGAAGATTTTTCTCACTCTGTCTCTCCCTCTCTGTCTGCAACTCTAACTCTCAAATAAATAAATAAATAAATCTTAAAAGGGGGGGTGGGGGCTTTAAGAAGTGAGGTCATTAGGTCATTGCCTGAGTGCCCTGAGAAGGGATTAAGGTCATTCTCCAGGGACCCTGGCTTCTCACAGAGTGAGTTATTACGAAAGGGACTCTCCTCTCTCTGGCTCCTGTCTCCCCACCTGCTCTCTCCCTCTCTAATGCGCGCTCCCATGATGACATCTGCCACAAAGTGGTGCGGTCAATGGGACCTTTGCAGAGCCAGCACCTTGCTGCCTGGACGTTCAACCTCCGGAAGTGTGAGATAAGCAAACCTTTTTTTTTTTTTTTTAAAGTCCCTCGGGGTTAGGTGTTTTCTTACAGTAATGAAAAAGGAACAAATACATTCCCTCAGCTTAAAGGTAAGACAGATGTTGCAAAAGGTTAGCAATGTCTTATTGGTTTAGAAATGACAATGTAAACCAAAAGAGTAATGCCTTCTTGAACTTCCTGAATGGAGGTCCCTGTGGATCTCTGAGAAAGCAGATGCAGCGGGAGCGAGGAGAAGAGGGGCAGAAGCGTGACCACAGCAAAGTCTTCCCGAAGTCTGGCCCTGCAATCTGAACACCCCTGACACATCTCTGCCCCAGTGGCCTGGCTGGCCACAGAGGCCCTATGCTTAGCTTCAGTTTCACTTAAGGTACTTGAACTCCTCTTCCAGTCTTGCATTCAAATTTCCAAGTCCATACATCCAACTGTAGATGAACTCATGCCTGGCCAAGGGCTCAAGTTTCCAACTGCTTCTTGAATGTTTCCATCTGGGTGTAAACAATCACCTTAGAACTCAGAAGCACTAGATCTGAACCCATCATCTCGTTCCTTGCACCAGTACTTCTTCCTGAGGTTACACCTCATTACCCAAGTAGAAAACCTGATGCGCCTACTGCAGTCTGTCCTCTCAATCTGTTCCTCATACAAATCAAGCACCAAGCCCTGACAATTTTACCTGCTTAATATATATATGTATTTCTATATATTTTATATATTTACTATATACAATATATATTATATATATATATATCTAACATACGTATTTTAAATAATCAGACTTTTGTATTTCTGGATTACTTCAAGACAATCCCTCACTCATGTTACTGACAAAAGACAGCCCATGCTATCTTCAGTCCCACCTTTGTCCACTTTCTGTCCCACAAAGTCCAATGACACAGCCATCTGAGCATCTGTTCACGCTAGACCCAAAGCCTTCATATCTCTACATACTAATCTTTTCACATACCTATACCCTCGTAATCCTGAACCTAGCACTTGCTTGTTCCTTTATATTCAGCTGGGAAGCCTTTCCTCTTTCCTCACACCCCTAGTTCAGCACTTCCCCCCAGGAACTTCCACAATCACCCAGTGACAATTTCTTAATTTGATGGAAGTCCATGTCTTCCATCAAACTGTAAATTTCTTGAGAACCAGGAACTCATTCTATTCAACCTTCTATTCATAGTGTTCCGTCTAGTGCTTGGCACATAGCCACCACCTGATAAAAGTTTCTAGAATGAATGAATAAATAAGCAAGGGTATAAGACCTAAAAAGTTCCTCTTCTGTTTCAGTATTTATTATTGTTTTAAAATAAATACCTAAGGGTTATGGCTAAAATATCAATTAATTTTTTATGATACAAGAAATTATGAGGACACATGGGCAGTCTCTGTATACGCTGAAAACCCACCAACCTATGGCTAACATGGAATTTGTGACCTGAATACCAGATCCTGCAGGTTTTTTAAGCAGAAAAAAATGCACATCAAAGTAACTCTATTTGGGGAATTCTCTTAGAGATTTAGTTTTAAAAAGTGACAGAAATCCCTTGAGACATGGACTTGCTCTATAAACATATTTATATCACATGTTTATTTAGATCTTCTAAATAATGTTAAAAAATTAAGAACAGCTTCTCCCATCCTCAAATTTTTTTCAAAATATGAGTTCCCTGAGGACAGAAACAGGGTTTTAACATCTCTGTGTTTTTGTAAAACCAAACAATGGGTCCACTTCAAAAATGTTCACTGAATGAATAAACATAGTAAAAGTTATTGTGGTTCTAGAAAAACACCCAATACCAAATATGGCTGTGCCTTCCATCTTAACACCTAGAAATGGATTACAAAAGAAGTAGATACATCATTATTTCTTCTCTCCAAATCAGCCCATGCCTTGATTCTCCAAAACTGTGTTCAAAAAGGTTAACAGTTTTCAATTATTACATGTATCAGGTCATAGTTAAGTGTTAGTGGTGGTTATGGTACTATTTTGGAACAAAACTTCAAATTGATATATTCAAATGTGTACCTTAAATTATTTTGAAATGATTTTAATAAAAGTAAATGAAACATGAAAGAAGCATCTGCAACAGGGACTTCTGTAAAATTGTGGCCTTGATCTCTAAAGCTGCAGGCACTTGTCCAGTTTATGAAAGTTTCCTTGCTTGACACCACCAGAGAGTCCAAGAAATCTGGCCCCTTAACTAGTTCCCAACCTGTGTCTCAGAATGGTCCCAGAATCCTATCTTCTGTGTCTATGATGGGGCTAAAATCCTCTTTTATTCTCTCCAAGATCTTGATGTGTGTCACATAGCCCAGTGGTATTAGGCTGTTGACAACACAGCTAATAATCCCCTGAATAGGAATGCTAAAAACAACATGCATTGGACAGAAATACCTCAAATGAATCAACAGGGTACCCCCAAGTCAAATTCATTTTACCACAGAATATAAATAGAAGTTAGTATGTTAGATGTAGATGAATGATTTTTGTTTTAGCTTTATGTGTTTATATTATTGGTAAAAGAAAAATAATTTTAACATGTTGCTAATTTTTCTAAATGGAGACTATCTAATCCTCATAAAAATTTATCCTCACTACATACTAGTATTTTCATCTATAAAAAAATATGTACATATGCCAGGGAAAACCTTAGGCACACATTTAATTTTTAAAATTGTGCTGTGGCTTAATTAGAATTCATTCTCCTTTGAGATGTCTCTCTTTATATTTCTCTGAGTGCCTAAAGAAGTTGTTTTCTACAGGGCTTAGCAAATAAATTTTGCTGTTTTAAAAATTAATCCATATATCTATTTAATTAAAAAGCTATAGCATTCTCTTGGGATTTTCTCTCTGTTTTGCTCTAGTTCCATAAAAATTAGTTTATACAGGATATAATCTGGTTTTTAACATAGGTCTAACTCAACATGTATGTTCTATGTTCTATACCTTTCTTTATATAGGGCATTATGTCCTAACTACATGTAACATAGGAAATCACAGTAATTATTTTAAACTATTGGCATTTCCTACCAAAATAACAGCCTTAACATCTCAGTATCTTCATTTCCGCCACCATATATTCTGTCCTTGGGCACTTATCCAAGTGGAAACTGAAAACTTAATTACAACAGATCTGTTCTTATGCTTGTGGAAAAAAAAAAAAAAAAGAAAGTAAAAACAAATAAAGCTACACTGAAGGCTGGCACTGTGGTGTAGGTTAAGCCTCCTCCTGCAGAACCTGCATCCCATATGGCTGCTCCTTTTCTGATCCAGCTCTCTGCTATGGCCTGGGAAAACAGTGGAAGATGGCCCGAGTGCTTGGGCCCCTGCACCCATGTGGGAGATCCAAGGAAGCTCCTGGCTGCGGATGGGAGGAGCTCCGGCCATTGTGGCCATCTGGGGAGTGAAGCAGTGGATGGAAGACTTCTCTCTCTCTCTGTCTGTAACTCTGCCTCTCAAATAAATCAATAAAATCTTTAAGGAAGAAAAATACTGAAAAAAATATGTCTGAAGGCAGGAGACAACCCATGGGGAAGCTGTATCCATATGGTGGTACTGACCTCACTCAAGACATCTCCCTGACGCCTGGGTAGGGGTTTGGGTTAACTCTCTAGCCCCAGAATGACTCCATCCTCTTTACCTCCTTGCCCCTCTCCTGCCCTCCACTCATCCTTTGCTTCCACCTCCCTTACAGGGCCTTCTCTCAGTTTGGTCTTAACTGCAACATTCACTTCCAGGATGACTTCATTTTCTTCCAACTGCAGAGGCCAGTGCCCGGCAATGCCTAATGTTAAGTCACCCAGTGGAACTCTTCTTTCTAGTTAACAACACAGTGATTTCTGACTTTGTAACTGACACACAGTCAAACTTAAACAGCAGTTGTTTAACAGGCAATCCTGGCAACAGAACTGAATCATCAGCCATGGCAGTACTAAGCTACCGCCACCTATCTACTTAATATCACAGAGTGCGGAGGGTACTTTGAAAGGTCTGTGGGGAACTGAAAGATTTTTATTTCGGTACAAATTAATTTTGAGGTCCATGCCTACTTTCATCACAATTATGCATAAGACTCTTCACAGATTTAGATGAAATTTTCAAGTTCAAAATTGTTGGTCATATTAAATAATAAAAAAATACTACCTCTGTTTACATTAGAATTTTTAAATATACTTTAAATTTTAAAAATAGCAGAGACTCCCTCTGCAGTGTGGGGATGATAAAGATTCCCACAGTGGCAGAAGTCTGACATTAAACCTGCATTTCTGAAAGGGAAAACGGGGGCCAGTGCTGTGACATAATGGGTAAAGTTGCAACACACCAGCATCCCACACTGGTGCTAGTTCGAGTCCCAGCTGCATCTTTTCCCATCCAGCTCCCTGCTAATGCACCTAGGAAAGCAGTGGAGGATGGCCCAAGTTCTTGGGCCCCCTGCACCCACATGGGAGACCTGGAAGAAACTCCTTACACCTGGCTTCCATCTGACCCAGCCCTGGCCACTGCAGGCACCTGGGGAGTGAACCAGCAGGTGGAAGATTTCTTTCTTTCTCTCTCTTTCTCATTCTCTATCTCTGCCTTCTAAATAAATAAAATAAATTTTAAAAAAAGAGAGAGAGAGAGAAAGAGAAGCAGACTTCTTCAGAACTGTGCTAAGTAATAGTAACTGACTTTGTATCTCCATGGATCATGAGGATCCTATATAGGAACCCTAGTCCTGGTCCTTAGAGTTCCTGAATATGACAGTGATAGTCCTTCCCTTGCATCTGGACACTGGACAAGTATTTCTTGAATATCTGCTTTGAGCCATTTTAGGCACTGGGAAAACAGCAATGGACGAAGCAGAGAGGGAGATCTGCCCTCACGGAGCTTAATTCTAATGAAGGAAAAAACAATGAAAAGTATCTGGATAAGGCTGGCGCTGCGGCTCACTAGGCTAATCCTCCGCCTGAGGCACCAGCACCCCAGGTTCTAGTCCCGGTCAGGGCGCCGGACTCTGTCCCGGTTGCTCCGCTTCCAGTCCAGCTCTCTGCTGTGGCCCGGGAAGGCAGTGGAGGATGGCCCAGGTCCTTGGGCCCTGCACCCGCATGGGAGACCAGAAAGAAGCACCTGGCTCCTGGCTTTGGATCGGCACAGCACCGGCCATAGCAGCCATTTGGGGGTGAACCAACGGAAGGAAGACCTTTCTCTCTGTCTCTGTCTCTCTCTCACTGTCTAACTCTGCCTGTCCAAAAAAAAAAAAAAAAAAAAAGTATCTGGATAAATAAGAGGCCTAAACAACTCTAGGTTTTGTTTGGGCAGAAGCTGCTGTGGAATGCAAGTAACAGGCCTTGCAGCCACAGCAAACCGGTCAGGGCAGCAGGAAAAGAACGAACGCACTGTGAAGACACACAACTTCCTCTGGAGGGAGGAATGCACTTCTCCCAAATCCTCCGCTCCTCTACCCTGAGTGAAATTATCACAGAAGTGTGGGAATCGGAAGCCTTCCAGTAACTCTACTGAAGGGCTGGCTTTGGTGCTCGCTGAGGCGTGCCCCCTCTCTCACCTTGGTCTCTTCTAACTGCCTTTGCAGATTCTTGGGGTCCACAGCAATGGGTTCAAGTAAGTGTTTGCTTGCCACGGCCTCACAGGCCTGGAGTCCAGAAAGAAGTCCACAAGAAGCGTCTTCATAGTGTTGGTATTTGTCCACCAGATCTTTAAGATTGTTTCCAAGAACATTGCACTAAAAATCAAGAGAAAAGGGTTGGGGTGAGAGATTAAACTTGACTTTTAACATGTGCCAAATAAACTTACGACCCATGAACTATGAAACCTGGGAAAAAAGAGTTAATTAATAAAAAAGAGTTAATGAAAACTCTATAGTTCTCAGATATTCTCTTTTATATGAAGTATATTCTAAAAAGTCAAAAAGTAACATAAAAATGAGGAGACAGCTTAGATTTATACCAACTCAAAAACATTCACTTAAGGGATGATTTTAATCCAGAATAAAGGATAAAGACAACAACGGTCAAAGGAGGCAGGTTTACCAAGGCATATTCCCACTGGGGTTTACACACCGGGAATGCAGGTATGTATTTTATGGGAAGGTTTCCAACGTGCTTGATAACTTATTTCTGCAAGTTGCACAAGATTCATTAACAAAAGGAGAGCAAATGGCAAATTGTACATTAGAATGAAGCAAAACCCAAAGTCAGCAATAGTCTGTAAATCCTATCAATTCAGCTTACTGTTCAGCAAACAAGGAAATGTGTTCTTACTGTTTTAAACAAAACTCTTGTACTTATTCACAAAAGCAAAAGAAGCAGAATAGTTTGTTAGTTGTTGATTATTAAAGTAACATACTGATCAAGTGTATTTGTAATACAATCACTTGCAATGTTTGTGTAGAGACCTAAGACAATACTTGCATACTTTCCAAGTTCAGTGGCCACAAGCCACTCCATATGCTTGGAGTCAATACATAAATGCCATCTGGTGGTCAGGTTGGATAGCACAGTTTTAGAGTTTAGGCTTCCACAAAAAATAAAAAACTGGGAGCTCTCAATCTTTAAACACTTTTTTCAGAACGAAAGAATACAAGGGAAGTAGGCTGGAACTACCTCTACTCGCTATTTCGGTTTTCAGGTTTCCTACTTCTAATCCCAAAAGGAAAGTTAAGAGGACAGAGTGGAAACAATAACCACAGATTTTCCCCTTAAAAAATAAAAATAGCATTACCTTAGAGTAGAGAGACCTGAACCGATCAGTAGCGTGATCGAGCTTGCCCTGGACTTCTCTGTGGGTGGCAGAGGTGTCAATATTACCCTTGTCAGTCTTGCCGTCTCTCTTGCTGCAAGATTTGGCGGCTTCTAACACTCTGTTTCCAGAAATCGTGATGTACCGCAGGTCCCCTTTGTGAGAAATAACGTCTTCAGAGAAACTCTTCTGCCTCTTTAATTTGGTCATTAAACTATTGAAGTCGTCTGCACCTGCCCCCAGGTTTTCCAGCTCCTGTTCCGCCTGCTGCAGCCAGTGCTCGAACTCGCTATAATCAGCATCGAACTTCTCTAATTCTTCCTGCAGCGAGTGCGTCAACTTCATTTTCTTCTCCGACTCTGCCAGTGCTGTTTCATAATGTGCTTTCAGCTCCTTCATGTTCTTCTGCAGCTTCTCTTTTTCCTCAGGAGAGAGATAGCGACCCTGTTTCTCAAGCAGCGCTTGGGCAGACTGAGTGGCTACGATGACTGCTTGGTGCTGAGAGATGATCTTCTCGTGTTGGGCCTAAGTGAAAACAAACTGACGGTCACTTTAAAGCAAAAGGGGGTTATATCAGGGCCATCAGGAGCTCCAACCAGCTTCAGAGAGGCACAGGGCCACAACTTGGTCTTCATACCCCTTCCCAAGCTGTAAAACATTCCTTTTTATCGCTGAGCTTCAGCATAGCTAGAACTGCATTTTGAGCTCTCCCATTTTATTTTTAAGGAAGTTTCCAACCTTTGCTAGCAAGTACCTAGATAATTGCACAAGACACATACTTTTTTTGAGAAATTTGGGGGAAAATGCTAACAAATAAGGGTGGCTGGTTGGCCCAATATTTATAAGATGCTGCTTAGGGGGCCCGCGCTGTGGCGTAACAGGTAAAGCAGCTGCCTGCAGTGCTGGCATCCTTAATGGGCGCCTGTTCAAAACCTGGCTGCTGCACTTCTGTTCCAGCTCTCTGCTATGGCTTGGGAAAGCAGTACAATATGGCCCAAGTCCTTGGGGCCCTGTTCCCATGTGGGAGACCCAGAAGAAGCTCCTGGCTTCGGATCGACACAGCTTCAGCCGTTGTGGCCAATTGGGGAGTGAACCAGTGGGTTGAAGACCTCTCTCTGGCCGTGGCTCAATAGGCCAATCCTCTGCCTGAGGCGCCGGCACCCCAGGTTCTAGTCCCGGTCGGGGCACTGGATTCTGTCCTGGTCACTCCTCTTCCTGTCCAGCTCTCTGCTCTGGCCCAGGAGTGCAGTGGAGGATGGCCCAAGTGCTTGGGCCCTGCACCTGCATGGGAGACCAGCAGAAGCACCTGGCTCCTGGCTTCCGATCAGCACGGTGCACCTGCCACAGCGCGCCAGCTGCAGCGCACCAGCTGCAGTGGTCATTGCGGGGTGAACCAATGGAAAAGGAAGACCTTTCTCTCTGTCTCTCTCTCTCACTGTCCACTCTGCCTGTCCAAAAAAAAAAAAAAAAACCCTCTCTCTCTGCCCTTCTTTCCTTCTCTGTGTATCTCTGACTTTCAAATAAATAAATAAATCTCAAAAAAAAAAAAAAAAATAAAAAGTTGCTGCTTAGGATGCCCACATCCCATACAGCATGCCCAGGTTGGAATACCGGTTATGCATGTCGTGGGAAGCAGCAAACGGTATGCTCAAATGGTTAATCCTTGCATCCATGTGGAAGATTCAGATTGAGTTCAAGGCTCCTGGCTTCTGCTTGGTCTCATCCCAGCTGTTGCAGGTATTTGGGGAATGAAGCAACAGATGGGGGGACTCTCTCTCTCTTTTTCAAAGTAAAAAAAAAATAATAAATTTCTATTCCAATTCTAAAGCAAACATCTACTGGTTTAATCTGATCATATTTGACTCACTGCTTCTTCATGGTCACCCAAAAGGGATCTCTAAAGTCCTTAAACAATTATTGAGCAGAGAAATGCAATATTTTTAATTAGGAAATTATCCTGAAAAAAACATTTAGGTACAGAGAAAAAAATTGATATTTTAAAGCTTCAACAATAATTAAGCAAGAGCCATGTACAGTCAGAGAAACCCAATGTAAATACAGGAAGCAATATAATAAAAGAGAACTCAGCTTCACTGGGCTCCTACCCATCACAGGGCTGCTGTAAGGAGCACATGAGATCACATCCACAGAACACTTCCTGTATAGCCTAGCACATGCCAGGGATTCAAATCTACTCCAAAGGCAGGAAGGCAGAGTTCTCAGGCAGGTGTGCTGCAGAACAAGTCCCAGATATGCAGAGCTACTGACAGCACCTCCGCCTTCAGACAGCATGTGGGCCACAGGTGGCTGAAGCCCCTTGCCCTCCACCCCTAAGTATCTTCTCCTATTCATCCCAATATGCCATACAAAATGGCAAAATGCATAATCACCCTTTTGAGCAATGTTCTACGTTTCTTATAATGGCTTACATGGAACCAAATGACCTGATCCTGCTATCTTAGATCTCTTTTTTATTGCTCTAACCTCTTTGCTGCTCCTACTCCTACCCACACCAGCTCCCCCTTGGCAGACACTATAGGACCTTTTTTTTTTTTTCCTGTTTTTCTTTTTGTCTGCCTAAAACAGCTTTTACATCAGATAGGCATTTGGCTAACCCCTCCCTCCATCTTCCTTTTTAGTCTGTACAAATCCCATCTTCCCCATGTGGTCTACCACATGAGCCTCCTTAAACACAGGTCTACCTTCACGAGCCTCCTTAAACACAGAAAAGGGTTCCCAGCTCCACAGCCTCACTTTCCCAGTTCCTTACGTTTCCTCCCTTAGCACCCATCATCTTCCAACAAGCCACAGCAGTAAGTTACTGTCTGCTGCACTATGCACAGCCCCTTAGTATGCAAGCAACAGGACAGCTTTATTTTCCTCACTGCAAAGTCCCAAGTGCCTAGAACAATGCTGACAGTCAGGAGCTGAAGCAAAAGAACTATTTGCTACTAGGTAACAAGAACATAGAGTAACCACTCATTTATGTAAGTCTGATCCCAATTAGTCAGTTGCAAACAATTACCATTGCAGGCTCGCTGTCTGTAACTATGCCTGTCATATGATGGGCACATGAAAATAATCTTTTTAAAAAGATTTATTTATTTATTTATTTATTTGAAAGACTGACATAGAGAGAGAGAGAGATACAGAGAGATTTTCCATCTTATAGTTCACTACCCAAATGCTAGCAACAACCAGGGCTGGGCCAAGCCAAAGCTAGAAGTCAGAAACTCCCTCCCATTTAGGTGGCAGGGACCCAAGTATTTAGGCCATCATCCACTGCTTCCCTGGCACATTAACAGGAGGCTGGATGGAAAGCAGAACAGCCAGGACTTGAACTGGCCCAGCAATATTGGATGTGGACATCCTAAGCAGCAGCTTAGTTGGTGCCCCACCACGCCTACCCCAATAAACAATCTTCACTAAGTTTTCTTCCATAGATTCAATCTTTCATATTTGAATATATGCATATGCTACATTCCATAAGGACTCTACATAACAGGATGGATAGACATACAGGATATCTTTAAAATGTCCAGATCCATCTCCTGCCTTTTACAGATGTAGTATCTCAGGCTAAAGGAAAATGGGTTGGTCCAGGACAGGTGGTACAACTACGGAGAGATAGACATCCTTGGCTCAGTGCCTTTGACCATCTCTCCACTCTACCAGGAGACTTTTAGGCACATTAAGACTCCCATATTCTTAGTGGTAAAAAGATCAGAAGGGAAATGTCATGCTGCAGCTAAACACAGGGCATTCCTGTGTGACATCTTCATGTTTAAGTCCACCTGCTGGTATTTTTCACTACTTTGGTCAAGTTACTAACTTTTCTTGACTTCTTTGTAACTGACTGATAAAGTTCCTTTAGGAATTCATCAGATGTCTCATTTTAACACACAATTGTAATAAAGTCCAATAACAGTCCTTGTAACTGAGATATAAGTAACACTTCCACTCTTCTGCCTTAATTTATATTTTCTATAAGAACTCCACAGAGAGCATCCTATTACAAGGATTCCCAAGACACAGAGCTGGAGGGAAACAAATAGAACTTTCTAAGTCTCTAATTACCAAAAGCCAAAATGAAATTATTGATTACAAGATACTTGAAAATTTTTTTCTACAGTTGCTTTGTTCCTCTGACAGCACTGATGCTAGCTTTACTTTCCATCAGGAAGCAATTTTTTTTTTTTTTTTTTTGGACAGCAGAGTTAGACACAGAGAGAAAGGTCTTCCTTTTCTATTGGTTCACCCCCAAAATGGCCACTACGGCTGACACACTGCACCGATCCAAAGCCAGGAACCAGGTGCTTCCTCCTGGTCTCCCATGCAGGTGCAGGGCCCAGGCACTTGGGCCATCGTCCACTGCATTCCCAGACCACAGCTGAGAGAGCTGGACTGGAAGAGGAGCAACCGGGACAGAATCCGGTGCCCCAACCGGGACTAGAACCCAGGGTGCCAGCACCACGGGCAGAGGATTAGCCAAGTGAGCTGTGGCGCCAACCTAGGAAGCAAATTTTTTAGGACTTTTGTCTCTTCTCAACAACAGCCTTCACTGACTGTATTAGATGAGTTGAGTGCTTAAAGACCTTAAATAAGCTGAAGATTGCACAATGAGCTAGTCAACAAATACGGATTGGAATTTAGGAGTGAGCACATGCCTTAGTTTTAAATCCAAACTCCATCAGGGGTGGTATAAGACCCTCAAGATTATTTGATCTGGCCCTGCCAAGGCAACCACAGGCGAGACTCGAAATTCAATAAATCTACAGCACACTAATTTTTAAGTTGATCATTTTGTATGGCCCATGAATGTTGTTGTAAATATCCAAATGGTCCATGGCAGAAGAAAGGTTCCCCACCACTGCCTTACAAGATGTGTAACTCGGGCAGCCTAGTAGTTCTGTAAGCTACAGTTTCCCCCTTTATAAAGTGAAAATAACCACCTCAAATAGTAACTGAGAAGGCTCTAAGAGTTAAGTTCAGAAAGAGCTCAAGAGCATGCCTGGCCCACTTTAATTGCTCTACAAATGTCAATTATTTTTATTATTACAGTCTTCCCTCACTGTCCTTAGAGGATTGCATCCAGGATCTCTGTGAGTTCAAAATCTAGGGATACCCGAGAGTCTTATATAAAATGATGCACTATTTGCACACAACCTATGTACATCCTCTTTACATCACTTTAGATCATCTGTACATTAATTAGAATGCCTAACACAATGTAAATGCTTGGTAAACAGCTGTAATGTTGTTGAAGGAATAATGACAAGGAAAAAGTCTGCACATGTTCATTATAGACACAGGTTTTCTTTTCTCAAATCTTTTCAATCTGCAAACTGGTTGAATCTGTGAATGAAGAACCTTAAAGGTTCAGGGAGTTGAATGTATCTCTATCAACTCTTCACAATTCTATATTACTTATGTGGAGAATGCCAGATCCAATGATTAACTCCTTATTATTATTATTATTATTATTGATATTTATTAGTTGTTATAATAAATGCCCAAGGACAAAAGGACACTATACCCTCTATGGTCATTAAGGTTTGCAAAGATAACTCATGTGTTAAGTTGCTTTCATCTTCATGACCTGGAAATAAAACTTTAAAATACCATTGCATTTAAAACAACACACCTTGATTTTCTGGTATTGCTGGTTGAGGTTCTCCTCGGTAGTTCCAACTTGCCCATCAACATCGGTTTCCAACAAGTTACCATTAACTTCATCCTCTTCACCAATCCCCGACATGCCATCACCTTCTTGAAAATGTGTTCCATTCTGTTGAATTACCCCTTTGTGATTTGCACCTGCCCTTTCTGAGTCTTTGTCAACATTGGACAACCAGTCCAAAAGGTTCTCTATTTTGGTTTTGCTTTCTTCCAGCTGCTTCACAGCCGCCACCTGGACAGGGAAAGTTCACAACAGGTATTCAGAACACAGGTCAAAGCATGGCTTTAGAACATCCAAAAGTAAGTGCTTAGATAACTTTAAATTAGGAAAAGAATACTAAAAATTGACACACATTGAAGCTTTAATGCATTAAAATTAAACCTTAGAGCAACAGGCAATTACTCTGAAGTTTTTACTGTTTTTAAAAATATAATCCAAAGTTAAAACTGTAATTGACAAGGGATGACACATTTCACAAGCAGAAAGTCTCACAATCTTACTTAAATTTTAAGCAAAAGTTAAGTAAAGCCAACTCCTCAAACCTTTAGTAATATTTGTTTGGATGCAAAGCTGGAAACCCAATATTCTAGTCCTTGGCACTAATCAATGCTAACTACCACCTGGCATCACTTCATATATGAGGTAGATATTATCTCAGTCGTTTACTGATACAGCAATACTGTCCTGCCATACATCTGAATAAATACCTTTTCAGTTTCTTCCTTGATTGCCGTCGTCACAACTTTATCCAGTTCCTTCTTCGACTGTTCTGCCTTTAAATTAAGCTGCTCACACTTTATCTTAGCTTCATTAAGTTTCTGTTCAATCAAAGCTTTATCTTCTTGTGACAGCTTTTCACCATTCTCTTTTAAGAAGTTTTCTGTGTTTTTCACTATTTCTGCCAAAGCCTGTGCACTTCCTTGCATATCTTTTTGTAATTCCTTATAATACAAAAGAAAAAAATATTATTAAATTTAGCTCTTCCAGAGTTGTAATCTACAAGGAGTGAGCACAGAACTTAGCACAGGCAGTAGTTTGAAAATCATATTCCTATGTTTAACTTGAGTTGACTTATTTTAGTAACAGTATTTGATATAATTTGAAAGCTCAAACAGCATTACAGTAAAGCACGATTTTTTTCATGTTCAATGAAGAAATGTAGTTTGTCAAGCATTGAAAACACTGGAGTATTGAATTTGAGTATATAATCCAAAAATCTGCATATATATCAATTTTTGTACTATATAAATACATTTACAAAAGCTTATAAATACAGGATACTATTTATCCTGTTTTTAAACATTTATTTTTTAATCTATATCCACTGCTCAGGATAAAAACAAAAGTTTTCCCACTGAAGTAAGATGCTATTGTCCTCTAAATCCCAGACTCTACAATATGTATAATATGTTTCTTACTGTGGCTGCTAGGAAGCTCGAAATTAATATCTGTGTTTAGCAGTCATAGCTTTCTTGTCTAGATTTCTATACATAAATTTTCCTCCTTGGTTGTTAGACATTTTCATTCTCTATACCACACTGTGTGTAAGTTTCAGTATTGTTTTTTGCATATCTGTAGCCTTCTTAAATTGTTCTAAATATTTGAATTAAGAGATCTTAATTGAGTCATGATTATGTGACATTAATTGTAATAGTGACTCAACACACAATATTTAATTAACTTTTATGAAAATGTGGCAATGACAGTATTACCAATGCAAAAATTGAGGCTCAGAGAGATTAAGTTATAAAGCCAACAATGTAGATAGTCTGGAATTTGAACAGAGTTATCTAGGTAACAGTCTGGAATTTGAACAGAGTTATCTAGTTAACAGTGAGACTGTTCTTTCCCTTGATACTAAAATAAAAGTATCTGGGGCTGGTGCCGCGGCTCACTAGGCTAATCCTCTGCCTTGCGGCGCTGGCACACTGGGTTCTAGTCCCGGTCGGGGCGCCGGATTCTGTCCTGGTTGCCCCTCTTCCAGGCCAGCTCTCTGCTGTGGCCCGGGAGTGCAGTGGAGGATGGCCCAAGTGCTTGGGCCCTGCACCCCATGGGAGACCAGGAGAAGTACCTGGCTCCTGCCATCGGATCAGCGCGGTGCGTTGGCCGCAGCGCGCGGGCCGCGGCGGCCATTGGAGGGTGAACCAACGGCAAAGGAAGACCTTTCTCTCTGTCTCTCTCTCTCACTGTCCACTCTGCCTGGCAAAAAAAAAAAGGTATCTTAATCTGTCATGTCTCATTTTTTTCCATCTTCAATCAGTAACAAGGAACAAAATGCAGAAAATGATGGCAGAAATAAAAAGGAGCTAGGAAAGACAAAGAACTCATACCAATGATTGTTTCCCCTGAATTGGCCTTAAATGGATCAATTTTATTTCATTATACAAGGTATTTCCATTATCAAACCTTCTATATGTCTTCCACTCAATAACTTACAAAAAAAATCTAACGTTCAGTATAGTGTTTCAAACTCAGGCCTGAGGCAACTAGGTATGCCTTTGCTTCTGAAAAGCCAAAATGACTGGGATTTTTCAATAATCCTGACTGCCTTCCAAATCATAGTACTCAAACCCCACAACAGCACAGAGCTGCCACTACAAAACCAAACTCTACCTCTTGTTTGGACTGGTACTTCTTTAACTCAATTGTGCCATCACCAATCACAAAGGCTTCTTGGTGACCAATAAGGCGGTTTTCAGTTTGGGTGAGGAGATCACATATCCCCTGGAGTTTCTCTTTGTACTCCTCTTGCCGCTCGGCCACAATCTAAAGTGGAGAGAAACCGAGATACTGTAAATGTCACAAAATCCCTGTGTGATAGCTCCTTATCAAAACACTTTTCAAGTTTCCTCTAATCAGCTTTGATAAGTATGCTGTAAACATGATAGCAATGGGGTACAAACTGAGCAAGGTGACACAGAAAGTACGAGCAAGTCCCAGGTACAAGGAAAAAGACCACGTTTGGATGAAACTGCTCGACAGAATACTGGCCATGCATATGTGTAAGAGATGGAACTTCTGACCGACAGGAAGAAGCATCCCATTTTCTTAAGCTCTTGAAACCTGCGACACACACAATTAATTCTGCAAAAAGGACATCAAAAGAGAAGTTAGTCGCGATTTGTTGGTTAACATATTTGAAATGTGTATATAGGTTATCATGCTAGAGACAATGTTTGGTTGCTTCAAGAAATCATAAAAGAAACACTGCATGCAACATATTTACTTATTATGTTTAATTATATTCCCATCTCTCTGCTCATTACTGCTAGTAGAGCACTCTAATATCATTTGTCAAATCTTCTAAAAGATGATTCAGTAAATTAGTACTAATCACTTTCTTCTTTCATTTTCCTATTATATAAATACCAACTATTCATCTTCTAGATGATATTTACTAGGAGCCTAACACAGGTGCCATGAGGCACTAAGTGATTTATTTACAGTCTTTTATGAGTGGTCCCAATACCACCAGGTAAGTACTGTTATGATGTCCAACTTGCCAATGAGAAAGCTGAGGTTGTGACTGCCCTGGGTCACACAGTGAGTGAGCAGTGCAGACGGGATGTAAGCTCAGGCAGTCTGGCCCCAGAGTCTACACTGTGAGTTGCTGTGCCACATCACTTCCCAGAGGAAAACTCTAAACTTTGTAAGCCATATGTTTTATCGATTTAATTCTTGACATTTTTGAATGCATTCATGTTTCCTATTCTTAGGGGGTAAAAAAAATCAAGTCTCCAATCTGAGTAGTTTTAGGAAGTCATGAAAATTAAAATCAACTAAATTATATGGAAACCATATATAAATTATCATGGAAACCAACATCATGATACACTGTAGGATCTCTACACCGTATCCTGTCCATTAATGCCTTTCCAGAAAATCTTCTCTGTGATGCTATAATCCCTGGGTATCTACATTAAAGTGTTACACAGAACTAAAAACAAAGGATTCCAACTCCACAAAGAAAGGCAAACCTTCTGATCATCAAGATCTTGTTCTAGTTGTAACTGAGTCTCTACACGTTCCACCTGAGCAATTACTGATTCCTGCACATCAACAAAACACTTCTGGGTTGCATTTAAGAGCCTCAGTAGTTGCTTGCTTTGCTTGGGTGACAAATCTTGGGCATGTTCAGAAACGAAGAACTGCACATCAAAGGCAATAGTCTCCAGCTGCATTTTGGTATGTCCAAGATCTTTCAACACATTCTGTGAACCAAACAGGACAAGTTACCATTGGAGAATTAAGTCCGGATAAAATTTTAGCAATGATATTTATATTTAAAATAGGCTTCTCGGCCGGTGCCGTGGCTCAATAGGCTAATCCTCCGCCTAGCGGTGCCGGCACACCGGGTTCTAGTCCGGATTCTTTCCTGGTTGCCCCTCTTCCAGGCCAGCTCTCTGCTGTGGCCAGGGAGTGCAGTGGAGGATGGCCCAAGTACTTGGGCCCTGCACCCCATGGGAGACCAGGAAAAGCACCTGGTTCCTGCCATCGGATCAGCGCGGTGCGCCGGCTGCAGCGCGCCAGCCGTGGCGGCCGTTGGAGGGTGAACCAACGGTAAAAGGAAGAACTTTCTCTCTGTCTCTCTGTCTCACTATCCACTCTGCCTGTCAAAAATAAATAAATAAATAAAATAAAATAAAATAGGCTTCTCATATCAGCAATGCAAAGATTTAATGACTGTTTTCATTATTCATCATAAACCTATTAATCATCTCTTAATGTGTGACAATAGTTATTTTAAAACTAAGGTGGTCAATAATATGTAAAAAGATAATTACTCCTTCTAAGAATATTTCTCCTTTGTCTGCCATATCACACTTAAAATGTAACTGAAGAAATGCAAAGATCCAACTAATGTATATTTAGCACACTGAAGGAAAACCTGGCATTATTATTTGCTAATATCTAAACATCCATATAATTCTGGTAACACATAAACAAGACCTTGAAAATTTTGAAGTATGAATTTAATGGGCCTGAATTCCAGTTTTTTTAACCCTCTTTTGAGGAGCCTAACCATCATTCATGAGGCTGATATTTAAATTGAGAACTTGGGAAAAAAATCATGTCTAAATTGACTATGTATAAACCTTACTTATACTATTATGTATTAATATGACAATTTTTAACATGACTAATTTATCCTATCATGTATCTATATGACTGAAACACGAACAAATACAAATGTCAACATGTCAGCAGTCTTAAGAGTTTGCTAAAAGATTTGGGATGGCATCAAATGGCATCCCTAAAATTATGATTATTTAGTAGTTGTGTCAACCCTGAACAAACATCTCTTAGAAATAAAAAAGGGAAGTAATTCTTTATATCATTAACAATGTCTTCTTTTTTCTAAAAACTTACATTAAATCCATAGGTTTTTAAAACATACTTTGTCATATTTACTTTGATACTTGCCTTGAGAAACACCAAATTTTTCTTTACATCTTCAGTGTCTTGAACATTCACATTCTCAATATCTTTCACAGATTTGCTCTTCTCTGATATCCAATCTGAGAATGACTGAAGTTTATGCAGAAATTCTTCATGGGAAACTGCGAGCTTAGACTAAAAAATAAAACTGTGCATTCATTTCTGTCTGTCCCCCAAATTTTAAATTACTACAAACAGTGATTTTGCTAAGGGATTAACACTCTTCATTTTAAGACTAAATTCTCCAATAATCAAATTTTCTCCAAAATTCAAAATTTGGAGGTAGCATTTGGCTTGGCAGTTCAGGCACTACTTGGGATACCTATATCCCATAATGGAGTATTTGGTTTTTAAGTACCAGCTCCACTTCTGATTCTCATTTCTTTCTAACATGCACCCTGGGAGGCAGCACGTGTTGATTCAAGTAGTTAAGTCCCAGCCACCCACAGAGGAAACCTGGATTAAGTTCCTGGTTGCTAGTTTTGGCTTGGCCCAGTCGTTGCTGTTACAGGCACTTGGGAAGTGAACCAGAGATGGAAGATCTTTCTCTGCCTGTACCTGTCTTCCACCTTTAAGATAAGAACACATTTTTTAAAAAATCTGACATCTTGGGACCAATACTGTGGCAAAGGGGGTAAAGCCACTGCCTGAGGTGCCAGCATCCCATATGGGCGACAGTTCAAACCCCGGCTGCTCCACTTCCGATCCAGCTCTCAGCTATGGCCTGGGAAAGCAGAATAAGAGGCTCCGGTCCTTGGGCCCCTGAAACCATGTGGGAGACCTGGAGGAGGCTCCTGGCTTCGGATCGGCCCAGCTCCAGCCATTGCAGCCATCTGGGGGATGAACCATCAGATGGAAGACCTCTCTTTCTCACTCTCTTCCTCTGTCTCTCTGTAACACTGCCTTTCAAATAAATAAATAAATCTTTAAAAAAAAATTTGACATCTTGATGCCCACCATTTCAGAGTCGATCGCAAGCATGATCTGTCTCGTTCTGTCTGAAGACAGGCTGCTGAGGGAGGAGAAGGCAGTGTGCAAACGCTGGTGGCTTGTACTCAACTCCTCAAGAGGTCCTCTAGGAAAGCCAGTGGGAAGAGACTTTAAGAACTCTTCTGCCAACGTCAGGTCTTTTCTTAAAATAATGGCAATTGGAGCCAATCCCAATTCGAATGTCTGTGAAGAAATACATGTCATATATATTGACTACTTAGTGAAAAACTTGAACATAAAAGGAAAGCGCTGTGCCTCTTTGTTCCAAATTGGCTGATTCCATCCATAAACGGGAGCAGACAATTCTTACCTCTAACTGTTTGAGTTGATTCTTCAAAGCTTCTAGATTGTTTTCCAGAGACTCCTGGTTGTCTAACGGAGGCTTCATATCTTGAAGCAAAGCCAAATACTGGTGCATTTTTTCAGTGTGCTGTAAACACTGCTGTAACTCATTGGAAAACTAAAAACAAATTTGAGCATTTTAATTCAACAGCCTTTGCACATGTTTTTAAAGCAAACAAAATGTAGGGGGGTTCGTTTGCAAATGTTTCATGCAGGTACTTTCGCATAAAATGTGTAAGTGAACTTACTTGTTCCATTGAATTTTCTCCAGAAGTCTTTTCTTGTGACTCTGAAACACATTCCAAATGGTTTGGGAAATCACTACACAGCTCCTGGAGTGTCTCATCTCTTGGCAAAGCTGATGCACACAGAGTAGATTTTTCTAGTCCAATTTCCTTTATATTTTGTAAGTTAAGGGAACAGTGCTTTCCTTCTCCGCCTTCAGGATCACCAAGAAGCTGTGTCTTTTCTTCCACCATCCCAGAAGCAGTATTAGCTTTATGAATCAGGGCTCCAAGCTGTTCAACTTTTTCTGAATATCCTCCTGCAAGCAGCTTGTAGAAAATGTTTTCAAGTTGCAGTGGAAGTATTTTAGATGTAATATTTCTTTTCTCTAAGTCATAGTCCATCTGAGTTAATTCTCTCACCAGTTCAAAGGCTCCTGTAATTTTTTGGCTATGTTGGTTTTGCTTCAGTAACTCGAGGAGAAGCTCAGACTCCAGATTTGCAATAGAGAAAGGATCATCTCTACTCTCTGTTTTTAGTCCCAGCAAGTTATTTGTGGGGGAAACCCCAGTACAGTCACTGAGTTTCAAGTCACTCAGCCCACCAGATGCTGCACTGACCACCCTGTCCACACAGGCTGAAGGTTCTCCAGCCTCCTCAGGAGTTACAGGATCTTCTTTCAATTTGCTTTTTAAGATATCCTTTACATCCCCAACAAATACCTGAGACAATTCAGGAATATGAAACTCCCTTTCTTGGGGTCTTAGAGATAACACTTGTTCTTTTGGTACCTCTTGTTCAATTCTTTCTTCTTTATTGGTAATTTCTAAAAATGAGTGGTCAGTAGTTAAAGTGTGACTCAAGTTATCATTTTCTATTCTATCCATATACAGCTCTGACTGGACATTGTTAAGAGAGAAGGTTGCAAGTGTGGCTTCATTATTTTCTGGTTCTATTCCTCCATCTAAGTCATTTTCTTTAGTAGTATGATCATCACATGGAACCATCTCTTTCAGAGGACAACCTTCTTGAGTACAACTCCAATTTTCTTTCACATTATTACCTCCAAATTGTAAATGTTCCTTCAAGGGAGGGACAGCTGGTAAAATAAAACTCGAGATATCCTCATTTGATTTCACCACATCTTTTGCTTTTATATTTTTAGCACAATGTTTTAAGAAAGTAAACAGATCAGGGTCTTTGTCAGGTCCATCAGTGGAGGAATCCTGCTCAATACTCGTATTCCTTTCAGACAATGCCATGTCGGAAGCAATGTCATCAGTGATCACTTTGGAAACTGACGTGTCAAATATTTCTTCAAGATTCTCAAACTGAACAGGACTTTTACTAGCCATTTGTAAATTAGCCGGTTCATCTTTAAGAGTTACAGTTGTTTCCTTAAGATTTTCTTTCTGGTTAAGTTCTTCATGGTCTGTGATCTGTGGAAACGGAAACTGACTACTAACTAAATTGAGACTTCCCAGTGTGCTTTCATCAAGCAAAAGTCTTGGATATTTCTTTTCTTCTTCTGTAAACACATCTCCTTTACTCAAGCACATTGGCTGAACTGTTGTTTCATTTTCTACTGGTATATTGTTATTGCTTTCTCTCCTTGTCATTCTATCTCTTTCATTTCCTTGGAGACCTTTATCAGTTACAGGGGCCGTGGTTCGTGGAAAATGGTTTTCCTCAACAGATTTTCCTATTGAATCAGGTTCAGAAGAAATGATGCTGTCCAAAGACAAGTGGACTTTAGATGTTACATTCTCAAAACATTGATCTCTACCTGTCACAGAGTATGTATATTCTGACCCCTGAATCAACTCACCCTTCGTGTTCATTAGATCCCTATTTAATCCAGAAGCTGAACTGATATTATCATTATTATGTAAGATATCTACAGGGCCAAAGGTTTGTTCTGATTCTGTATCTTTAAGCAAAACATCCTTAAGTGCTATCCCATGATTCAACAGATTATCTTTGCTTTTTCCAACAACCTCAGTTGTAGATTCTGGAAGACTGCTTCTTTCACTAACTAAGCTACTCTTATCGGTTGATTGTAGCTGTAAAGCAAAGGCACTTTGCTCTTTTTCTAAAGAACTACCATTGTGTTCGTTATCCAGGAGAAACTTTTTATTATTCCTATGGTTTCCATCACCGATTCCTTTTTCATTGACAGTTGTGGAACAAAGCTGGATATTCATATCTGCAGCCATATCTGGGCACAAGAGCTTTCCATTCTCATCTGCCACTCCTCCCCTTTCTTCATCACCACCACCATTGCCATCATCGTGATAATCACTATCATCATCATCATCACTGTCGTCGTCATCATCGTCATCATCATCCTGATCATTAATGTCAAATACAAAATCCATATAGCTCTCTTCACTGTGTATAGAATCTAAATGGTCAGTATCAGATTGAAATTCTTGTCCAGTTACATACTCCTCTTTTCTTCCTCTCCAACTGCCACTGTCATCAAAACTTAATGATGTGTTAAAGCTCTCTTTCCTTCCTACAATTTCATCATCAGTCAATGGGCCATACTCATCACCTTCAAGGTCATTTGTGCATTTCCTTTCTGATACAGATTCTAGCAATTGTCCATTCTCTTGATGTGAGTCAACTGAATTTAAATGTATATTTTTATCAGAACCAGATTCTACTTTATTGATACCTATAGAAAAATCCTGAGGACACTGTTCTTTGTCACTCACACTCAAGCTACCAACTGGTCCCCCCTGGGGATCCACAGAATCTTCATTATCTTTTGAGACATCATAAAAAACATCTCCAGTAGGCGGCATCCCATCATTTTCCTCTTGTAGGGTGTCATAGTCCTCAGGTTGCAGACAATCATGATCATCGCCCTCAAGAAGTAGAGAATCATGGTCATCATCTTCAAACAAAGGAGTATCATAAAAGTCATCATCACTATCAGTGTCTGTTTCTGTGTCACTCTGCTGATCATCCAGCAGTGATGTTTCATAGTCACCAACACTGACGGGTTCTACAAGCAATGGTGCATCACAAGTCTTGGATGCAATCGCATCATCAGTATCACCATTTGGGGGAATAGGTGACTTCTTCAGTGTCACTTCCCATGGGGTCACTTCCATTTTTGACTCATTTTGCTCTTCAAGTTTCTGCTGAGAAGCAATATGCATTATGTCCTCCTCACCAGCAGTATCTGACATGTAGTTACTGTGATATTGTACTTGAGGATTACAACCAGTATCTAAAGATTTTTGTCCAGAGTTTTCTCCCTGTAAACTTACGTTAATTGCTGCAATTCCTAGATACTGGTCTTGAAATTTTTCTTCCATTGTTTCACCCGATAACACAGTTTTGTCATTTAATGACAATGTAGAATTTTTACCGTGATTTTCACTGCGCTCTGAGATGCGCACAGCATTGAATGTTCCATGACTGTGCCTCAGTTTATCATGACTTAACAGGGCACTGAGCCTGGGGGAATAGTCAAAGACAGAAGAATCTTTGTTCCTATTATCTTCATCATCAGTTTCACTTGGATCACAGAATCTACCAGTTTCTGATTTCACAACAGGATGCATGATCAAATCATTTGCAAAGCCGTGAATGCTTTCAGCATGACTGCAATCATCAGCATGGTTGCTCGTTTCGACTTGATAGTGATTTTCACAGTTTTTAAGTATGTTATCAGAATCATGTCTAAACATGCTAGCTTCTACAAACTCAGTCTGTGTTAAATAAAATCTGGGGCTGGGAACACACACACTGGATGAACTTCTAACTTTATTACCCATTGTTACTACATTTTCTAGGTTTTCTGATTGATACAGTTTGCTACTGACATCATTATTTCCCATTTCATGAGATTCTTCACACATGACACACTTTCTATCTTCAGGGGTCTCTTTATGTTCAGGTTCTCTGCAATGACCTTTATCAAAACTACCTGACAAAGCTGTACATTCATCATTTTCTGCATTTGCAGCACAATTAGGAAATACACCAGGGAAGTTTAAGACATCGAGACTTTCTTTTACAGGTGTGTTCTCATTAAATTCTGCACTGCAGCCCTCCAGCAGCATACCAACCGCTTCATCCAAATCTCCATCATACAGCAAGAGCCTCTGCCCTGTGTTCGCATCCATGTAACTATTTATCATCAAGTAAGATAGAAACAATTTTTTAGTTTGTTCTGCACTCTGAGTTGCCACTGGCTCTTCTCCACCAAAAACATCCTCTTCTTGCCTGTAATCGTGAACTGTAGAAGGTTGAAATTTACAAAAAGAGAGCCATCTTTTGGCATTTTTACAAGCTTCCAGATCTCCTAAATCTGGCATTTTATCAGGCAGTATTACACTTTTTAAAATCGATGCTGTATTGTTATCTATAATCCCCAGCTGTTTTGCAACATCTAAACCAATGACTTGAGAACTTTCTGGAATATAAAGAGCAGCAATTTTCTGCCTGCCATTCAACATTTTGTACGCCAATTCATTTGTGATCAACTTTTGCTGCAAGGAAGAAGATGTGGGGAATATTTCACCAGAGTGGGGCCAAATGAGTCCAACATAGCCTCGCTGAGCTTCTAATACCAAAAGAGCACTGCTCGAAGTTATTAAGTCACACTGGACTGCTTCATCTACAGTTAAACGTTTAGCAGGATTTGAGCGGATGATTCCACCTGTTTGGACCTGATAGGTGAGAATACTGTTGGCAGTGTCTCTGTCAATCACCCCTTCTACCATGGCTTCTTCAACAGTCATTCTATGGCCAGAGTTGCAATTGATCAGACCTCCAGAAAGAAGCTGTGCACCCAACAACCTAAACATGGTTTCACGATCAATAAGGCCTTCATGAGCTGCTCTTAAAATGCTTATGTTCCTTCCACATTTTAAAGTTATTCTGCCCCCGTCTTGTGGTCTTACAGGGAGAAGCCACAATCCAGTACTTTCCTGTAAAATACTTCTTTGTACCATATCTATTAAAGACACTTTCTCACAGGTGCAGGGGTCAATAAGATCTTTGCACAAATTCTGCCTTTCCAGGACTTTAGAAAATAATGCTGAAGAAACCAAGTTCTGCTGGAAAGCCTTCTGCAGGGTCAAGTGTTCTCCTGTGGCTGGAATAACCAGGAAGCCTGTGGAAAACAGTATTTCAAGAACTCTGACGGCCATGGATTCTGATATCATGCCTTGAGCCAGGGCATCCAGGACTGGAATTGTGGTAGTTTGCACAGTAGAAATAATGTCCTTGGCTTTGTTTAATTCTTTGAGCTGGCAGAGAATTTGTTCATCAATAAGACCATGACGTTCAGCATCCTTGAGGTCAAAGCACTTTCTTAATTCTGGTGAAATGAGACCAGTAATCATTAGCTGTGTCTCAAGCAACCTGATTCCTGTGTCATAGTCAATAAGGCCTCTTAAAACTGCCTGAAAGACTGAAAGGACTTCTCCAGTTGTCTGATCAATGGTGCCTGCAATCACTTTAGCCAGCTGAAAAGAAAATTCAAAAATCTCAGGTCAGTCTGTTATACAACAGTGGCAGGTTTCATGCAATTTAGGTTTTGTGTGTGGTTCTTTTTTAAAAAATTTTGGAGATAAAGAATACACTTCAACATAAAAATCCTCTACTTACCAAGGTGCAGCAATGCTGTGAATGTTAGGCAGCTCAAATGCAAAAGTGATCTATGTCAGTGATCTATTCAACAGCACAGGATGTGATTAAAGCTTTGAAAACAACATGCATCTGTGAATTGAAAACTTCATATCGTGTACATTAACAAGGTTAGTGAGGACACAACAGATAGATGATGATAGTGAGGAAACAGAACATATACCTAGAAGGCAAATCATGCTTTCTGCATTTGGCTGAGATTAGAATCTAGTGACGTGAAAGAGTATCAAACCCCATGCTATGGATGTTTACAGCATACAGACTTCTTCAAAGACAGTCCAAATGTAAGGAACCAGAAAAATTGTTACCTACCCCCAAAATGTGACAAATTATGTTGACAATATTCCCAGAAGTGAGGTAATTAAATATGAAAAATTTTTGAATACCAAATATTGTGTTGGGCACATTGATACATACTGTCAAATTTAAGTACAGCCAAATTCAAAGTGCTTTCTGTCATATTTTAAGATGCTAAGGCATCCTCACAGAAATATATGGCCTTGTGGTATTCAAATTAAGTCTCATGGGTTATCTCTGAAAACCAAATCAACTCCATAACACAGCAAAGCCACTACAGAGATGACCCACAGGTTATTTCATAATATCATGTTATATACTAAAATACCTAATATAGCAGAAGAATGGCTTTTAAAGAGAAGAGTTAGAAAAATGAATGATTCTTTTCTTTTACCATGCAAGGCAGAGATTAAGATGTCACAGAAACTGATGATCAGCACGTGTAAGACTACATTTAATTAACAACACTGAAATCTCCAAATGTTTCATTAAAGTCCATCTATGCTTTATCCATATACAAAATTCAAGGTCATTTCTTTATTATTGACACATATATTCTCACAGTCATGCAATAAAACCAAGCTTCTTGAGACAGCCTTGCCTTTGAATAGATAACATTACCTTCTCCTCTACCTTTTCATCTGCTGAGGTTTGTGATTCTTGTAGTTGTTTCAGAGACTCACTGAATAGTAAGTTATAACCTTCTTGAAGAGTTTTCATATGCTTTTCCAATTCAATTCTTTCTTCATCTGTCATTCTAAAATAACCAGAAAGTTTGAAAAGAGTAATGCAGATTTTCAGGTGTAAAAATGGTACATTAGGTTCAATGTCTTTGTCATATGATAAAATAAAAATATAGCCTCATGTACATATTGCTCAGGTGTTGATATGGCTGTATGTTATAATTAAGGAATGGCCTTAAGATCACCTAAGATTCTTTTCATTCTCTATAAAAGGAAATGAAGGAAAGAGTAGAAAGTAATATTGGCACCTATCTAACATATACATTTCCAGAATAACAATTATTGACATTGACAGAGGGAAAGAACCCATTATTCATCCCAAAATAGAAAGGGGATAGGTAAAGTATCATTTCTTAAAAGAAACTTGTTTGATAAAGAAATTAGCCCAGTTGTTTTCGGTACCATAAAGTCTTTGAGGAATAATGTTAAGGAGGGCAGCCAAAAAAGGGCTTGATACAAGGGTGGATTCTTTCCCGCCTGAGGCATTCTTTCAAATGAAGTGATTTGTTGAAAAAAAAATATATATGAGAAATCAGGTTGCCATTAGGTGTTAGCTAAGAAAATGAAGAAGACATTTATACATCTTGTGATGGTCTCAGGAACACTACTTAATAATTAAGACTTGACTTGAAGTCTTAACCCTACCACTCACAAGCTATTTTAATCCTCAACCTCTCTGAGTCTGTATCTTATCAGTAATATATGGGAATAATAGGTACATATCAAAGTCACACTAAGACAAAAAGAGGTAATTAATTAAATTGTTAAAGTTACAATTGTTTATGTCCTTACACTCATTGAGAAAACACTGATTGGTTTAAATTTCATTTCTAAAAATCCCAATTTACCACTTTCTGCTTTTCTTATTTGGAATAAGAGAGTTCATGAAAACTAGCATACTTGTCTCCATGCTTAGCCAAAAAAAGCTGCAAGGTTTGAAGTGCTTCGGATAATTGTTCCTTCTTGGTTGATATTTCCTCACTGGAAATCTGCAAAGTGAAGAAGGCGTATTCAAACTCTCACCACAAAAGGACTACACAACGGTATTTTTTTTTAACAAATCAAATTTTAATCAAGACCCAAATGATAGTTCTTCTTTCTGGGTGACCCATGTAAATAACCTGTCAGTTATTAGCAGGTTATACATCTGGATAAGAAGAGCATTTATTTAGAATGCATGATGAAGACAAGATCTTCTCTAATCTTAGTGCATTCATTTTCATGAGGAATTAATAATACATTAAATGGTCCTTGCTATTGTCCAGCTCAACCCTGAATTCAGGTGGCCCTAAGCATCCAAGTGGCTAGAGGTTTGGCACTGGGCCCAGTATCTCCCATGTATGTCAGAGTACTGAAAAACATACAAGAATGTGGAATACTATTTCCAAAGAGTATATCTTTCTTCCCCGAATTCCTAGACATGTGTTCCTTTTGAAAAAAAGGTTATGGTGAAAGTGTTAATCTTAGGTCTTCAGATGAAGATTTTCTACTTTCAAATGCTAAAAATCCTCCCCTATAAAAGTTACCTGTGATACACAAATACGATTCATCTGGCTCAAGAAAAGCAAGAGGCCATTACACCTTCTCCTAATTTCTCAGTGCATCACATTCTTCTGAATACCTTATTTCAGAAATAAATTATTTTAAATGAGCCATTCTTTTAAATGAGTAGAAATGAAAGGAAGTAATAGGCCAATGAAAAGATATATTTTCCCCCAGTATGTTTCACATAGTGTCAACTCCAATTCTATTTTTCATGGTTATAGATGGTCATAAGGCCTCATCAATTTTTGGAGGACACACCTATTCACATCAAATTATCTTAAGTTTCCTTTAACAGACATCATCCAGTATTCCTAAAGAGCTATAAATATGGCCATGATTTGCATGAAACAGTACCTGTATGTTTTTCTGTGTATTAGAAATATTATGACCTAGTAATGTTTTGAAGAACTCGGCAACTATAGAATGTGAAAATGCCAAGGATTTAGTATCTGGGTTTCAGAGAAAAATTTGTTCTCCTAAAAGATTTTTGCTCAAGTGTATGTTCCTATTTTACTTGTATGTTTATCTGATAGGAGGGAAAGCGAAAAATAGGAAGAGAAGATATTTTAAATATTTACATTAAATACTTGTGAAAGTTGATGCTTTAAAACATCAAATGTAAGTAACTTCCAAATTGTCATTTCTTCCACTCTGATACATAGCGTGCAATATTATGAGCTAATACAACTTTATTTGAACTGAATATATTGCAAGTACATACTTTGGTCTTTAAACGTCTCCAAGGGGGAATCCCTGATAAGACAAATCTGACTCATATAAGAAACAAAATCAGTTAAGACATTCACATCTTCCTCAATTTAGTCACAACAACAATATTTCAAGTGATGACAAGTGAGTACTGAAGCAGAGATAAATACTGAGATTTAATGATAGCCCCAGAAATTTCCAAATGTCAGGCATGGGCGGGAAAGCAGTGTAGGAAAAGTATTCCTTGAGGACATAAAGCTTATCTTGATAGAACTTTACTTTTTAAAGATGAAGCAGCAATCCCACTAGTAGCAACACTGGGATTTATACCTTAACTACCAGTGTTCTAAGAGCTTCTAGTGATGTAGCCCATTTGACATCATGGAGCACTAACATCTCACAAGCTGTCCCCTCAACTAATAATAAGTAGTTGAGAGTCAGAAGATTATTCATAAAATTGAAGAATTCAGTTTGGTGAGGAAAAAGTCTAGAATTTCCATTTTCATCCCTATGAAATAGAAAAGATTCAGAAGAGTGCAATAAAGTCAGTATTCAAAATGTAATATCCAAGTTTGTATTTTCATTGACCTTGAAACATTTTATGTTTATAAGTATGAGCCTGTCTATCTTTATGATGTGGAATGTGTGGATTTACCCTGAACAAAAACATGATTTAACTCCTTAACAATTCTCATCATAATAATCAGAAAACATATCCTAACTATTAGGAAATTTAGTACAAAGTATCAGTTTGCTAAGAGTAAGTTCAATATATATTCTTCATGCTTTGGAACCAGAGACAGCTTCTCCTGCCATAAACTAATGGACATTCCTGAGGCAAGTTACTTTAGCTCTCTGATCATCAGTATAATTGCTTATAAAAATGGAGAAAATTAAGGTAAAAATGGAACGTTGTACTACATGGACCATATTAACTATGTAACTTCTATACACTGCTATTACTAATAAACCAAGACCTGTGTGAATACCTTTTGCTTAGAGAAGGGAGATTTTCCAGCCTTCTCTCCATCTTTCAATGTCTTGCTGATATTTGATACCCATTTCTGCAATTCTTTGGCTTTTTCAATATGTTCTTTCTTTTCTTCTTCCAGTGACTTCTGACAAGTGTGAGTGATTTAAAAAAAAAAAAAAAAAGATAACAGTCCAGTAAATGACTGAGCTGCAACACTGACCTCTCCAGCGAAAACAGGAATGTAGAAGCATCTTTTCATCACACAGAGGTTACTAAGATATTTTATTCATTCACTTAACCATGTTTACCATGTCATAGAGCATTTGTTCTTACAAAATGTTTACAATAGCAAAGAAAGCTGTGATAAACGTTCTTTAATGGCTGGTCTAACCTCCCAGCTGTTCCATCAATATGAAAAATAAAAAAAAAACAAACTCAACTTTATTCATGAGGCACTAGAAGATCTTTGAATTGCTGCCTTTGCATTAGCATTACAATCATAATGGTCTTGACAGACAGGTATCAGACAACAGGAAGCTGAAAGGGTAGAGAATGTCTACACACACACACACACACACACACACCCCAGTATGAAAAATACATAGGATAAAATACATAAAGAAAAACCCTCTCCCCTCTTAAAACACATAATACATCCGTAACGGTAGCTTTTGAGTCCAAAGTCTTAATGAGAAATAAGAAACTGTGACAAACATTTTCATATGTAAAGAAGGTCACTGTATACAGGAACACTCAACATTTTTTTGAAGCAATCTAAAATACTGCAGCCTCATGGGTGTGGGAGCACATTTACATCTTTCTTTTTGATTCCACGGTGCTTGGTGATGTGCTCTTTCAGGGACAGTGACATAGCTTTTAACAAATGGAACGCTAACACCAGGAGGCCCCCACTCAGTGAAGGGGTGCTATGAAGTTGTTGGAAGTGTGGGCAAGATTTTAAAAAACCCATTCTAAAAGCTTAGGGAAGCAGTTTGAAGGGCAGTAAATCTTTTGTTATGTATCATTTAAAAATTATTCTCTCCTCTGAGTATTCAGCCATTTCCTGCCCTCAAGAAATAGTGCTTCGAGTTGGTGACACAATTCCTGCATATTTAGTGGATACCATCTGCTCTACACAGATGGCATGAACCAGCCGGTGTCACCCCTTGCACAAAGGTACCTCTACGTGTCCTATTAGGCTGAATAGTATAGGCTAGAAATTCCTGTCATCAAGGGTTCAGACACCTCTAACAGTTTAAGTCCTGTGTGGAAATCAAAATCAGCTTTTTCTAAGGCTTCTTTGTACGTCAACTTTCTTTTTGTCCGGGGACATATTATATTTCTGACATGCGACTTTTGATCTTTCAGTTGTGTAGCAATGAGGACATCTATAATACCTACTTGGAGAGCCTCCTCTATGGACAATCGAGAGTGAACCTGGGGCTCGATCAGGCCCCCTGTCAAGTACTGAAATTCCAGACAGCGCATGCCCATCTCCTTGCTAATGATGTTTGCATTCACAGCTTCCACCACGGACATCATTTTGGTGGTGACCGGATGACCAATCCCTGTGATTACTAATTCACACTGTCTCAGCTGCTGGGCAAACCCTTCATCAACAAGGCCCCTATGCAAAGCTTCAGCCACCCGGTACTTTCTGCCAGTCAAAGGATCAATTATCCCTCCAGTACTGACTTGGGCTTCCAGACATCTGAGGGCAGTAATCCGATCAACCAAATTTCGCCGGGAGGCCTTCAGTAAAGAGATCCTTTCCCCACTAGAGGTCAGCCAATACCCTGCAATAGGACTGTGCAAATCCTTTTTGGGAACTAACCGGCTCAGCAAAGAATCAGCGAGCTCTGTCAGTGTGATGAGGCCTTCCTGATACTTTTGGAGCATGCCTTTGTCAACTGTTCCCTGCTCTACAGCCTCATTAATATTGAACTGCAACCCTGTTTTAGTATCAATCAGCATCCGAGAAGGATGCCCATAGGATTCAAAAAACATAGCTTCCTTCCACTGATACTGCTGCCCTGAAAGCTCAAGATACGTATTTTTCTCAATGAGGTTTCTCTGGAAAGCTTCATAAGCAGTCAGTTCTGCCCCTGTTTTAATATCTACTACAGAAATTTTGTGGGCTTTCTCTACGTTGAGATTAGAAATGTCCCTCTCCCCAAATGGAAACAGAAAGCACTGGCAATCTACATCAAACACACACATTCGCAATAACTCTGCGTAATACAGAGCTTGCCTATTGTTGGGATTAGGAAAAACTCTTGTGTTGCTGGATGGCTCATGCAAAAACTGGAAGATGGCATTATTTAACAAGCCCTGCTGCAGAGCCACTTCCGGAGGAACACGAATGCCTCTCACAGGGTCAATGATGCCGCCACTGGCAATCTGGGCCTCCAAGATATGTTTACCTTTTTGTCTGTCAAGCATTCTATTTTCCATGGCTTGAAATACTGACAATGTCTTAGTAGAAGACGAATACCCCAGGGCTGCTTTCTCTGCCTCAAGGAGCCTAATTCTGAACTCAGGGTCCACAATTCCTTTAAGAACTGCCTCTTCAACAGAATACGTCTGACCTGACATGGGATCGATAATAAAACCTGTGGCAGCCTGAGCTTCTAAAAATGCTAATGCCATCATTTTGTCTATGATGATTTTCTTGGCTGCTGAGGCAAATGAAATCTTCTCTTTTGGGGACTCTAGATAGAGTCCTGCAATTGAAGTGGCTTTTGTCAAAAACTTGCTAAGAGTTTTCTGAACTTCGTCAACTGTCTTAAGACCAAGTCTGAGCTGCTCGATTGTCTTCATGTCCAGAAGTTTAGCTTCAACCAGCTGCCTGGCAGTCACAGTGTGCCTGAGCCCTTGGAATTTAAATTCATCATCTCTAACTGAACATGCATGATCGCCATCAGAGTTCTGGGAAGGCTCTGGATCTAAGCCTTTCTTAAGGAAATCTCCTCTCTTGAGTCCACCAGAAGCTCTGCACCCTTCAAGCGTCCATTCTTCGGCATTGGGAACTGGGTTCATTTCTTGCTTTAATGCTGTGACTTCTGTGTGCATATCGTACTGCTTGTTCTTAGCTATCTGCAACGGGAATTTATAAATGTTAAAAGTCACCTAAAGAACATGATGCCACTGTACTCATTCTCAATCCAAACACAATTCCTTGAATTGCAAAGATGAAATACGTACAGAGAAGAAACACCTCAAATCAAGGAAGGTTCAGGAGTGAGTAATACTGAGAATCTGCAGTTTTCTTTAGATTATATCAAAATAGTATGTTGAAAAAAGGCTGAGATGAAATTTGGCCACAGAATATATTAGAAAGTCAACTACTTGGCTCCTCTAAAGGTTTTGTTTTTCTATTATCAGATTTTTCAAAATCTATTCCCATAGATACAACATCTGTGTGTCTAAACATCCAAATATTAAAGAATGATAATTTACAATAAAGATTTCAGGTAAATCACTAGGAAAAATACAGGATTATTTTTCAGTCAGAACTACTGAGAGCCAAGCACATTTCAGAATCATTTAAAAATTTCACCTATGAGAGAAGAGAAGGAAAAGAGGAAACCTGCCATTATGTAGCCAACAAGGTCTCAGAACACAAAGTATACCTCTAAGGGTGTCAAAAGCTTCACAAGTTCCATTTCACGTTTGTCATCTGGATACCTAATAGGTGGCCTGGTACCGTGCAGGGCTTGATCTCTCATCGTCTCCATTTCTGAGAGTCTTGTCCTAGGGTTTGCCTCATCAAAGGTTATCTGCAATTCAGTGCTAGTCTGAGAAAAATACTCAGAGTAACACTGCTGGCTTTTCTCTTTCTCTAGAAGAGACAACGGTGGCTGAAACTGGACTTCCTTGGGGCTTTGTTCGACGATCTGCTGCTGCCATTTTTCTTCCAATATCTGTGGTTCCTGAGCCCATCTCAACAGGGAAGATCTGCCAGTTGGGTGAAGGTGTCCAGTGTTTCTGGAAGAGAGCTCTCCAGAGTGCTGACACCCCTTCACGGTCATCTCAAAGTCTGGTTTGAAGGTACGCTCTTTGGCGGTATTCTTCCTTTGGATTTCAGACTGGAGCAAAACTAACTGATGTTCATGTTCCTTTATCTGTTGATCCATTTTCTGCTTCAGATTTTCAACTTCTTGTTTCTGGGTGATCAGCTCGTCCTCAAGTTTCCGACATTTTTGGTAATGATTTGTCTCCATGTGCTGTCCTTGCTGCGCTTGCTCGCGGTATCGCTGAAGCTGCCTTTCGAGTTCTTTGATATTTGTTTCACAAAGCTTAGCATTCTCTTGAGCTCTGCAGTTTTCTTGCTGAAGAGACGCAAAGTCAAGCTGAATGCCTGAAATGTCATTTTCAGTGACGACTTTGGCTTCCATCAATTTTTCCATCTTTTTGCGAAATTCCTCAGCCGAACGTTTGAATTTATCAGACTCCTCCTGAAACAGAAGCATCTTTCTGTGGGTCACCTGCTCCTCTATGGTCTTTAAGTGCAGTTCGTCTTGGACCTTTTTCAGCCTGTTGTTTAACTCTTGCACTTGAGCTTGCTGTAGCTGAACTTTCTGCTCTCCCCGTCGCTTTTCCTCTTTTGAAGCATTCAGCTCAGCGTTCAGATTTCTCACCTCTTTCTCAGTATTCTGGATGATAATATTCTGCTGGTCACACTTCTGCTTAAATTCACTTACTAAATTTTGACTTTTGGCCAGATCCTCTTCCAGGCATTTGATTTTTCTATGGAAATCTTGTTCTGTTTTTGTCTGTTTATGCAAGTGTTCATTCGTGTTGCGTAACTGATCTTTGAAACCATCTGCCTGAATTTTTAGTGCTTCACATCTTTGCTGGATAGCTTGTTTTTCTAAAACTATATTCTCTGATTCTGCTTGAATTCTCTGCATCATTAATTTGGTTTCATTATTCTGCCTAGTAAGCTCATCTACTTTTTGTTTTAACATTTCTGCACACTCATTACTTTTCTCCAGTTCTTCATTAAGCTTTTGGATTTTATCATTATTTTCTTTTTCAGCCTTAATATTCTGAAGCAACTGCTCGTGGCTTTTCTCAAACTGTTCTTTTAGATGGTCTGATTTTCTCTGGAATACTCGTACTCTTTCATTAGAGAATTCCTTCTCACCCTGAAAACACTGAACTTGTGAGTTTAAATGCTGAATATTCTTCTCAGCAATAGCATGTGCCCTAGTGATCCTGTCTACTTCTCTCTGCAATTTCCCTTTCTCATGATGAAGAGATTCTAATTCTAACTGATAATTGTGCTTTATTTTCTTGAGATCATCAGCTTCTTGCATGACTTCTTCAGCTTTATCTGTGGTTTGCGTCAGTTGCCTACTGAGTTCTCTGAGTTGCTGAGAATACTCTTCCTCTGCCTGATCCTTCCTTTCCAACTCCAACTTAAGACACTTTAGGGTATTATTTGTTTCATCCAGTTTATCTTTTAGCAAACGAGCCTTTTCCTCAGATGAAGTTTTTTCAAGCTGCAGGGCACTGAGTTCATACTTGAGCTCTCTCATGTCTTTCTCAGCCTTTCTGTTGGCAACTGTGAGTTCATCCACCTGCTGCTTGAGTTCTGCTGCTTTCTGTCTGTCGTGCTCCTTCTCAAGGTCTGCTATTGCCCTGCACGATGCCACCGGCGTGATCGCACAAGCTGGCAATGCACTTTCTCTGCAGGAATACTGAATTTCAGTTATTTTTCTTCTTGCTTCCAATTCAATTTTCTGCTTTTCCTTCAACTGCTTCTCTGCTACCTGTTTCTGATGTGCGAGGTCCTTTTCCATCTGCTTGACCAGCTTCAAGAGTTCTTCTTCATTGTCTCTCTTTCTTCTTAACTCTTCCATCAACTTCTTTTTTTGTTGCTCCAGATCATTGAGACTTGAGTCTTTTCTTTTAAGATGATCTTCCAGCGTTCTCCTTGTAAAGGTGTTTTCCTCTAACTGATCCCGAAAATTGCGGAGGTTTTCCTCCACAGCTGCTCTTCTGGCCTCTGCCTCCATCGTGAGATGCCGCACGCGCTCCAGCTCCCGTTCCGCTGCTTCCTTCTCTCTCACAATGGTCTCCAGTTCCCTGCGGTACTGCTTGGCTTCACTTTCTGCCCTCATCTTCTGCAGAGCAATGTCTTCTACATTCCTCTGCTGCCTCCTCAATTCATTTTCCGCAGCTTCCTTGACCTTGGGAAGTTCTTCCTCGACTCTAGACTTCTGTTTCTTTAGTTCAGCTACCATTTTTTCCAGATCACTTATCTTTCCTGTAAGTTTGCTATTCTCAATCATGGTTGCCTTCTGCCGCTGAAGCAGATCTGAATATGCCCCATGTTCAGAAGTCTCCTTACACCTTTTAATCTACAAGAGAGGTTGGCAAAGTGTCAGACCTGTTCTACTCGGGCTTATCGTACAAAATATAAAGCAATGTTCATCAAGGTACTTACAAAACCAAGTGAACCCAAATGCAGACCAAGCGCTACCACCACCAAGAGCACCGCCTTCTTCAGAGAGGAAGCGTAAGAGAGTCAGCAGCAGAAGACAAGACATCCTCATGACGGACTGCCTGAAAATCTTGTTTTGTCTCTCAGGAATAATTTTATTTTAAACATTAGCTAGCTCAGGATTTTATAGGAAGAAGAGACGCTAGAAAACACTGGCTATGACCCCAGCTTTTCACAGGTAAAGAACTTGAGATAAAGCTAGCTAAATGACTTTGCAAGCTCCCACAATGGTTAAGTGACAAAAGCAGGAATTAAAAATCATGATAGTGTTCTTTCTGGCCTTGCACATAACTTTGTCCTACAAGCTAATAAGAACACAAACACACAGGAACCAAATGACACTAAAGAGTGCAGTTTTCAATATCTAGTCCCATGGAAATTAAAAGTGAATCTATGTGACCATATTTTTATAATGAAAGAAACAAAAGCATACTGTAGAACAGACAACCAAATTCAGAAATAATATTTAACGTGGGGAAGGAGGAAAATTATGCAAAACTTGAAGACAAAAATCTTTGTTTATACTTGTTATATTATGACAATTACAATAATGAGAATTGCTAATGCAAAGGCAGCTTTAGTTCCCAATAGGAAAGATGTGCCCCCATATACTCACAGATGTTGTTGCTGTTGCTAATGACATGCCTCATATGCATCCACCTTGACAAGTACCTTTAGATACTCCGTAAAGAAAGTTGTTAAATATAGATGTTTTTCAAAATGTACTAGGGATTCAGCTTCAATTTATAGACAAAATATTAGAAAAGTAATTTACTCTTTTAATGAATGAATTGGTCTCAACTGGAAGGGGTACATTTTACACTTACTACAGAACAACATGAACAGGGTTACTTATAATTTAACTTCTTTCTATTAATATCATAATGCTAGTTTCATAACATCAGTCAAGTTACCATAATTAGAAATAATTTAAACAGGAGTAGAGAAATTATCTTGTATAGATTTGTTTTCAGTGAGAAATGATGGTGAATTTCAAGAACTTAATTTATATTATAGACCATGCCTCTTATTTCACTTCCACTAAATGTCTTGATCACCTCATAATTCTGATGTGAACTTCAGTTGCTTCCGTAGATAACCTAAATATGATTTTGAATAAAAATTCACATAGAAGCAAATTTCATCACAACCCACTATGCTCAATGTTCTATTTTCTTTACTTTGGAATCAGGGCCAAGTCTCAGTGACCCTGAAGCATGTTCCCTATTTATATTAGATTTTTTTGTTTTTCAAAAAGATTATTTCTAAGAAGATCTTCTTCAGTTCTTCATCAAATCTCCTTTAAAACCTACCAATTGCTAAGAAATGTTGAGCCTTTTTTTCCTCTTTGATAATGTCATTAAGTTTAAATAAATGAAAATTCCTTCAGAAAACAATGTTATTAGAGCCTTACTATTTTAGAGTCATTGTAATGATTGCAAATGCTAGAAAAATCACTAGAAGTGATTTAGTCCAATTGATGATTTGCTTTTTTGAATATTTAAAACTTATTTTCATAAAAATATTTCCTTTTCTCTAAGTGTTCCACCAATGTCACCCTTTAGTTTCAGTGATAAATATTTAGTATATTTTGCTGTGAACACAGACTTATAAATTGCATCATATCTAATATCCTTTACAGATACACTAATAACATTTTTCTAATAGGATATTACTTCTAAAATTAACTTACATCTCTAATTTTTGTTTATTATGGAAAATTCTGCTCTCAGAACAAGGTTTCTATGTGAGTCTCGAAGACTCCGTTTCAGAAGAACTACTCTTCTGAGTCTATAAACTGTTGCATATCTCTTTTATGCATTCCATTAATGATCCATAAGTGATGATTTTTTGTTTATTGTAAATTGTTGTCATTGTATTTACTTCCCTAAGTATATTGTTTTGATTTTCATTGCTGTCTTTGACATTTCAAAGGGTGACAACAACAATTTGCATATATTTAAGCCATTTGACATATCTTTTGTTTCGTCAATTGCTAGTGTTCTTTCCCACAAGATAAACTGAACAGAGTGGTGTGCATATGCATATATGTGTGTGTATAATCTGTTGTATACAATAATGAAGGAAAAAATTTTATTTTACATTTGAGTACCACATATATAACTTAAATGGTCTGCATACTATTTAAAATGGAATAAATCTCAAAAAGTAAAAATGTAAAAAAAATAGATATTGTTTCATAGATAAGAGGGGAAAACAATTAATAAGATGGCCACAGATATTCTAGTTCTCCTTTCTAAGCACAAAGGAAGCTGGTTATAAAGTCTTGCAATCAGCTATGTTAGTGATTTAGTCGCAGCGAAGTGTTAACTGAACAGACTAAAGTAGTTTAGAACAAGGCAGTTAAATTTTTAGAAACTGAAAAAGTAACATCCCATAGAAATTTATTATGTTAGGTTCTCTCATTACTTAAACAGAATTACACTAAGGATAATCACCACCAGAATTTCACCAACAGTCTAATTTAAGATAGCTCATGCCCCACACTTTATAATTGTTAGTATTCATTCTACCATTTTGTGTGTTCTGAGGCTAGAAGCAGAAATTATATCAGGAAAACAGGGCATGATCACTTCAAGATTTAATAAAACAGTCTTTGATGACAATGTATTTTTATAGCTAACTCCTTATTCTTCCTATTTCTGAATATAATTTTTAAACGCAGAATCAAAGTAGTAGATGTCCTTCAAATGAGAATGCTAGTCTTTTTACAAATGTACTATATCATCCCAAAATCTTTAAAACACTCTTTTATATAAATATCTACTACAAGTTGATGTCTTACTGATATATTGATTGTAATGATTTTAATTCCTTAAAGATGTAAATTCACTTTAAACACATACAACTAAAGCATCCCCATGGTATCCCAGGAGACTTGGTAATAGCAGTGACTCATGACTGCACTTCACAGCAGCACACAGCTCAGCTGTGAGAAAGCTGAAATGTTCTGCCAACGCTTGTTCCCAACATGTCATAATTTAAAGAGAACCACTGTAACATAATAGAGTCTAACATGAAAACTTAAAAGTACTATTCTATTTGAATCATTAAAACAAACAAAAGTCCCAGGCCTTCTCTCATCTTCATCGTAATTTAATGATCAAATAATTACTAGACTATCAGCTATCAGCAGTGTAACTGTATCCTGAAATCTTTTCTGCCCTAAACCATACCATAGTTCCTGATGAAACCTAGGTTCTTTTTATTTAGCTGTTCATTGTTAATTGTTACCTCCTCCTCTTCCAGCCTCTTCAGGGAATCACCGGCAAATTTAATATATTGTGTCATGAGAGTGACCAGAGCAGTGTATCGAGTCCTCAGATCCATAAACTGCAATTCAGAAAAAAAGAAAAACACCATCTCCATTTGTCCTAAATAAATTGAAGACTTCAGGACAGTAAAGTATACCACTCCTTTATGATAAATGGTAACTCAGTAGCAATGAGCTTATTATTATACGTTGTGAAAAACATATTAAATGACAATTATTTCCTAAATTTAATCCTGAAGTACATTTATTTACCTTTTTAGTTAATAAATGATCTTGAATAAAGATCTGTAGAAGGATTTTTAAGATCCTTAATAACAAGTATTGTTATAGACTTTGTGTATGGGATTATGAAAAGAGTCTTGAGGTAATAGTGGTGATGGCTGCATACCACTGTGATGTCCTGAAATGTCATAAAGTGTAAATTTGATACCATATGTATTTCACCATTGTAAAAGTAAAGCGCTTGGCAAAATGATATTTCTCTTTTGTACTCCTTCCCCCCTCTCTTCCACTTTTATTACCTCCTGAATAATGAGATCTGCTGAGCTCTGCATTCTTCGGCGTTTCACTGGAGATTTTTGTTGTGAATCAACCATGGCCCGGTAGGTCATTGTTTGTAATTCATAGTCCTGTATAAAAGAGCCAGTAAGATAAAATTAATTAAAGCGAAGCACTAGATCTTCACCCTATAGTTATCTGTCAGGGAAAACTGGAACCTAGTTACTTTGAGTTAACTTTAAATAAAGAAAATACTGCAAAATGACATTTTTAGGAATCTATATAATCCTGCAGATGCTTCCAATGAGATGATAAAATCAGAAATATGTGAGGAGGTCAGGAACGTTCCCAGGTTCCTCTGGAAGCTCATAAAAATACTTATTAAAGTATTCTAGTATTCTATCTTCAGCTTCCCTTTCCTTCAGCTAGACCATGGAACTGTGGATCTGGAAAGCTAAAGCTGAGAAGAGGTCAGGGATAACATGCAAAGAATCAGAAATGTCTCCTAAGTTAGATAGCCAGAAATTCTCCTACGGACAACTTCAGCAGTGTTAGAGAAAAAAAGGGTAAGAGAAAAGCAAAAAGCCAATGTCAAAGCTTTGAATTTATTCTGGTGGTGGTGGTGGCAGCGGTGGTGGTAGTGTATGCGTGTGTGTGTGTGCATGCATAAACTCACATACATGTGACAGCAAGAAAGAAAATGAATGAACTGGGGGTCTGTCATGTGACTGAAATTTCCGAAGAATTATTAGGTAATTGTCCAGAAGTTCAAGTGAGGATTCTTTTTACTTTTTTAACATGTGGTAACCTGTATAGTCATCTCATCCATAAAAAGTGCACTGTAGAATCACATCCTTGAATATTAAACTTGACTACAGTGATTTAAACCTCTTACCTTCACTATAGCTGAGTACTGCTCTGCATATTTTTGACACTCATCCATTTTGCTCTGCTTCATTTCTATTTCAGACACCAGCATCTGTAAATGCACATAATTTAGAAGGAACAGGACAATGAAATCTGTGCTGTTCTACTTATTAAGAACTCAGGACCTAAGGGATGTTCGCTTAACTTAATAGTATAGCTCCTGGGGCTGGCACTGTGGTGTAGCAGGTAAAGCCGCTACCTGCAGTGTCAGCATCCCATATGGGCACCGGTTAGCATCCCATATGGGCACTATTTCGAATCCCAGCTGTTCCACTTCTGATCCAGCTCTCTGCTATAGCCTGGGAAAGCAGAACAAGATGCCCCAAGTCCTTGGGTCTCTGAACCTGCTTGGGAGACCCAGAGGAAGCTCCTGGCTCCTGGCTTCAGATCAGCACAGCATAGGCTGTTGCAGCCAATTAGGGAGTGAACCAGCGGTTGGAAGACCTACCTCTCTCTCACTCTCTCTCTCCCTCTCTCTTTCTCTCTCTCTCTCTGCTTCTCCTCTTTGTAACTCTTTCAAATAAATAAATAAATCTAAAAAATGTATAGCTTCTAATCCCTTGACATTTAATATGTTACTTTAATTTTGAGTAAATTACAAATCTCCAGACTAGGCCATGCATGTGACCCATCCTCACAGCCCTTCCAAAGCAGAAATTACACTAAATCATGGGAATTAGCAAAGGCAGACTTGAGGCCATTGGGTACCAATGACACTATTCATTTTTATTTATTTAGGAACCCACAATACTACTGTGGTCAGCAAGGTATCACAATGGTTTACCTATGATTAAATCACAAGTAGGAATTTGAAATTATTCTATTTATGTTACTTTCCTAATACCTTTGCTGTCAATAATGATTTCTAAGAAATAAAAATAAGCAATTATGTAGGTCTGGGCTACAGGATTTTAGTACTTATGATAAACTCCACACTTTTCTCTAGAAAGTTGCTAACTTTTTCCTTTAACATAAGAAAGGGGAGGATCATAACTGACCAAACAGAGGCAACTGTAGTACAAAGAATTTTCTTCACATACCTTCTGTTGATTCAGCTGTGTGGCTAGGTTTTTACTATTCTCTGGCTGATTTTCCTGAATCTTTCTCTGAGTGGTTTCAACATGCTGGATCCAATCATCTAGCGGGTGATAGGTATCTCTGTAATACTTCAGTGATTTCCCAATGCCTTCTAAGTCCCGTAACCTAAGAGAAAAGTAATAGGATAATGAGTTTAAGATTGTATTAGGAAGGTGGAAGGAGCAGAGAAGGGAGAGACAAAGTAAGTGCACTTCAATGCACTATGTACAACTACAGGAGTCTGTGCAAAGAATTCAATGCATACCTCCATGGGCACTCCATATAGTTCTGGGTTGAATATAAAAAATATAAAAATTTTGCTCCTGGAGTTGTGTCATTTAAGGCCACCAGTTACTCTACGGACATACCCAAGAGACTAAAGCTAAAAAGTACGAAAGTCAAACACAGCCATAACAATAATCAATCAGGATATCCTGACTAGCCAAGGTGTCCATCAAAGGGCTGTTCCCTCTTGAAATAATGAGAAGGTAATCCGATGAACATTTTACACGGTCTCAGGGAATATTTCCCAGGAGCTGTGATTAAATACCTGTGTCTTTTTTTTTTTTTTTTTTTTTTTGGACAGGCAGAGTGGACAGTGAGAGAAAGACAGAGAGAAAGGTCTTCCTTTGCCGTTGGTTCACCTTCCAATGGCCGCCGAGGCCGGCGCGCTGCGGCAGGCGCACCATGCTGATCCGATAGCTTGAGCCAGGTACTTATCCTGATCTCCCATGGGGTACAGGGCCCAAGCAGTTGGGCCATCCTCCACTGCACTCCCGGGTCATAGCAGAAAGCTGGCCTGGAAGAGGGGCAACCGGGACAGAATCTGGTGCCCCAACCCGGACTAGAACCTGGGATTAGCCTAGTGAGCCACAGCACCGGTGTGTCTCTGATTTTAAAACCAACCCAGTAAGCCTATCTGTCAAGTATTTTACAGAGATGAAATAATGTACATTTGAACATAATTTTACTCCTCACTTGTCATAGCAATTCACTGGCATCAACATAAGTAGGACATGAAAACTAACCCATTTTTTTAAAGATGAGTCCTAAAACCATCTCATTTCTATTGATATGTTTGGTTTAGTCATGGTGCTGACTGATTTGATTTTCTCGTACCTTCAGTTACAATGAATATAAAGTCTTCAATCTCTTACCCTAGAATAGATTACTACATAAAGTCCTATAAAAGTCATAACTTGTGCTGTTAATAAGTCATGGCAACTTGAATATTACTAGTTGATAATAATTAAAAAACTGTTGTTTTTCCTTGTAGAAAATTCACATAGATTATCTACGCAAATGCCAGAATACATTGACAATTTTAATAACACAGAGTTGAAAACCAGTTAAAGTCTAATGTCTTGTGAAAGTTGTAAGAACAAACTATCATGAGATAAAGCTCTTATCATTAACGAAATTAACTGTAGAAATTAAAAAAAAAAAGTTTATTCAGTTTAGATTTTACCTGGAAAAGGCAGACAGGTATTCAGTCTGTGCTAAAGCTGAGCTGAAAGTACCAACCTGTTATCAATCTGTACATGAACATTTTGCCACCTTTCAACCAACTGATCAGCTTTTTCTTTGTGCCAGTCAAAATCCAGGTCACGTTCCTTATATGTTTTAAACATCTCATCACTGATGGCCTTAGCTTTCTGTAATTCATCCTCCAGTGCATGGAATACCTCTCTCTTTTCATCTACTTCAGATCTCCATTGCTAAAAGACATCCGTTTGTAAAAGTTAAAAAATATGTCAACAGTCACTGGGTAAGCACATTGTTAATAATTTATTCATAAATTACTGATATAAAAATCAGGCAAAGAAAAGAGTATCTTTCATATACAAAATATTCTTAGGTTTAACCTTATGATACTATACTGTTAATATTTGGCTGTATTTTGATCTTTTATAAAGTGACAATTGAATAAAATGCATCCTATTGAAATCTGCATATTAATTAAATATAGTACATAGGTAAGTTTGCCATCTCTGTAAGTAAAAATAAGTCTTTGTTCAGTGTTGATTTTTAAATGCCCACTAATCCCACTGATGAGTAATGAATATATGCATTAAAATCAGTTACAACTTTTCACAATTGCTTTGCTGTAGTTTTACTAAGTGTTTTACACTTAGAAATAAGATACAGTTGATACAACTATCAGTCTTTTTTCATTTCTTAGATGAACTTCTCTATTTACCTCTTTTTTTCTTAAAATGATTACCTTTTCCAGCATGAGTCTATTATAAATAATTTTTAGTTTCAACTCTTTTGCTGCCAACGTGAACTGACTCTAAAGAGTTACTGTCATAAACATTCAAACTTCAAATAAGAACAACTCTCCTTACACTGAAATGACTGAACATAATTACTTATAGGAATCTATGCAATTATAGAATATGAAATGGGATGAATACTCTCAATCTAAAAGATTCGATACTTGATGTTGGAAGATCCAAATTAATTATTAGAGAAATAATTGTAGAGTATGACCTTGAAAAACAGCCAAGAGTGAGACTCATACCTTTAAAGTACTTATTAGGTTTTCAATATTATTCTTGTCAGCTATAACTGCTTCTTCTTCACATAGTTTAGTTTCATATAGTTTTACAAGGGCTTCAGCAGCTTGAGTGTTTTTTAACACCAAATTAACAGTTTTCAACCTTAAAAGGAGGATTGAACAATAGTTACCTCTTGTTAAATGTTTATTTTTGCATGTTGCAGTTCTAAAAGCATGGCAGGACACAAGACACAGCATGTTCTTCCTCTTGGAATACTGACAGATTTACTACAAGATCAACATTCAACTGACTCTACCCTTAAGAGGCACCATGTGCCCCAACCCAGGCCCTTGCCCCCCGAGTGGTAGACAGCAAGAGTCCAACCTAACATATTTTCTTCCTAACCTTAGTTAGCCCAAGTAGGAGAGGGAGATCCTGTAGGCTACAAAAGCTGTGCTACTGAAACTATTGCAAAATACGGGGAGATTATGCACCAATCTCTGAGGCACAACCCGTTTCAACTTGGAGAAGTGTGCTAAATCTATAGAAATATTTAGTAGATTCCCTAACACAAAATAAAATTGAGTATTATATCCCTAAAGGTGAACTTGCAAATGAGCACAAAAAAATGATAGCTATACAAATTATATGTTAAGATAATGGTTACATACTTATCTATATAAGTGGAAGACATAGAATAGACTTGATTCATGTTCTGAACGACCACACTAAGCTCAGATCGCAAGGCAGGCACAGATGGAGAGGCTGCTGCTTGACTGAAGAATTCTTCACATTTACTGCTGATTGTTCCCAAGTCATCTTTAAGTCGTTCCAGCTCTTTCTTTAGTTTCTGTAAATCACAGAACAGATACAGACAATAGACGATCACCCAGATGGAACATTTTCTTAAAACAGTTTTTATACATTTTACATTATGATCATAGGTTTAAAAGCTAAATATCCTTATGAGATATTATTCCTAAAGACCCACTCCTTAGGCACAAACATCTAACTTAGTGCTTTTGCATAAAGCAAGTGTATAGTAACGCTTGCTCTGAGATGCCCTTATACCCCTCTTCCCAATAGGGTGTTTATCTGAGTCAGAGAGAAGTGAATCACAGATCCTAGTTTACGATCAGCAATAAATACATCATCAGACCTCACAACGTGATGAGTGTTTTAAGGTGTGCACATAAAACATCACAAGAGTTGATAGGGTCACCAAGAAAGTACTTTGCCCTAATTTTTCCCCAGCACATTTAGAACTCTCACCTCCTGTTCTGTGATTCTGAACACACTCTCATGCAGATCATCTCTCTCCAGGGGAGTTCGGATCTGTCTAATTAACCGATCTTCACAGTTCTCTAACCGAAGTCTAATGTTTCGAACTTCAGATATGTAGAGATTATAAACTGATTCCTCTTGCTCCTCTGCGGAAATAAATACGATGTTCAGAAATAACCTTGTTGTCTTCTGTGTTTTGGATGCTCGTTTGTGTCTTAAAGGACTGTTTTACTATTCCTGGGACACAGCTGATCAAACTGATGGTTCCTATTGTCATCACAAACCTAACTGAAGTACATAAATCTTAAAATATAGATCTTAGGGGAGGGTTGCGGGTTGGAGGGACGTTATGGGGGAAGCCATTGTAATCAATATTCTGTACTTTGGAAATTTATATTCATTAAATAAAAGTTTAAAAAATATATATAGATCTTAAAATTTAGAGAGTTAACAATACTTCCCTAATGCCATCTTAAGTACCAATTTCAGATTTATGATGTCTAAAGAAAGTAATATATTGTTTACAAAAATGTGAATTACATTAATTAATTACATTAACTGCAAATTATGAAAAAAAAAATCCTTTAAAGTGAAAAGAATGGGGGCCAGCATTGTGGTACAAAGGGTTATTAAGCTGCCGCCTACAGTGCCAACATCCCATATCGGTACTGATTCAAGTCTCAGCTGCTCCACTTCTGTTCTAGTTGCTTGCAGGTGTGCCTGGGAAAGCAGTGGAGGATGGCCAGGTGCTTGGGGCCCCACACCCACACAGGAGACTGGGAAGAAGCTCCTGGTTCCTGGCTTCAGTCTGGACCAGCCTTAGCCGTCATAGCCATTTGGGGAGTAAACCAGAAGATGGAAGACCTCTGTCTCTTTGTCTCTCTCCCTCTTTCTCTCTCTCTCTCTAACTCTGCCTTTCAAATAAATAAAATAAATCTTTTTAAAAAAGTGGAAAGAATGCATTAATGTTTAAGACTTTTAAACTACACCATTACTAATAAAATTGTTTCTAAGTAATATCCAAAAGAGTTCAGAATAAAACTTACATTTCATTTAACAAATGTTAACTAGACAAAATTTTTTACCTTAACTCCTATCTATGATCCAGTTTTGTACCTAATAACTATATCTCTTCTGAAACAGAAGAACCAACCACTGTATTGAATATTACATCTTGCAAAACAGTGAAAATACTAAATAGCAGATGCAAAAGAATTCATTGTTTGTCATACAGTTTAACTGGTACCATTTTCTGAATTCATCATTTAGAAATACATGAACTATCCCTTGCATCTTCCTATCCCAAACATGCTACTAATGTTCCAGTAACAGTGTCTACAAACATAGGCTGAGTGGCAACGTACACCCAAGTCTGACATTCCTACTGAGAGCAGAAAATGACCTGGACTAAATATCCATGGGGAAAAGACAAAGAAAGTCCCATGCTTTACCTCTTTCTGCAGACTTAAGAAGTTCTTGATAATACTGCTTACACACATTAACCTCCTTTTCTATTTGTGTTATATCTGAGCCTGAAAATATTTGGGACTCCTGGCTATCTTCCAGAAAATCTTCAAAGCGAGACTGTAGATTACTCAGAACTTGCTGGTGTTCACCAGGTAACATTGTCTTTATCTAAAAAAGACCAAAGATCCAAGTAATTAAGTGTTTATAGTCCTAATAGCTAAATTTGAATGGACTGATCTCAACTTGGTCTCAGGGCATGTGTCAGTTTATGTTAATAGTCATAAGCTGAAGAAGCAGATAAAATTAAATTTTTGCATTAACAATTTTATATTTTAAAAGAAATGGAAAACCAAACTGATAAAATACAATAAATGAAATCAAACTATACCCATCCCTACATGTCCAAACACAATAGCCTGTCTCCCTATCTCCCAGTAAGCACTGAATGAATCTGTTTCTCTAGATTTCTCCAGTTCTCGGCGAGTGCTTTATATATAGCAAGCATATAATAAAAACTCATAGAATGAATAAATAAATCAGCATGGATATGTTGGGCTCCATCCTGTTCTAGAGGAAATACAAACTCCATCCTACTCATAACAAGATCTCTCCCATTTTTTCACATATTGGGTTGTTTTATACTTACGGAAGCCACATTGCTAGCTCGAACTCTATCAATTTCATTGACGAGATAATGCCAGGATACTACACTCTTCATGTTTATGTGAGACTCATGCCACAGAGTCAGGACATTCTGATACTGCTGCTCAATTCTGAAATATAGGAAAGAAATCGCAGATCAAGGCCTTTTATTACCTCTGAAAACATGCTACAGATTTTCTCTGTGAAAGCTGCACAAGGTTACTAATTCTAGAGCCTTCTGATCCTGTGGGGCCTTCACAAACTACCGATTGTTTCTTTAACCTAACGACAGCCCCAAGAATGTCTGTACGTTTTTAGCTAATGCTTACAAACCTGTTTGCAAAGTCTACTGCTTCTTTATTTGGTGGAGGAACGGTGAAGCACACAGATGGGACCATGGCCTCATTCCCAGTAGGACTAATGACCTTCCATTTAGCACGATGAGAGTTGTTCGCCAAAACACATTCATCGTCTTTGTAAATGGTTATCTGGTTTTAAATGAAGAACAGAGTAACTAAATGAGGTCACTGCTCACTCTTTTCCATGTTCATGTTAGGAATTTTATCTTTTGTTTTATGTGATGGAAAAAATGTTATCCACAGTAAGCACTACGAGATTTCGTTTTTCAGAAATAGGGATAAGAAGTACCTCAATCTGTCTGTAGTCACAGATAGCTTTGATCGGGATGGAAGTTTTGAGTGGACAGTCAGGATTCCTTGGCTTCAGCTGAATTATTGTTTTTGCTCTCCCCATCAGGCTTGCTATTGTGCTTTTGTACTGCAGAAGTTCTTCTTTCTCTTCCTAAGTAATAAACATGATGGATCTTAAGAAGTAAAACACTAGTACTCCACACTCCCTCAGGGATTCACACAAATGAAACTTCATCAGAAAAATCTCCGCCTGAGCACTTGACCTAAGCTTTCAATCTACTCCCACCTCCTCTTCCTTAGTTTTGTTTGGTTGGTTGTTTCACTTAGCATTTACAATCCCCAACATACTACATGCATTTTGCTTATTTAACATTTTCATTGCCTAGCTCTATCTCTACTATGTATCACCACAAGGATAGAAATTCATATCTGTTTTGTGCACTGCTATATCCCTAGAATGTGAAACTGTGTCCGAGATACAGGAAATGCTTAACAAGTATTTATAGAATGAATGAACACACACACACACACACACACACACCTGCTGCTAAAGCATTTCAAAATATGAAGCAATTTAAAATATCAGTGCTATCACATAAAAACTCTTCTATTTCCTACCAAAAAGTCTAAAAACAAATATTTAAATCTGAACTGAATTCAAGAGTCCAATAAAGTTAAATAATTCAAGTCCAACAAGTCAAGTTCTTAAATGAGATATCAAGAGTCCAAAGAGTACAATGTTCTGCACATACAAAAATATTATAAAACACCAAACTATTGCCATTAAATGTCACCAATGAAATGAAAGGGTATTTGTGTCAGTACCATTGATTCCTGAACAAGGTCTTCCAGTTTGTGGATGCTGCTTGACCGATCACAGCTGTACTTCCGCTGAATGGCATCTTTTAGATTCCTTAAGTAATCAGTAGCTTCTTTGGCATCATTGAAAAACTAAGGAAAGATGAAACCACACCGTGAAAGGATGTTAAATGCCAGTAAAGCACAGAGTTGTCAAGTTTGGGCTTCAGGGTCATGCGTGCTCGTCTTGTTAAGAAAAGGATGAAAACACAAGACAACTTAGCAACTAAAGCTGCAACTTCATAACTTCTAATAGCTGCATCCTTCCCTGAACCAATCAACAACCCTTGAACTTGGATGATTATGAATAAACAATGTGTCCAAAGTTAATGTGTATATTATATTTTAGCTCTGTATTATTTTAATGAAAGGTCTGTCTTCGCTTAGGGCTCAAACAATTTTTAAGTCGGGATGAAATTCCAAGAATACTTTAAAATTTCTGAGGACTAAAACTAAGACATCGTTCAGCTGACTCTCTTTAATGAAAACATTTCCTTATAAAAATGCATTTAGAGACTAAAGGTCTTCTTATATACTAAGGAGTTTTTAAAGGATTTCTTCCTTAATAGAAGGTTTCAATCTATCCTAGAAGCCCATGAAACTATCCTTATCTGTTTGCTTATTTCCCCTGTACAATGCATACCCATTTGTGTATATTGTCAATAAATTGCAGAGAGGGTATCTGCCAAAGTCAGCCAAAGTCACAGTATCATCTATTGAAGCTGTGATTCTATTCACAAACCTCGAAATATGCGGTGTTCTCCTTGATATGTTGCTCCACACACTGGCAGAGCTGTAAGATCCAGCTCCACTGGGTCTGCATTGCCGCCTTGTAGGCCTTAAAGACAAAACACAGACATTGTAACTGGCCGCAGAGAAACAAAGCCCATATGCACCACTCTGGTGCTCTGAAATGACAAACAACCATCAAAACAGATGATGACACTGTTGTCACAGAATAACACTTTTATCTGAGAGTTGTCACATACACAAAGTCAGTCTTACAGTGTAAATATAATTTTTAAAAATCAATCCAGTTGATTTCTTTCAAATTTCAAACTTCTTGAAATGTCTTCTTGAGAGACAAGGGAAAAGTTAATCCTGATTATTTCCACATGAAAAATGTTGAACACTGGATGTACAATTTAAATGCTAAATGTATACAATTTAAACAATAAAACATTTTCCTGTTTTGAAAACCAACCCCTAACTCTTTTGCCACCAACCCTTAAACCTGCTATTTGGAACCCTCAGATATGCTTTCTTTCAGGATAGCTTTACCTTCCTTTTTCTGAATTTCATGTCTCCAAATCATAAAATATACCTGCTAGCAGGGAAATGCATAGTTCTCTGTTTTCTCTTGGTTTTTGTTGGGGGAAAGTTTGGGGACGGTGGCCAAGGGAATGCACATACACGTTTCAGTGTAGTTTTGAAATTAAAGCAATTAGAAAATATAATTATATAAATTTTATTTATATTATATTAATTATAATTTTATAAATTATATATAAATTATATAAATACTTGGATTTATAAGATGTATTTTATAAAATGTATTTCTTTACTCATACTTTTTATTCTGCTTCATTACAGAAACATGTTAACACCCTTTTACATTTTAGGTATAATTCAATGACTTCCTAGAGAGGGCGCTCTAGGTGTTTTAAAAACTAGTGCAAGCTTGTTTTTCCTCCTTTTGGAGGCAGGCTTCCTGAGTGGACTGTATCACGCAGCACTGGAAACCTGGCAACATACTCTGATCATATTATCAGCTCCCTCAAATTAAGCTATTTCAGGTAACTTGCTATAAAAGACATATCACTTAGCATCATTAGATTACTAGGTTCTTTTTCCATATAAAGAATGAAGTGGTGTTGATAATAAACCAAGCATCATCCATGTACCCATATACGATGTTGGACAGGTCATAGGAATAATAAATATAACTAAGGCTTCATTTTCCTACTTAAGAAACTTATGGTAGATTATCCTTTATACAAAAAAGTAATCAGATTTACATTCACATTTTTCATCCCCATCAAAATTCTTTATAATCATATTTCCTACATCTCTCCTTTATCTATACTGGGGACTACTCTATTTTTAGTTTATTACACAAAAGTGTACCCAGCCATTCCATCATTATTCTAATTTCCTTTCCACAGTGGTATGCCTACTCTCCCATGTCTTTCACAGTTACACATGACATGGCATGTGGATGCAAAACCATATTTTATATGAAAGAAGGTCAAACACAACATCCCAAAACTTCCCCAGGAGGCCTAGAATTTCACTAATCTTTAATGTCATAACAATTTCAGTGAACAAAGACCAGCTGATTCCTTCCCTCAGTCTGGAGTGCATTATCTTTTCTATAGGACATCATTTCTTTCCTCTGGCAAGAGCCACATCTGTCTGCCCATTTTGGATGCTCCCTGCTCCCTTATACAATCTACCTCCATGTTCACAAAGTCAATTATCTGTCTAGCATGGATCAGGCCTAAAAATTAAGATAACTTCCACTGCCAAAACTGGATGGGAAATCCATAAAAACTATTAAATTGGGTCATAATAGCTAGTATTTATTGAAAACATACTACATACCAAGAACTGTACTAAGTAGTAAAAGTAAATTATTTCTTCTCCATATCACCATAACTCCACTGATTAGAAGCAACTTCCCCCAATTTTAATGGAGAAAGGAGGCTAAGCAAGATGACATCACTGTGCATTACATAGAAAGGAAGAACTGAAATGTCAAAGCTTCTAAAGAGAATATCCCTCATATTAACAGCAATACATCTCTTGGGCCACAGGGGGCAATGAGCTACCTTTATTCTAAGTGATGAGTGGCATACTTAGAGGAAGTGAATTAAAGGCAAAAATCAGGATGAATTATTAGCAGCATTATTTTTAAGCCAGGCTTGTAACAAAAGTTAGGTGATTTGCATTTTTTCAATTTATCAACAATGAAGGAACCTGAAAGGTAATAACCACATATCAACATTCAACCAAGACCGTTAACTTTCTGACTTACCTCGATAGTTAACCGGGCTGGGTGATTTTCTAGAAGTAGCTGCTCTGCTATTTCCTGAACTGATTTAATATTTTCTTCCTTTTGTTCAAGTTCTCTCATTAGTTCCTGTTTTAAGAAAGAATTAAGAAGTATGTCAGATAAAGATCTAAGCCTGAAATACAACTTCAGTAGGCAGGTGCAAAGGTTGTACTCACCACATGATAATCTTTCTTCCGAGCTATCTGGGTATTTCTCTCGCTCCAGTCGTAAGCAACTTCTTCCTCTTCTTTTTCATTCAACCAAATAAGTTCATTAGTTGCACGAGTTACAAAATTATGGAGTGTATCAAGGTGCCGTTCCTGGTTTCTAGATGTATTCTTTATGAGGAAAATCGTAAGAATCATGTCTTTGTCAAACAGAGATAAGGGAAACCAAAGGTTTAAAGAAAACACACACTTACCAAGAGTTTTGCATACTGACTCTCTAATCTGTGCAACTTTTCTGCATACGTTAGTTTGAGAGGAGCTGTCATCTGAATCTGTAATATGGGATAAAAAGACATGAAATTTAGGAATCTTGAGGAATTTTGACTCACTCTGTAACTGAGTTACAGGATCTATATGTAAAGGGCCAAATAAAAGCCAAGTACAATGAAACAAACACCAATGTTTAATTCACATACCTCACTGACTTTAGCTTCTTTAAGGCTAGATTCAAATTCTTCAATAGCTCGGTGAACATTTTTATGATTTTCTAAATGGCTTTCAACACTTGGCAAATCTGAGCCCCATTCCGTGTGGTCTAGCTGCACCTGTAAAGAGCAAACTGCTAGGTTCAAAAAAGAAACTGACAGCAACAAGGATTGGAACACTCAGGTAAAGGAAACCTTTCTTTACCTGCATCTCATCAACCCAATTCAAGAGATCCTGAACAAATTTCATGTTGATTTCCTCTTCTGTTAAATTCTGATCCAGCAAAGAGGACTTAAGAAGGGGTTTTCGGATCTGCATCAGTTTCAGATTCTGCAATGAAGTTGGCTCTACCCCAGAACTGAAATTTGGAACCAATCCTGATGGAAAACCAGGTGTATAAGCTGGAGTGACAGACGGAGTTAGGCGGGACGTCATCCCTGAGGAGAGTCCAGAAGTCACACTGGAAGAGGTCAGGGAAGGTGTTAAACTCTGGGTCAGCCCTGAGTTCAGACAGGGGTTCAAAGTCTGTGCAAACCCTGAGTTTAAACTTTGAGTGATTCCTGATATCATGAGCTTCGTCTGTTCCGTCGTCAGCAATGCACGTCCTTTGCTGTACACTGAGGAACATTCACTCCTTAAGGCCATAATTTCATCGCGCAGTTTTGCAACCCTGAAAACAAAACATCAAAGGGATAAGGTAAAAGGTATTTGTCACAAAGAGGGGCCCTATTAACTAGGGCCTTTGGTTAATAATAATGTAACAATGTTGACTTATTACAATGTTCATGAGAGAGGGAAAGGGAGGTACAAGGCATTTATGAGAACTCTCCATACTTCCCACTCAATTTTTCTGTAAATCTAAAATGCTCAGTAATATAAAGCCAGACAAGTATCACATGATCCTACTCATGTAAAACCTAAAAAGTTGATCTCAAAGAAGTTGAAAGCAGAGTAGCAGTGTCCAGAGAGTGGGGAGATTAGGAGGTGAAAGGGTGGGGAAAAGTTGATCCAGGGGTACTAAGTTATAGTTAGAAATAAGTTCTGGTTGTTCTATTGCATAGTTGGTAACTGTAGATAACAATAATGTACTATATATTTCAGAAAAGCTACAAGAAAAAATTTTGAACGCTATTCCCTAAAGAAATGATAAATGTTTAAGGTTACAGATAATGTTTACCCTGATTTGGTTATTATACACTGTATACCTGCACAGAAACATCACATGGTACCCCATAAGCATGTACAATTTTAATGCATCAGTTTTAAAAAAGCTTTTTAAAATGAAGACTTAAAAAAATCCTTGTTATCACATTGGTGAAATTTTGTGTCTTGATTCTTTGTCACTGAAATTTGTACTATGAACTTTTTGTATTATTATTATACTATAATGTAAGCAGATTCCTATTGTTTGACAGCCAGGACAGTTCCAAACTTCTGTAATTATAAAATATTTCTGGCATGAACATAAAGCTTTCTCCTGTTTCTATTAATATATTATTTATATTTAAATTTACTATAGATTTCTTAAAAAGGGAATTTATTTGGTCAAAGCATCATTTACAAATTTTACTTAAAAATAAATATATATCCTTACTGTGTTGTACTATGTGAATTAATGGTAAAACTGGTATTCAAATAGTATTTTATACTTTCTGTGTCTGTGTGGGTGCAAACTGTTGAAATCTTTACTTAGTATATATAAGTTGATCTTCTATATATAAAGATAATTGAAAATGAATCTTAATGAAGAATGGGATGGGAGAGGGAGTAGGAGATGGGATGCTTTGCGGAAGGTAGGGTGGTTATGGGGGGAAAAACTGCTATAATCCAAAAGTTGTACTTTTGAAATTTATATTTATTAAATAAAAGTTTAAAAAATATGTATGTATATTTTGTATATGATACATATAATGTATAAAAATGTGAATGAAGTACCCTGACGGGTAAGAGGAACTAAAAGATAACATGCAGCTTCTAGGAACTTTTTAAAGTTTCCTCACATGTGTAAACATAGAGACAGAAAGAGATTACAGTCTGAAAGGTTCCATCCCTAACCACAAACACACTTCTCTGGAGAACAGATTTTGACACACATATTTTTCTCAATATATTTATTCCATTTTTTTATAATAGGATACACAGAAAGCTGAAAAATTATATTAAAAATAATATTTCTTTTATAGCTGCTTTTTCAAATGTCACAAATGAATATTTTAAGTGTATGTATATTAAATGCATATATTAGTTACTGTTGCAGGATTTTTATATAGATATAAATATCATGAAATGTTTCCTACTACTTATCTTTGGAAAGCACACACCTACTTAATGCATGAAAATATGCCATAATTAATGTAATATAATGTAATACATATTTTCAACTGAAAAGAGCTAAGAAATATACTCTGTAAAATAAAATTAAGTATCCATGAAATAGTTATACAAAAGGACAGGGTCAGAATAACTAGCACTCTTACCTCTGTACCAGTTGATCTGCCTGGTAGTATTTTCCATCGATAAGAATTTGTACATCAATTACATGCTGGCGCAGAAGGTTCTCACATTCAAGTATATACCCAGCAATTTCTGCTTCATTCTGAAACTGCACTCCAGATTCTAATCTTTTAGAATCCTGTATTTTAAAAAGAACTATTAATGCTGTGAAACAAGTTTCAAAACTAGCCTTAAATATAAAACCCCACACAGAGGTACAGAAGCCTATTTGGGCTTTCTTTGTTTCCCTTTTGGTTAAAAAATATGTTTTCCCTTTGCTCATTGTCCCTCAAGATATCAACCACTGGGGCTAGTGCTATGGTGTAGCAGGCTAATCCTCTGCTTGTGGCACCGGCATCCCCTGGCTGCTCCTCTTCTGACCCAGCTCTCTGCTTATGACTTGAGAAAGCAGTAGAAGATGGCCTAAGTGCCTGGGCCCCTGCACCCGTGTGGAAGACCAGGAAGAAGCTCCTGGCTTTGGATCCACTCAGCTCCAGCAGTTGCGGCCATTTAGGGAATAGATGGAAGACCTTTCTCTCTGTCTCTCCCTCTCTGTCTACTCCTCTATCTCTCAAATAAATAAAAATCAAATCTTCAAAAAAAAAAAAAAAAGTGAGAAAGCAATCACCAATCTTAATCTTTAACGGACTTTAAGTTTCAGTAGAAGACATATATAAAGAATCAGCCAAGTGTTATGTACAACATTTAGTTCATGCCAGCCCACACTGACCCCTCCACCACAATCCCAGTGGCTCCCAAGATTAACTTACAGACTGAAGAGCATTCCGGGCGAGGATCAGCTTGTCTTCACAGATGACACTGTCCCTCTGCACCCGGTTGGCAATCTGCTGCAACATTTCCAACCTGAAAGAAGGGATGAAATAAAACAAAACACAGTCCTCCCCTTTGCAACTGAAGAGATCACTTTCCCTGAAAAATGCTGCCCACCAAAAAGTAACGCACAAGCCCACACCAACGATTCAATACCTGTGTCCATCAAAGGATTCATTGCCAAAGCTAATGCAGGAGTTGATCAGGGTAGGACCACAATGAATGGAGAGGAGATTTTCATTTGAATCAAGACTTGTCCGAGTGCTGGTAGTGTTGCTAAACACAGAATCGCTGCTACGGTAACTGTAACTGCTGCTGTGCATTTTTATGCCTGAAAGGATGTTCTTTCTTTGACCATTAGAAGTAGACTATAAAGTAGAAGGTCTGGAAAAAGCTCTACTTCTAACGGTGAAAGTGGCAGCTGAATGTTACAGCTTTAATGGCTCCTTAAATATGCTTCAACATGAATATGCAACACACAGCAAATAATATGCTGATAACTATTCAAAAGAATCTTGCCTAAAGCCATTCATTTGCTAGCTGAGGTTTGCCTTTTGTAGCTCGCCTTAAAATCTTACAAGTACGGACAAAGCAGGCTGATTGGGGCGTCACTGGAAAAGATACGCCACATAGTTTCACTAAGAGTCATGCAGTCGCAACCACCTTAAAAACAACCGAGATGGCGCACAGAAGAGCAGGTATGGGCAGCCAGAGTTATTCTGGCAATACAAATCATCAGCTTAAAAAACACAAATATTCAATCACAAGCTGACTTCTACAAAGGACCAGGTCTGTAGTGAAGAACACAAGGCAAAAGGCTGTGACTTATCAACTACCCATACACAAACAAATTTGATGAGAAATAAAGTGCACTTCTATGCAGCCACCCTGTCATTTTTTATCAGGTTTAATTGACTGGAAAAATATCCACTTTCCTTTTTTTATACGATGTGGTCTCAGTAACAGTACTTCTGACCTACTAAAGTTACTTTATATTTTTAAAAGTCAAAGCACTAAGCATATTTAATACATATTTAATATAATCTTTGCAAATTCAATTTGTCTGTGCTTGTTTTTCCTTTCTATAGGTTATTACATGATACAAGAACACTGGCTCTTTCCCATTTGTCTTTTACACACTCCCATTCCACATAGCTATTATTTGCAATACACAGTCAATGCCAAAAAACTTGTTGTGTCAAGAAAAATGAAGGCATTTATCCAACCAAGCTCCTAAATATTTTCCTACCTCCAACACTACAAAGGCAAACTGTTCTTCTCCATTCTAAGGACAGATATCTTTCCTTTTCCAAAGCAAGAAAAGGGACATTTAAGAGTACCGTGTCCAAGACGGTGAATAAACAGAACAGCTCAAAATAATCATAGCAGCACTTAACATTTATTAGACCATCATTATGTGCCAATAAATTCATCATTTTACATACAGTACCTCATCTCATATTCATAACCACCAAATGGGTTAGGTATTGTTACATCCTGCTTACAAATGGGGAAACTGGCACTTAACAAATTAAAGAACTTGTCTAAGACCACACAGTTTGTAAGCTAACCTCCCAATAATCTAACCCAGATCAACCAGCTCCAGCATCCTAAACAATTAACTACTACTGCTTTCTTTTATTAATATATTGAAATGGCTTGAATATGTCCACCAAGTGCATGTGCTGGACTCTTAATCCCTAATGCAAAAATGTTGAGAGAGGGACATTTAAGAGAAGTTTTGTTCATGAGGACTCTACCCTCAGGAATGGGCTGATGTCCTTATTGTAGGATAAAAGCAAGGTTAGCCTCTCCTGATCTCTCTTATCCTTCTGCCTCTACCATAGCTAATGCAGCACGAAGGTCCTCACTGGCTGCAGGCACCATGATATTGAACTTCCCAGCCCCCAGACGGTGAGAAGTGAGAATATTTTCTGTATGAAGTACCCATGCTGCAGTATTCTGTTACAGCAACACAAAACACACTGAGACACATATGAAGAGTCTTCTGAAAGTCTATGGAAAATGTGTATTAGGAAAAAACTGCACGTGGATTTGGAAATTGTTACGCCAAATTAAACTTCTTCATATTCAATTTCCCATGAACTTTTTGAAGTTCCCCCATATATTAAAATTCAGCTAATATTCTGATAACTCTGATGGCTAAAAATCTCTGTATTCTTTGTCTGGAGTCCTTTCCTGTTATTTCATGTGTTTAGCTATATATCTCATTTTCATCATTCAGAATTTCTTCCTCCATAAAAAAGCTCCATTTAAACCTGTTTTGAATCTAGTGATTTGGGTATGGAGATAAGCTTAAGCAAGGGTAATCAGTAATTTAATAATGGACAGATAAGTTAGACCAACTCTTCCATCTTCAACACATTATTTCATATTCCACCAATGTTGAAGTCAATATGGGTTGCACCAAGAACATGATAATACTGAGCGCTCCTACTGCATACCAGCCACTGTGTTAAGCACTGGCAACACAATGGACAGGTAAAAACAACAGCTTGTCTTCACATTCTTAGGGTTCCTATCTATGGAAGAGACAGCTCTTAATCAAACAAATAAATTTTAAAAATTACAACCAAGAGAAGTTCTATGAAGGAATAATTTGAGGGTTAAAAGCAAGATATCTGAATTAGCCTGGAAACCAGTGAAAGTTTCTTGAGGAAGTAACACTGGAGTTGAGATCCAAGAATGAAAAACAGTAAAGAGAGATAGGAAGGATGAAAATAAGACATCCCGACCAAAGGAACAGACTGTGCAAAGAAAGGCCCTGTGAATGGAGGAGGGCAGGCCCTCAACAGGGAGCTCCTGAGAGACAGCCAGTGCGGCCGCTCTGCCGCGCTGAGAGCAACGAGGCTGCAGAAGCGCCTGCCTTCCTGTGCGGTCCTTAAGCTGCGAGGCCCTGATCCCACAGACCTCAAGGCTGATGAGGGTCACAGATCACAGCACCCACCTAGCTCCAGTTGCGTGGTGAGATAAAGACTACAATGGAGACACATTCTACCTGAAGACTGATTGCCCTTCCTGGGTAACTGGGTGCAGTCAGGGAGACAGCCTGATAAAGAGCCCACGATGACTTCATAAGATGCATACATTTGAAGAGTAGCAGAAAGGGAACTAGAACTGACATTTACTGAGTGTTTGGCCCTTTAAACAGAGGTCAGCTACACATAGGTTGTCACTGCCCTATGGGAAGACAGTCATAGACAAAAATGGTACAAGAAACTGAATTCGTTAATTATTGACTTACAAGCTTTCCGGGCCTAGTCGGTGACTTAATGGCCAGTTTAAGAAATTCTTGCAGGATAATTATTATTGGGATTAAAACCAGGTAAAACTTCACACACCAACCCAGCCACTAAGATCCTTTATATATTTCACGGATTTATTCCTTACAACCTCTTGAAAGAGTCTCTACACAAGAAAATGGGGGATGAGAAAGAGGAAGTGACTTATCCAGGGCCATGCAGCCATGCAAACAGAAAAGGTAAAGTTGAGTCCTAGGCCTGCCTGGCTCTAAAACCTACACGTTCCTTCCACAAGAACAAGGAGTCCCCCGCCCCACCTGACACTGACGACACAGAACACCTCCAGCCTACCTTTCCACTTCCGGGCGCAGCGCCTTCTCCCGCTCCAGCATGGCAATGATGAGTTTCCCCCACTCTTTCTCAATGTCGTTTGGATGATAACCTTGCAGCAGCTTGATTCGTCCAAATTCTATCCAAATCTTGAGAACACAGGAGTGATTAGGTGAAGCCAAGGTGTAAAACAATGTAACAAAGATTATGCTTGGCAAGCCACAGGACTTTCTCACCTACCTCTAATAATTTATAGAGCCGTTTAATTTTTGATTTCTCTGCTTCCTTGGGTGGAATTTCTGTCTCTTTAAACTGTAAATACTGATTATAAAGTGCCTAAAATGAAAAGGAAAATTAATTAAGTATCAAACTTCAATGACTTGTTTTCATTCTCTCATTACATCACCGTCTCAAATGTCTTTTACTTTGTCAGAATGGATTTGGTGGGATTCCTTTATAAAACTGCCACTTAAGGACAAGAACAACTCCCAGCCAATTGGTGACCTGGATTGCACAGGATTTGATGATAGGGTAATTTAATTATTGATGTTGGCCATGATACAACATGTATCCAGGAATCTGAATAAACATAGCGGTATTTACCATGGCTTCACTAACAATTTTCATCATCCTAACAAAAAACACATCTTTTGAAAGATGCATGTTCTAAATGTTGCACTTCAGCTTTAAGTTCTTAAAAAAAGAATTTAAAGCAACTGTCACAAAGGAAGGGCAAAAAAAAAAAAAAAAAAAAAAAAAAAAAACCAAAAAAACAACAACAACCTAGTTCTATTCCATTTCATGGTTGTATCCTTAAATACTGAATTCTTAGCAGATACAGAGGCCTAACATTTGGTTCCAGTATCCCACTGGCCAATTAAAACAATAAATGAAGGTAAATGCTATTAGCTGATGGTACTCTTATTAAGGAAGTTTGAACTATATAATTATATTATTATCTAGTTCTTAGACATTGATTTAAGAATCTCTTAAGTAATTTATTGTATTTATTTAAAAGGACCTTCATAAAAATTATGTAGACAAAAGTCTCCACATTTAATAAGTGTATACTAATTATTTCTTCCTAATTCATTTACAGGAGCCTATAAATCTTCAAGCAGACACATTTACGAAGATTCCATTCTATGTTTGTCTGGCTACTATAATTATTCGGCATTTCCTCATGATGTATTTCCTTTCCTATATTATCTTAGGTACCAGCAAGTAACCTGTATCGTCACTCAAACTTCTTCCCTAACACTAAAAATCTGCACTAATCAGAAGCTAGTACAACTGCATCCAAGGGGCTATACAATCAGAATATATCTGAAAACACGGTGTATTTGAACATGAAATCTGAAAGTTGTTTTAAACTCAAACTGCACACTTTGGGACATCTACAGTCAGGAAGCCTCAAATGCCACTATGTGGTCAACACTCTCTGTGATGCCATGTAGGAATAAAAGGAAAAAGCTTTCCCTCACTAGAAAAGTTCGCATCAATGTAGACATCATACAAGCAATATTAGAACGCTTTTTATAAAAAAAGGATTAGATCAATAGATGCCAAGTAACTTCATGCCAAGGACAAACTCCCCCAAGGCAATGCAAGTAAGAGCTGTTCTGCAGATGTTCTGTGAAGATGCGTGAACACAGTGAAAAATTTTCACAAGGCCCTCCCTTGACTACTACAGTTTTTGCAATACCAGTGTGATCAGGAAAACAAAGCTTACAAATCAAGACATTAAGGCTTTCTAATCAACATTGCCACCATCAGTTTCTAGAAGTAAGGTAAACTGCTATGCTATTGTAAATCCAAAAGTACAAAATGAGCTGATTTATTCCTTGGAAGTTTATATGTCTATAATGTTTTTATAGGTCTATCTACAATATCTTTGTCTCAAAGAGGTTGAACTTAGTTTTTCAGTATTAGCAAACGTTTGGCTGAACTCTGAACCAATGTATACTGAGCGGGTGTCACATAATGTATTTTCAAATTCATGGTGAAACGAACTCTTCTTACTATACAAAAGCAGCCTCAGAAGCAGTTTCTAACAGGAATCAACCACAGGCACACACCCTACCACGGTCACACTTGCGTGAGTCTCCACAAGGCCCGTCTCTCCCAGCCATCAGGTGGGCTCTACTACTACATGCACAAAACTGATCTGGCAGTGTCAACCCCAAAGACTTTCATATTAAACCATTCAACTCTTAAGAAATTGAAGCTTAGGGACTACACACTTAACAGGTTGTTGCTGTTATGTTTTAATTGTTAATGTTTACCTCCAATTTTCTCTGTTATTTAATAAAGACATGACTAAATAAAAATGCTGTCTTAGGAGCCGGCACTGTGGCTCAGCAGGCTAACACCCCGGCCTGAAGCACCGGCATCCCATGTGGGCGCCGGTTCTAGTCCCAGCTGCCCCTCTTCCCATCCAACATCCTGCTATGGCCTGGGAAAGCAGTAGAAGATGGACCAAGTCCTTGGGCCCTGGCACCCACGTGGGAGACCCAGAAGAAGCTCCTGGCTCCTGGCTTTGGATGGGCGCAGCTCCGGCTGTTGCGGCCATCTGAGGAGTGAACCAGCAGATGGAAGACCTTTCTCTCTGTCTCTACCTCTCTGTAACTCTGTCTTTCAAATAAATAAAATAAACCTTAAAAAAAAAAGAAAAAAAAATGTTGTCTTAAACTTACTATTTTGCCAAGGATAAACTTTCTTGAACAATCTAAAATTCCAGAATTATTATAGTATTCTTTAAAAGCTTATAATCAAATCAGTCCTACTTAACTTCTATGGTGACACTGACCTTTAGTTCTACGGGATTATTGGGAAATGTTCTCTCAGACATTGTGGTCACATGGTGTCTAATCCACTGGATGAGGTAGTTCACCATATTCTGGTATTCAATCCATTTGACTTCAACATCCTAAAATAACAAAACAACAGAAAAGGTTCCTGCCTATAGATAATAATATAATTATCACAATGTAGTTAGAAGTCATCCTATGAATCTGCACACCCTGAAGCTTGGAAGAATCAACTAAATGCTTTATTACTTCCCACCCAGACCCCAATCCTTTCCATTTAAACAGCTTGCTTTGGCCACTGACACTAACCTAATGAGTGCTAGTCTGATCCAAACACAGTGACTACGTGGGCACTGTGTTCACGAGGCTTCTGAGGCTACCTCCAAATGCAAAAGGAAAACGAAAATGTCATGATCAACATGTGGTGTTTGCCAGGGCCGAAAAAGGGGGAGTAGCAGCTTCAATAACCAGATTAGTTAACATCTCTGCAAACCTTTTTAGAACTAAGTCCATTGCATATCTGGAACTACAATGAGTTAAAGAACATGTCGGAAACCAGATGAGAATAAAAACTCCAAGGAATGTCAATGGCGGAATTATTCAAGTAAACATTAAGCAAACTTTTTAAAAATGGAGGAAACTGGAGCTACTATGTTCAATGACATATCACATGACTGCCAATTACATTTAAAAATTGAACTCAATGTTTTAAGAAAAATAATACTTAAAATTATAATACCTATTGTTAATGAGCTACTATCTACATGGGGAAGCAAGAGAGATTCCTAATATAAACAGTTAAGTAAGATGAAAAGCAATAATTACTTAAGTGTTGAAATAACTGAAATAGCATATGCTAGAAACTGAGATACCAATCTGGGAAGCATTGTGCATGTGCCTCAAAATGGCCACTAAAGGCTTCCTGGAAGTTACCTGTAATGACTGGTAAGTAGATGGGGTTGTAGAGGGAAGGACAGAGTAGATAAAAGACCAGGGAGTCCCAAGTGAGTGAGAATGCCCTAGGTAACACTGCACAGTCCACACTGGGAAACTGTAGCTAAAAATGGAAGTAAGCAAACATCTACAACCACACTTGAACAAGTTCATGGAAAACGGAATGAAAAGATGGGTTTATTTTGGTGCAAAAAATTCATATGCATGAAATCCATGCATATGAGAGGTCTTCAAACATTTCACAGAAATGCACTTAGGATAAAAACTATGCATGGATTTTTCAAAAATTTTTGGCCCCCAAATTACCTTTTTACTCTATTTTTCCACAAACTTTTTGAGGTCCCCTGACAGTATCAGTTCATTAAGTAGCATGATAACTTCTTTTAAGCATATGTGACATTAAAGAACTATAAAAAGCACTAAGAACTAACTCTCAAAGAATTCAGTCAGCTGGTCATTTTCCAGTACAGAAAAATCAAATACTCACATTTGCACTGATGCCTTCACCACCTTCAGGGACTTTAGGAAATGCATCATAGAGAGATGACACATAAGTTATTACTGACTTTTCATCAGGTGAGGAGACATCAACGTCTAAAAGCAGCAACATAAGTTAATGATTTCATGATGCTGATAAATTACTTTTGAACAGACGTGCATGCCAGTCCACAGGTAGTCAAGAGAACAACTCACCTTCAGGGTCCAGGAGTCGTATAACACCAATTTTTTCTGCTACGTAAAAAGCGTGCTCTAAGTTTGCAAGGTTGCTTTGAACAGCAACAGTATTCATGTCTATCAGGTCCGGCCTAGGAAAAAAGTTACCATGTTAATTAAGTTTTCTCATGTGCCAATTCAAGTACTGTATTTGCATGTGTTATCTATTTACAGAACTTCAACAAATATTAATACCACATCTGTGTTAAAATATGGAGATTTCATCAAGCAGTTAACATTAACTACTTCTCTCAGAAACTTTTGTGTGCCAAGAAAAATTTGAACATATAAAACTTTAAATGGAGTCTACAAATGGCTCATAACCAGAATATATAGGAATATCTATCCCATTCAACCAATTTAAGCTTCACTGTTCCAATAGTGTCCTTGTTATCCAATCATCATCTTTTCAATATGTCCCCCTAAACAAAAAATATATGCCATACTCATGGCACCCTCTCTTCTGGGATATCCTTCGCAATGCTATTGGCTTCTATAATCATACTCATTCTTCTGATCAGGGATCAAGCCCCATTGCTTCTTTGGAGCCCCTTGCTGATCTTCCCAGCATTCATTTTTCTCTCTCTGTTCTCTGAACTCCTTATATCCCTGGCCTGCACGACTCAATGTAGCACTTATGAAATCGTATACTTTTGCCCTATTTTAATTGTTTTATACTCATGTACATCTTGCTTCTCTCAACTAGCTTACCTAGATAGCAAGAACCACATATTAATAAGTTTTTATATTTTAGCCTTCTGCTAAGATACATATACACAGTAGACAGTCAATAAATATCTGCTAAGAAGTTAGTAAGGGGGCTGGTGCTATGGTGCAGCGGGTTAAAGCCCTGGCCTGAAGCACCGGCATCCCAGATGGGCACCAGTTCTAGTCCCAGATGCTCCTCTTCCGATCCAGCTCTCTGCTATGGCCTGGGAAAGCAGTAGAATACGGCCCTTGTCCTTGGGCCCCTGCACCCATGTGGGAGACCAGAAGCTCCTGGCTCCTGTCTTCAGATTGGCACAGCTCCAGCCGTTGCAGCCATCTGGGGAGTGAACCAGCGGATAGAAGACCTCTCTATCTCTACCTCTCTCTGTAACTCTGTCTTTCAAATAAATAAAATAAATCTTAAAAAAAAAAAAAAAAAAGAAGTTAGTAAGTAGGTTGGGTCACTAGTAATTTGAATCCTAAATGAGTGGCTAGGATAAGCATGAGAGTTTTTAATTCTTACAAGCATGAATGTGTACTTTTATGCTCAAATAATCTCACTCTCTCTACCCCCTCCGAAGATCAGCCTTCATCTCTAATTTGTGAGATGCACATGATACTCTAAAGCACAAAGGATACTTTAAATCCAGTTCTGTCTACAGGAGCAGGAAAAAGACTCCTCAAATGCTCCTTGTATAGAAAATGTCAAAATATATATGGTAGCTGGAAACCTGACTCAAGGCCAGAAGCTGGTCAGAAAACTTTGATCTCAAAAACAAAGCATTAAAAGAATGCAGAAGCAAATATGGAAACTAAAGCCTTCAAAAAATGGCACCTACCCCCAAATTTCATGAAGAACTTGTTTATCAACTTAAAAAGGAAGACTCTACAATCTCCACAGACATTCTGGTTTGCTCAAAATATTCATTTGGGAAATCACCGAAAGAATGAAATATCACAGAGGTAGTGGGAAGAATGAAACACGAATTATTTTGAATACTACTTGAGAGGCTGTTTACAAAAGAAAAACCTTGAAAATATATCACTGATCTTATAAAAGGTAAACAGTAATTTGTACTCTTATTTTCATCAGGTGAAAAAGCAGACTTCCAAAAAATATACTTAGTTTTATAGCACAACAAAGAGTACATATTCTGAAGTACATAACCTGAAAATGTAGCTACTATTACCCACATGCTCATCTCCCAGAAAATCACTAGGAAACTCATACTTTTCACATGCCACCAATATGATCATTTATTATAGGAGCAAAAATTTGACAATAGAGGCAAATGACAGAGCTCTATTATATTCAGAAAGAATATAATAAAGAAATCTGCCAACTTCCAGATTACCAACCAGGTGTGCATAATAGTCTAGACAAAAAAAATCTAAATTTCTTTCATCAAAAAATTTTTTGTTTCCATAAAGTTCGCATGTTTTAGAGAAATCAAACCAGTCTTTTGGAGTCTGCCAACTCTCCGAACAAGAGATGGCATGTTATTCTGAGAACCCTGCCATTAGCAAAGAAGGCAAACACTGACTAATCCCAGAGACAATGAATAAAGTCATTGAAGAATCAAGTTTTTTGAGCTGCAGAATAAAACATAAAACTTCCTTCAGAATGACATAGTCATTTCATTACAAGAGCAGCTGTATAATACAATGAGTTTGAATAAGTTGCCTCTTTCACTCTGATAGTTAACACTTTAATGGAATAAAAACTGAAATGGTTTTCTTCCATTAAATGACTTTAGTAGATAAAGAAAACTAAACAGAAATGAGAAAAAAAGAAGAAAATTTAAACCACCATTTAAAAGTAATTGCATGAAAATCATCAAAATCTTTTTATCCCCTCGTTGTCCTGACACTTTGGTCAGTTTCCATCTTTCAATCCACTTCTCTACTTTCCTGGAGCATTCAGAAGAAGCCTGGGCTGTGTCTTGTCTAACTTCCTTCTTTTTCAGTCTTTCTGAGATAACATATAACCTTTAAAACTTCAGATATTAGCATACAGAAGATATTAATTTTCATTCTAAAGGTTTCATTTTGCTGTAACATGTTTTTGTGGACTGGCAGCAGGAAATTTCATTTCCATCTTAGGTTCATTAACCTGAGTACATCAGTCAACACTCTACATAGAGCAGACAGTGGTCATATTCCTGTATTACACCCGAGCTTAGTATCAACTATTCTAATTTCTCTAGTTTACAGAAATTTTTCTAAACCAGATAATGTAATCTTCTGCCATCTAAAATAATATACACTATATATACTCATTTTTTATGGAAAAAGGGTCATTCTAACTCTTGTTTTATTATAATGTAATCTTTTTGAAGTGACTCAATCATCTTAGATTGTAATGTTTAAGCATGTATTTATATTCCATTTTTTTTTAATTTATTTATTTATTTAAAAGGTAGAGTTACAGAGAGGCAGAGGCAGGGAGAGAGAGAGAGGTCTTCTATCCACGGGTTCACTCCCCAGATAGCCACAATGGCCTAAGCTGCACTGATCCAAAGCCCGGAGCCAGGATCTTCTTCTGGGTCTCCCATGTGGATACAGGGCCCCAAGGACTTGGATCATCTTCTACTGCTTTCCCAGGCCATAGCAGAGAGCTGGGTGGGAAGCTCATATGGGATGCCAGCACTGAAGACAGTGGCTTTAACCTGCTATGCCACAGCACCGGCCCCTATATTCTGTTTTTTTAATAAGCTATTCAATGTAGCTTAGAAATTAAAATACAATAAAATAACATAAATTTGAAATTAGAAGCATAAAATCGAGAGAAGGTCATGATCTTTGCCTGTGTTCCTGCTGAACTCTGGTCATTTTGTTTTCTGTCTGTTGAACTCTTTATTTTGTGGAGCATTAGGCCTTTTATTATAATGTAAATTAAAAATATGTTCTCTCAAAGATAAAGAAACACAATAAAATAAAATGATTTGAAACAGAGAAGGCTATGACATGGAGCTAAAAGTGAGATAAAAAGTGCAAACTATATACTTGCTTAATGCTCTTAATTCATTCCAAAATTATAGAGCAAAAAGATATTAAAAATGAATATTATATAAAATAATTTGGGATAAAAGTAATGTCAATTTTTCTATAATATTCATCTCAAATAAAGCTGTCTTAAAGACACACTGATACATATGTATGGATATGGGCATTTACGTAGATGTAGATATATATGGATACATAGTACAAAGATATCACCCTGTGTACTAATAGACAACCAATGCTAACAGGATATTAAAATTGCTTAAGAGATTTCTTTGGTGTAGACACTCCCAAATACAATAGCTCACATGAAAGTTAGATAGGATCCTGTGGGAAAATGTGATTTATATGCAATAAATAGCTGAAGAAAGACACATCAACTACCTAAGGCTTCCATATTACATCATGCCAAACACCAATACACTCAACTACAAAAATATGAAACAAAGTGAAAATACTTGGGAAGAAAGCACTCTGAAATACAGCAGACAAGACACTGAGTAAAGATAACTATGGAAAAAAAGTTACCTAAGAATATTTTAGTATTGACATAATTTTTTAAAGTATGAAAAAGTTAAGCGATTTTAAGTTCTTGGTTTGTTAGGTTGTGTTGGCTTTTGATTGGCACTGAATAACTACTTATGTGGATAAAAACAGTTAGATTTTGGCTATACCTTGAGCTCCCCTTCCAATGTTTGAGGAATTTCCCTTTTATGGGTCTTAGTGGAAGGGAAGAACAGAGCCCATTTCCCAATACAGAAATAAAATATGTCCTGTTTTTCTTGCCTCTTCTCTTTGCTCAAGAAATACCCATTGCATACTCTCCCCCACCCCATGTATTACACTACCTGGCCGACTCAAATCTTCCTGTAGACTTGATTCCACCATCGTATCTGCCAGAAAACAATTCTCCCTCCTTCCCAAATGCTGTAGGCTATCTGTAACTGTTAGGACATTTTGTCCTAACTAGGAATTTGTGTCTCATCCTGAACTGTGCGCTTCTGAAAGCACAGCCTGTGTTTCATCCATGTTTATGGCCTGGATATCTAACTCAATGCCTACCACAAGAACTTTTACGGAATGAATGAATAATAATAAAGGGACAAATGAGCTACTAGGCAGGTGGCAGGTACCAGTGATTCAAATTCCTGGAGGTATTTTCCATCCCAGGTTTGTTCCTTTTCATTTCACTAATTTCCACAAACAAGACCACCATCTATGGTTTCCAAAGGATCTCAAAATCTTATCAAAATCCACATGGAAAAGGATACAATGTCACAGCTTCTGCATGTCCTCAATAAGGTCACACCCTTTTGAGGTTTCCTCTTTTCTCTAATGGAAACAATTTAGAGAACAGGCATGGAGTGAAAACAACAAACAA